GGTCCCTGTGCCAGCCGTCCAGCCATCATTACATCTTCTCAGCCTTACCACTTTGCCTTCCACCCTGCCTTCTGCATCTACGACACTATTCTTGCTACTACATCCTTGCTGTGATCAGCATAGATATCGCAGACTGGAGACCTTTTTCCACAACACATCTTTATCAGCGGCTTCTAGTTTGATCCGTCTACCATTTGCCTATTAAATCGTTTCCTCCAAAACCTCCCACCTTCTATCATCGAGCAGCCACGCCCAGCGCTCCTGTAATAATAGCAACAGTTGACTCTGCGTTCCAACACACACACCTCCACCCGCGAAGAGAGGTGCGCGGACCGCCAGCGAACGACAACCCCAAGGAAAGCAGCACCTGCTTTCGCGGAGGCTGCCCCGACCACACTCTCCTTCCGGAAACCTCTTTTTACGCAGCCCGCTTGCGCCACTACAATACCTGTTCCCATCAGGTCTGCCTTTCTCACTTGCCCAACATGGACGCAATGGAGATGGATCTTGATGTCGAAATGGACACAGAGTTTGTTCCCGACCAACCAATTGCCGCCGACGCGCAAGATACGCCTGTACGTTGAGACTCCCGACCGTCGATCTAGTGTTGATTACTGAACCGTTGCCCATAGTCGCCCGGCGAGGTTGTTGAGAACGACATTCAAGACCAACCCCAATCCAATGCCGTCATACCAAACAAGGTCCATCTCACCGGTGGGCTGGACAACTTGAATGACAAAGAGGTCAGGGCCTATGTCAAGGAGCACACAGATGTTCAATTCGAGCGGCTCGAATGGATAGATGACAATAACCTAAACGTGGTGTTTCCCTCGGACTCGGTAGCACAGGACGCTCTTCTCGCACTTGCATCCGTTGAGATTGGGGATGTTTCGCTACTTCCTGCCCTGGAGCTGTTGCCCGCCAAGCCATTTTCGCAAAAGGCTGGTATCAGCTTGCAGGTAAGACTGGCTGTTGAGGCCGACAAGAAACAACCTCACGCCGCAGAAAAGAGTCGCTTCTATCTGCTCAACCCGGAATGGGACCGCGAAAATCGCATGAAGAGATATCGCGATCGGGATGGTGAACGAGGAGGGCGACGAAGAGGCAGGCGCGAGGATGAGCCGATCTCACATTTCGATGTCAACCTCTACGATGACGATGCTGGTGCTCTAGCCACGCGAGAGACTGCCCCACGATCCCGTCGGCGTCGATCTTACACACCTGATTACGACCGCGACGACGACCGGGCGCCGTCCTACAGAAGCTCAAATCACAACAAGGAATTGTTCCCTGATTCCGGCTCTGCAAGGGACCGCTCAGCCTCCCCCGGGCGACGTGATCGGGATCGAGATCAGCGCATGGATGAGACACCTCCTAGTGAATCTTCAGCCCAGCGCAATCGCCGTGGCGCCAGAGCCATCAAGGACCGTCTGGTGAGCAGCAATCGCGCCAAGGAGTTGTTCCCGAGCTCGGCACCACTGGAGGAGAGCAATCGCTTAGATGACGCAGACGAACTCTCGAACCGCTTTGCGCTCCCTCTCTACGACGGCAGCCATGATGAGCAGCCTGTGTCTCGAAGCAAGAGGGTTGGCGAGCGGAACCCGGCTGCAAGCAGCGGCCGCTTGGCAGACCGCGTCACAGATCCCACCGACTCATCTGGATTCAGCATACGTGGATCAGCAGGGCAACGAGGCGCCGACCAGGGCTTTGCAATCAAGGGCGGTGCCAAGAGCGCCCGAGAATTATTCCCTGATAAGTTGGGAGGAAGCAATGCAGGCAAAGAATTATTTGCAAATAGGGTCGACGGCAGGTCGCGGCGCAGGCAGAAGGCAGGCGATTTGTTCGACTAGGAAAGAGGTGTATTTGAGCTCCCATGCAAAGCATTTATGTGTATCTGGGAGGGGTCTTTACATATCGCACATACCGGTTGCTTAAGACAATGAGAGCTCGGGACTACATGGGAAGAGAAAAAGAAATGCTAAATTAGCATTGAAGCAGACCATGGCTGGGCGTTGAGAAGTTATTCTACCTTCACAGTCAGATCACCTACTCTGTACAGCACGGGAGATTTACAAGCAAGCCCTCTAAGTCCATATCGTTCTTTATGCCCTTCGTTGTCCCTGTAACGCGATACGAGCAAGCGGCTGCAATTGTATGTAGAAGTGGCAACTATTTGATTATTGGCGTGCATGCGAGAATCCGAACACACCCTTCCCCCCTTTGAGAGGAGGGGGCAAAAAAAAAAAGGAAAAAGAAAGAATCATGTGGTTACATGACCTCTGGGCAATATGCTAGTACTGTAGCTAGTACCTAGTAAATTATCGAGTAGCAAGATTGGGTAAAAGTGCATGTCACGCGTAGCGAACGACGCTTCCATATCGAGCTCATGAACAAATCTGCCCCGCAGCAGATGATGAAACACAAATGATACGTTTGTTCTTTACAATTCCGTGTCTTCTTCTTCTCTTTCCTCCTTTTTTATTTAAAAAAAAAAAAAAGAGAGCACTTGCTCTTGCATAAAGGCGAGTTGTCGTTATATAGGTCGCATAAAACGACGCATTTAGTGGTTCGAAAGCCAAAAACTGTAGTCGGACTGGTATAAACTTGCGGGCAACCAGTTTCTATTTAAGCACCTCCCATGAGTGTGATTTAATCCCTATTGTATAGAGTACTTGCGTTGTAACTGTCACGAGAGTCTGGTCCGACTCTTTCGAATTAAGTCAAGCAAATTAGGAAAGTGAATATAGAGGAACTGTATGTAGTCGCATGATGCGAATAGAAGATGCGTAATAGCGAGGGGGTCTGGTGTGTCTGAGAGAGCATTATTAGTTAGGTTGTATTGTGTAGGTTGTTTTGATTCATATCTAACCATGCACGCGAACAGACGCGGAAGGGAGCAAGGGGGGTGCTTTGATAGAATCGGATCCAACGCGTGAAAGCTGCAATATCCTAGCCAACCATACCTTAAGCTAGGCCTATCAAAGTGACGGGCCGCATTATGGAGACCGTTTTATGGCAGATCAGGTGCGGCCGGAGAGTTTTGAACTTTGAAGAGAGGGGAGCGAGGAAAACACTAATTCGCGTCATCCTAGAAAGACTTGTTTGTAAAAACAGCAATAACAACAAATGATAGGACGATTTTCGGCACGTCCACCCGGCCAAAAGTTGGATAGGGAAATCATTGCCAACTCAGTTATACGTCGGTTTTCTCTCCTTCTCTCCCTCTTTCGAAACCATTATGAGAAGACTCAAGATTCGAGAGACTCCACAATGGCGGCCATATTTGCGGGCCTAAGCCGCGATTTCTCAACCCGCGTTCCTGCTGCTTGGGGCCGGGGGTTAGGTATTTTAGCTACGATGTGTACATACATAGTAATTACGTGGGTAAGGAGCTACTTTGTACAGATATGTGATACCAATCAATCTATCGCATCTATAAGTTGTAATGGGAAATTGCCGTACCCGTCTTGGGAGCATACAAAAGCACATGCTGTTTGGGATTGATCTCGGATAGGGCGATAAGAAAGAGGTAAGAGATAGTGCACCGATTCACAATCTCATGCTGTTTGCGGGCCCCGCGCTCATAATGGAGCAGCACGCCACTTTCAACGTTGGACGCGATTATGGTCCGGTAAGGACGCGACTGACGCAGGGCGAAGGGATATTATTGTTGTTTATTGTCAGATGGCTATTCTATTATAATGGATCCCTCCCCAGCCTCCCCCCTTGTCTACCTGGTACGTACGTCGTATACCGCGTGAGACGTGGAGATTTCATGTCGCGACTATTCATTCCGTCATACCCTGAGAGGGACCAAGATTGAATGAACCGCCACGGATGCTCTTTTTAGACCGTCCTACAACGCGCTTCACTCCCAGCCACCTACCGTCTAAACCAGGCGCTATTACCTACCTGCTAGGTATGTACCGCTCGTTTGGCTAGGGCTGAATTAGGTAGATAATTGCTTATGCGTGTTGTCAGCCATGTAGATAGTTATTCATCAATTCTAAATAATCATGTTTGCAAGCAGCAGTAAAATCTACTTTTCGCAGTCTACAAGATAGCAAGTCAGCTAGAAAGGGGTGACTGACTCTCTTTCCAAAAATGATAAAACACTGTTTGGCCAATGGACGGATGGATCAGTGGTTCGTGACAGGTTGGTCGTCCTTACCAGGGCCAATGAGCGGTTGGGCGCGTAGTGAAGTCGGTGCATGTGTCGAATCGAATCACTGCAATCAAATAACAAAAGCGACCAGACAGACGGCCTCACTCAACTGTGGGAATTGACTGAACTTCCAGCGGGAGGTTCGTTTACATCCACGACTGCACCGGGCTTAGCGGCTGGTGGGGTGGTCTATGCTCCGCCTTAGCGCGAAGACTGTACGTACCGCGCTACCTTGCACTGGATCGAAGCTCCACCGCCCGCCGCCGCTCAACCTCGAACCTCAGGAAATCGTTGACCCAGCGAGCCCAGCCAACTACCTAATTTACAGACTGCAGCTTCGTCTCCCACCCCCGATCGATCCTCCACCACCTATCGCTATCATTGTGGCGGCGGCGACGACGACGACAACGACAGTGACAGTCAAGACGATACGCCATAGCAACGACGCCAAAAGTTTATTTGCGACAACGTCAAACCGTAAACATTTCGACACTATTCAGCATTTTCTTACACGGCGACCGTATTGTGTTTTTTTTCTTCCCTCTTTTTAGCGACCCACGACGCACCGATCCTTCGTTTTCTGGCGGCTCTGGTGCCTTCATTTCGACGACTGCGTGGGCTTTTTCATCTCAACCACTTGATTCACCACTTCAACCTCACGACGCCCTTGACTCTTCCGTGGAGCATGCGATAGATCAGTCGAGGTAGCCGGAGGGCATTTTGGACGTATCCGGCCGTGAGAGCGCAAGAGGACCTTTCCAGTGGGACAATCGCAAACGCATCGCCTCTCGACTTCCTGCCGCCGTTGTTTTGCTGCCTTCCATTGTTCGCAGCGCACCAAATATCGCGACCTGCCCAGTTGCAGCGACAAATCTCCTCGTCTTCTACGCTGTGCCTGACCCTCCCATCGCCAAGCATTGTGCCATTTTTGAAAGGACGAATGCTGGCCGAGCAATCACCTATTCATCCCACCAGGCGCTCGCACCTCACCATCCATCACCCCGCCAACAAGTTTCCACGTACCGCCAGCCAGCTTGCCCACAACAGCTATACCAACACCAACCACAACCACCATGACGATAGCGCCAGGATGTCCGGCGGGCATCGCGCCATCAAAGCGTGCAGTGGTAGAAATTCATAGCCCAAATACTGCTACACCTGCGAGGATATCCACCCCTCCTCCAGTGTCCGAAAGGGGCCGCCTGGAACCGAGGATCAATAGCGATATTGGCAATGCCAAAGCCGTTCGCCATTCGAGAGGGACTACCAGCAGTGTGAGCGGTATAGACCCCGAAATCCTGACAAAAGCCTTATCGCGTGAGCTCTCTTCCGAGCGCCGCGAGAGTACGCCTGGCGCAAGTCCTAGTAGGAAGCGGCAGCGGATCAATGGAGACAGGTATGTGTTGTCTCTACCTTGGGCTGAGCATGAGTCCCGTCATCGTTGAAGTGGTCTCACTGCCATCATTGAATCTTTATCGCAGGAGAACATGGCAGCTAACTGCGACTAGATTCATCCCCTCCCGCTCTGGTCAAGATCTCCATGCGAGCTTCAGCCTGTTGCATGATGAAGGGTCGCCAGCTACGCCCTCGCGACAGAAGAAGAGAACACCTCATGGTGAATTGCATTTTCAGAGGACAGAGGAAGCTAATCGCACCTTTTCAACCTTGTTGCGATCAGAACTGTTTGAAAGTTCGATACCACAGGCAACCCCACCAGCAATGTCGCCAGAGGCCTCGATTTCTAACCACTCTACTCGTGTTCATGACCCTACGAGATCTAGCACACCGCCCAACAACAATCCACCTTCATCATTGCCTTCGTCCTTCACTCCTTCTACCCCACACAAAAATCTCTTCTCCTACCTGTCGCCACGGCATCACACAAATGTTGCTGGACATCCCACACCTTCTAGAACACCACAGAGCAGGCACGGCCCAAATCTAGATACCAGATCTGAGATATACAGTCTATCACCAGTCCGCTTTGGCAGTCAACAGATGCTGCTTAGTCCGCGGCGTCAACCAAGAGCCGTGTCCAAAGTGCCGTACAAGGTGCTAGATGCCCCCGAACTGGCAGATGATTTCTATTTGAATCTGGTGGATTGGGGAAGTGCCAACGTGCTTGGCGTTGGACTGGGGTCCAGCGTTTACATGTGGAATGCACAAACCAGTAGGGTAAACAAGCTTTGTACCCTCGAGGATGACACAGTAACCAGTGTGTCATGGATTCAAAAGGGAACGCATCTTGCCATCGGTACCGGCAAGGGCCTTGTACAGATTTGGGATGCCGAAAGGTCAAGAAGATTGCGTACTATGACGGGCCACACTGCCCGAGTGGGTTCCCTTGCATGGAACACGCATATTTTGACGTCTGGTTCAAGAGACCGACTGATATATCATCGAGATGTGCGTGCCCCCGACCAATGGTTCCGAAAACTCGTTGGGCATAAACAAGAGGTTTGTGGTCTGAAATGGAACTGCGACGATGGCCAACTTGCTAGTGGTGGCAATGATAACAAGTTGATGGTCTGGGACAAGCTCTCGGATACACCACTATGGAAGTTCTCGGACCACACAGCAGCCGTGAAGGCAATATCATGGTCACCACACCAGAAGGGCTTGTTGGCGTCGGGTGGCGGAACGGCTGACCGAAGAATCATATTCCACGATACTGTTCGTGGCACCGTGATCAACGAGGTAGATACGGGAAGCCAGGTGTGCAACATTGCCTGGTCGAAAAACTCCAATGAAATCGTATCAACGCACGGTTACAGCCAGAACCAGATCGTTGTCTGGAAGTACCCCTCCATGACGCAAGTGGCCAGTCTGACAGGTCATACCTACCGAGTGCTCTATCTTGCAATGAGCCCAGACGGTCGTACGGTAGTAACAGGTGCCGGCGATGAGACGCTCAGATTCTGGACAGTATTTGGGAGGAGACCCGGCACCCGAGAAGACTCTGATGGAGGTGGAGGACGACTTGCTGAGTGGAGCGTAATCCGGTAATGAAACCTCGACGATAGAATAAGAACCCCTCTCAACTCTTGTTGGATCAGGAACACACACAACTCAAATCAGCCATTGCATGGTAAAGTAACGACAAACCAAAACACAACTCCGGAACTTCTCCCCGCTACGACCTATTTTATTTTGATGACGACGACGACGAACAAACAAGGAAAGGCTTTGCACGTAATACCCCCTCAGAGTGCATTCGATGGCGTTAGATGAAGGGGAGGACAAAAAGGGACGGCGACTTTTGCGAACCAAGGCATCACACCGCAAGTCTCATTAAGCATTAGAACTGCTTGTGTATTCTTCTTCTTTTTTTTTATTTGGCCTTTTCGAAGCGTATATCATCACTTTTTCTTTTCTTTACCAATATTAAACACATGACAGCGACGGGGCTTTCCAAATGGTGGATGGGAGTTGGGGAATAACGATATCTCGGTGATGTTTTTGGGGAATCTGTGCTTTTGCGCACATCATGATAGTACGAGACATCACGATCAATTCCCAAACTTGGCAGCTCCAAGTCGGCTCCCCCCACTGCTAGATACAGATACATTAGACAAATCAATGTATCAAGGTGACAAGCAACTGATATTCATTAGCACGTGATTGAATAAGTTTTTGTCGTTGTTTCCATACCATAAAGTCGCCTGTTACTGGTTGTACGACACTCGACTTTTCTGGCAGTTTTTGACGCAAGTTAGCCTACCACATCATCTCGATTGATCAATTTGTAAAGGTATATTATCCATGACACTGATTTACCCCAAGGCCCGTAGTAGTCAAGATTAAAAACTTTCGACGAGCGCCTATGCAAGCCTGTGTGCTGCAAATTGGCATGGAATATGATCACCACATAAACAGCTGGGTATGTTATATTTGTATGTATACATATGTCAAAAGCATGTCAAGTCGCAAATAAGTCGCGTCACACGCAAATGCCCGGTTCAAGCAACATGATCGCGTAAATCATGAGACAAGACTGTATTAAATGGGTATCAAGTACTATGAAGAAAAACAACCGCGCTTCACGCCGCCAAAGACTGTTCATAAATGCAACCTCTCCCTCGATTGATCGTCATAAACGCCAAATCAAAGCCACAAAATATACTTGCAAACTAATCCATTCTTTCACATCAAACTCGTTCTCTCGTACTATCATAAGGTGCTGAGGTGAAGAGGTATGCGGTATACCGCGACATACCCGTTGCGTAGTTTCACCTCATGAAGTCTTCTTGGCCTCGGCCGCGCTTTCATCGTTGAGTAGAGGAATTGAGTCGACATCGAGGTGTGCTCCAGTAGCTGAATCCACGGCGCGCACACTGCCTTCCATCACAGTCCTCCTTTCCCGGGCCTGCATTTCCATAGAAGCATCCAAGGCTGGTGCTCTGCCCTTTTTCTCATCCGCTGGAGTGGCAACAGGGGACAAAAGTATGAGATCAGGACCTGGATTCCGTGTCAGCTGCATTCAGATGCACATGTTGGGGAATGCAATCCCGAGGATAGTTCACGATTCAGAACACGTACTGTTTTGCCATTTGGAAACCTCAGCCTTCATCAGCTCCAACTCTTTCTGGAATCGTTTGCCAAAAACATCAATGTAGTAAGTAGAGCCATTGTATACACTCCAGGTGAATACACCCATGAGGAATGCAGCGGACGCCCAGCGGCTGTAGAACCACAAAGGACATGGTAACATGGTGAGAACAGCATACGAGTACTGGATCAACATGAAAGCAGGCTCGTGTAGAGACTCGGGAAGCGAGAGTACAAGCCTGCCGATCCAAGCTTTGGAGTAGGACTTGAGTAGCCAGGTGAATGATGTTGGGCGGCCGGCGGCAATCTTCTCGCGGCGGCGTACGGTGATGAAGAAATAGTAGCTAAGCTGCCAGAACAGGTAAGGAATAGTCGACCAGGCCAGCATGGATATGATGTTCGCATACGCCGTTGGGGATCCCGGCGGCGAGGTCTTGACAGTCCAAAGTGCTGGAAACCGCTCCTTCTGCAGCTCCTCGGGAATGAGATGTGTGATGCAATGTAACGTCACACACGGCATTATGTGAATAAACAACGAAGTAACCTTGTCAAAGCTGTGGAAAACGAGCGAGTTGCGCCACATGATGATGGCTACCGCATTATTGCCAAAGGCCAGGCAAAAGGCCGAAACGAACATACGCTTCGACGAGGGAAAGGCCCAAATGGCGAGAGCCAAAAGAAAGTTGACAAAGTAGCAGAGATCAGCCAGAAAGTAATGGTAGCCCCGCTTATGGTAAGAGTAGAAGCGGATCGGCATAAAGTACAGCAACTGGGCCGTGTACCAGAGGTGGAAATATTCCGGGTAGGCACCGATGAGGTAGCCACTGAGGAAGATGTTCATGACACCGAAAATGAACGAGACCTTCTCACGCGCCGTGATGATCTTGGTGTCATTCCATTGTCGGCCAAGTCTGTCGACATTCTTCTTCATGCGAGCGCGATACTTGTCCAGCTGTTCCTCGGCGGAGGGCACCCGTCGGCGCCACTGCTCGACCATGCGCTCTCTAGCTTGGTGGCTTTTTGACTTGATGGCATCTCTTGATTTGCGGACCTTCTCGGTCTGAGCGGTTATGCCTTTCTGTATCTTTTCCAGTTGCTGGGGCAAGGCAAAATTGTCGAGCAAATCGAGTACAGTCATACGGTCTAATGGTGGAAAAGCCTCCCAATCCTCTTGATATGATGAACTGCCCGAGAAGGACGGATTTCTGGACAGTTTTGGACTTCCACTTGGGCCAAGAATGGGTGTTTCGGACACGACCACAGCGTCCTCTGGAGACGAAGTACTCAGTGGTGGTGATGCGGTGGCATCCGGAGTCAGGACCGGATCGCTATCAGTATGGCCATTGTCGGATCTGGAAGCAGATGCAGACATTGGTTGGTTCGTTATTTCTGCCATTTCTGAGACGGTATGAGAAGGGAGTCGCTTGAGGTCGTGGCGAAACGAAACTAGACGGAGGGCATTCGCGCCCCTAATGATCAAAACGTCAGCCATTAAGTGGTTCTCAGTAGTCGAGGCATATGGAATATATATGTATTTGCAGGTGTTCTCGCTGCAGGAGCGGTGGGCGGCGACAGAAGTCGGGAAATGAGGGAAGGGTCCTTACTTCTTTATGCAAGGCTACTTCTCAATAACGCTGAACGGCCGGCGGGGCAGTCAAGGTATACAGATGCAAAGATAGTGTGCGTCAGCGAGATCGGATGGCGAAGATCTTTACAATCTATAGTGCTGTTGGCGACGGAAGTGGCAGTGAAGACGCCTCTGCACGCCGTGTGACCAGCGACTAAACAGATGCAGGCCCGGGGGTGCTGCTCTCTTGTGACTCTGCCGAAAGTCTTCAGTGAGATGTGGAAGAGCGACTCGTGCAGATATATTGTTGCACGCAGTGAGGGTAGAGGCCAGAGTTGGGCGGAAGTCGCGAAGTTTGAGGGTGTTTGGACTGCCCTTTGAGTAGTCGTGGTTGAGGATCGTGTCGCTTTGGTGGCTTCTGGTTGGACGAAAGCGGCTTGCTGTCTTTGGGGAAAGTTCCCAGAGTCACAAGTCACGATAGGCTTTCTCGGAGCTAGGTATTGGAGGGGGCTTGTCTAGACCACCTTGGTCTAGGATAACCTCAAAGAGTATGTAGACTGTATAGCGGATAGCTGAGTCGAGTAGAATGCTAGATTTCTATGATGAATAAGGGACGAGCCTGTTGTTCATGAAGGAAAGCTTACACGGCAGCTTATGATGTAGTATGATGTGCATTAACCAAGAGCAAGAGCTGGATCCTGGCACGGGAGCCGGTAGGTACCCACTAAGACGTGCTACTATCTACCTTATCCACGGCGGATCTGGGGACTCTTGAAATGCCTGGAGTTTGCTGGCGTCAAAAGAGTACAACTAATGATCGTGTAATAAGATGAAAATTCTATTTTGTTCGATGGCTCCCCTCATATCGGAGGAGATGCGACTATCTACCCATTCAATATCGGGTACGTGGAAGAACCGTGGCCTATTGTACATGAAATAACCCGACAATCAAGCACAAAAGAAAGGCAAAGAAGAAAAGCACGTACACTAAATGCGCTGCTGGCCAGACCGCGTTTCTCTGTGTTGTCATTGCTAGAGCTTTCCCAGGCATTTATCACGTCCGGTAGGTAGCATGTGGTCCAGTCCCTTAACCAGGCTGTTGATGCTTGTGACGTCTGCCTTGCATGCATTAGGTTAGCAGGGGAATTACCTTACCCTGTTAGCTCAAGGAGCCCCAGAAGCGATGAGATCCAGTTATTTTCCTTGGTGACCACTGGTACGTAGTGTACTCGCACCCCAGCCCAGACCCAAGGAACCCCCAACTCTTGTTATTCATCACCGTCAGGACCCAAATCCACTTTGTCTCTCCCATTCCCGAGGTCAGCTGCGAGGTAGACCGCCAGCTGCGCGGCAGCTGCTTGAATACGAACGGTGCGCCCGTCCATCAACGTTTTGTTACGTCCTCTGGCACCGTAACGGAGACACTGATGAGATGCCCCAGGGCTCAAGTACCTGAGCGCCTCCTGCCCGCACTACCTTAGCAGCCTCAGACTCCAACAGAGCGATGCTGCTCCAATGTGGCACTTTGAAGCTGCACAATTGTGGCTGAAGCTGCACAATTGTGGCTGAAGTCACGTCTCCCGCAAGCAGCCTGGTAGAGCCAGCCCACAGCACCTCAATGCTCTTTGCTTATTAGGTAGCTCCCCCGCCGTGGGTTCGAGGTTGAACGCAATTGACTTCCCAAGGTCGCTGCAACGGGTCGCGTATGTACGTGTATATTACCTAATGTAGTAAATTAGTCTGTAAAAATAGTTGTGTTCTGAGTCCTGACTGAGATCACTGTCCGGGTACCTGACCACTGCTAAGGCGCATACAGGACTGTAACCAAGTTGGGATAGCTTCGCATCCCTGAGTGCTGCGCGCGTTGGGGTTTACTGTCTTCTTGTCGTCTTTTGTTCTTACTCGCCAGTGTCTTTTGCAATCTATATGCTTGGGGGCGATTCTAGTGCGTGGGATGCACCGAAATCTGCGTTGTACCTCTTGTGAATACTACATACCATTAGGAGGTACTTGCCTGCCTGCAAATTGTACATAGTCTCGGATCAACAACCTAAGGCCTACTGCCTACCTACACCTTTTCTGCCGCTCGGCGCGTCGCACAAAAGTCGCGTCCATCCCACTACCACCACCACCGCCATCACCACAATCAAGTACCACCCACGACCGCTGCCAGTCTGCGCGACCGTCGCCGTCGTCGCTACCTACGGTCACGATGGGGAAGCTCATTCGTTTGGAGTTGTTCAGTGCGTCTCTCCCTTCTGTTCACTGCTTACCCTGACTGCAACGCGTCGCGCCTCCTGCTAACCACCAACACTCAATCTCTATAGACTTCAAGTCCTACAAAGGCCACCACACCCTCTTGTTTGGTGATTCCTATTTTACCTCAATCATTGGCCCAAATGGATCGGGCAAGTCCAACTCGTGTGTTCTCCCTCCTTGTCCTCGTCTGTTTGGCGCATCCATGCTGATTAGCACCATCGCCATAGTATGGATGCGATATCCTTCGTCCTAGGTATCAAATCGTCGCATCTCAGATCCGCTCATCTGAAAGACCTCGTATATCGTGGCCGAGTCCTCAAGACCTCCAAAATTAATGACGATGGATCTGCCGACACTCCCGCCGCGAATGGTGTTGCAAATGGCGAAACAAACGGCATCGATCAATCCGAGCAACGCCCTACCCGCGGCGACCCCAAAAACGCCTGGGTCATGGCCGTCTACGAGGATGATGCAGGCGACGAGCAGAAGTGGAAACGATCCATTACCAACCAGGGCGCTAGTGAATACCGCATTAATGATCGCGTTGTCACTGCCCAGCAGTACAATGAGGCCCTTGAGGCCGAGAACATCCTCATCAAGGCTCGCAACTTCCTCGTCTTCCAGGGTGATGTCGAGGCCATTGCCGCCCAATCGCCGCAGGACCTGACTCGCCTCATCGAGCAGATTTCTGGCAGTCTAGAGTACAAGGCCGAGTACGAGAGATTACAAACCGAGGCTGACCAGGCTTCCGAGACAACGGCTTTCCAATTACAGCGGCGCCGGGGTATCAACTCTGAGATCAAACAGTATCAAGATCAGAAGAGGGAGGCTGAAAACTTCCAGGCCAAAACCGACGAGCGTGACAAGGCTATTGTTACACATATTCTATGGAAACTCTACCATTTTCAACGCATCATGGACGAGTCCAGCGCACAGATCCAAGAACACCAGGAGAACCTCAAAGAGTTCCGTCGCAACGTTGAAAAGTTCGAAAAAGACCTCGAGAACGCCCGCCAGGCGCAGTCCAAGGTGAATCAGGAGGTGCACAAGGTCGAGCGCCATATCAAGAGGCAGGAGAAGGAGCTCGAGGAGAAGGAAAACAGCCTCGTCCCGCTTGAGGAGAAGGTCCAACAAACCAATCAGGCTGTTGCTCAGATCCGCGCAAGAGTCAACGATGTTGGCGCAGATCGCGACGAACAAGCCAAGGTTATTGCAAAAGTTGAAAAAGACCTGGCCAGAGTGCAGAAGGCACAGAAGCAATTTGAGGATCAATGGAAAGAGACCATGAAGAAACAGGGCAAGGAATTGAGTGATGCAGACCGCAAGGAGTACAACTCACTACGTGCTCAGGCCATGGCTAAATCCTCTGAGAACCAGGCCAAGTTGGAGAATCTGATACGCCAATTGAAAACTGACCAGGTTACCGTCAACAGTTTGAGAGGCAAGGTTGAGAACTACGAAGCAGCTGCCGAGAAACTCGAGACAGAGTTGGCTGCAATCAAGGAAAGACGGAATACCGTGCAGGATTTCGTCAAGCAAACGACTGGCGAGATAGAGGCCAAGAAGAAGGAGTTTAACCGTATCCAATCCGAGCGCGTCAGGACCAACCAGCGAAGAACTGAACTGGACGAAAAGCTGCAGGATGTTCTGAGGAAATTGATCGAGGCTGACGACGGACGTCGCCAGAACGACAAAGAGGCTCGTTTGAAGGAAATGGTCACTTCCCTCAAGCGCGTCATTCCTGGTGTCAAGGGTCGGATCGGAGACTTGTGCAAACCGAAGCAGAAGAAGTACGACGAGGCCGTCATCACGGCTCTAGGGCGCGACTTTGATTCGGTCGTGGTTGATACGGAAAAGACTGGCCAGGAGTGTATCAAGTATCTCAAGGATCAACGGTTCCCCGCCATGACATTCCTCCCTCTCGACAATATCAAGGTAAACGCTGTCAGCAATGCCATCAAGAGCATACAAGGCGCGCGGCTGACCATTGATACCATCGATTTCGACTCATCATTGGAGCGTGCCATGACATATGCTTGCGGAGGCTCCATTGTCTGCGATACGCTAGACATTGCCAAGGATGTCTGCTACAATCGGCGTATCCAAGTGAAGGCTGTCACTCTCGAAGGTTTTGTGATTCACAAGGCAGGTCTAATGACTGGTGGTCGTGGGCCTGAACACAAGGGCAAACGCCGATTTGAGGAACATGATGTTCAGAACCTGCGGAATACGGCCGACAAATTCCGAGACGAGATCGAGAAGCTCCCTAAGGCAGACCGCCGCGGCGCTGCAGAAGAAAGCCTGCAGAGTGAACTATCCGGTCTTGAACAACGACTGTCTTTTGCCCGGAGCGAGCTTGCGGCGTTTGATCAAAACCAAACCAGCAAGAAGAAGGAACTCGAGAACGTCAGGCGCCAACTTAAGGAGTTGCAGCCAAAACTCAAAGAGGAAGACGACAAGTTGCAAAAGACTCGATCTACAGTGGACAAGTTTAAGAAAGCAATCGCTGAGGTTGAGGATAAGATCTTTGCTGATTTCTGTAAGCGGTTGGGCTACGCAGACATTCGAGCGTACGAGGCGCAACAGGGTAGTCTGGAGCAAGAAGCTGCCGAGAAGCGCAACGAGTTCGAGCTGCAGAAATCGCGTCTAAACGGAAGCCTTAATTGGGAAAAGTCTAGACTTGCCGATTCTGAGAGCAGACTAAAGCGCATGCGAGATCAGCTACAGCGTTTCCAAGATGATATTGAGAAATACGAGGCCGAGAAAGCCGAGATCGAAGAGGCAATGGGTTCCGACCAGGACGCCTTGGCCGCGCTTCAGGAGCAATACGAGAAGCTAAGGGAGAAGCTGTCCGAGCGCACGCAAAAGGTGAACGATGCCAAGGCTGATGTGCAAAAGAGGAGCAAAGATATCGAGGGCAGACAGAAGGCTATCAGTGCTCTGGAGACAGAAGTACAAAAGAACAGCGCTGGCAAGTTTGCGTTGCTTCGGCGTTGTCGACTCGAGCAGATCAATATTCCGTTGTCCGAAGGATCCTTGGATAACTTGCCCAATGAAGACAACCTCCTCCAGCAAGACCCCGACGCCATGGACGTTGATGAGGCTGAGGATGAGGCTATGGAAGAAGCAATGAATGATCACGGTATCGAGATCGACTTTGAAGAACTCCCAGCAGACCTCAGAGAAGTAAGTTTTCACGATGCGCATTTATGCTTATGAGTACGATATGCTGACTTTACCAGCCCGATGACGAAACGGTCGAGGATAAGTTGCAGAGCAAGATCTCGTCCCTGACATCGGAGCTTGAGAAATTGAACCCCAATATGCGTGCAATGGAACGACTTGAAGTAGTTGAAGCTCGACTACAAGCCACGGATCAGGAATGGAACGCATCCAAGGAGGCTTTCAAGGTTGCTCGCGAGGCGTTCGACGAGATCAAGGCAAAGAGATTTGAGTTGTTCAATAAGGCCTTCTCGCATATCCAAGAGCAAATCTCACAAGTCTACAAGGACCTGACAAGGTCTGAAAACTATCCTCTGGGTGGTCAAGCGTACCTGGATATCGAGGAAGACACCGACAAACCATATCTTTCTGGCATCAAGTACCACGCCATGCCGCCGCTCAAGCGCTTCCGAGATATGGAACACCTTTCTGGCGGTGAGAAGACCATGGCCGCTCTCGCACTGCTGTTTGCTATTCACAGCTACCAACCAAGTCCGTTCTTTGTGCTCGATGAAGTTGATGCTGCTTTGGACAACACAAATGTGGAAAGGATCAAGAACTACATTCGCGAGCACGCCGGTCCCGGCATGCAGTTTATCGTCATCAGTCTCAAGACGGGCTTGTTCCAGGATAGCGAAAGTCTGGTCGGCGTTTACCGAGATCAGGAAGTAAACAGTTCGAGGACGCTAACATTGGATGTAAGTTTGTGCGCTCTTGTCTTGTATTACCACTTTGCTGACTGTTGTATAGCTTCGAAAGTACCTCTAAGGCGTCAATCACGGCGATTTGAAATGAGTTTGTTTGTGGAGTTGGGGAGATTGGCTCATGATTATCACGAGTGGTCCGCTGGTCCAGGTTGGCAGGGCCAGGTGGCTCTGAATTGCATGACTGGAAATACCTCTGCTTTTTTTTCTTCCAGAGACGAATTGCGCTGTAAAATAACACTCGATCTGCGCCGTGTAAACAGGCTAGCCCAATGCTCGAACAGAAGGAGTAATTCATGCTTGCTAAATACAATTAATGCCGCAGGAAGAAGAAAAAAAACCAAGGCAATGGTACACGTTGCGTATCCATCCCGACTGTTTTTTTTTTTACAAGAAAAAAAAAAGGTTCTAGTATTGAGTGACTTGGAGCATCGAGAGTGCGGAAAGGTAAACTGGGTGATAGTATTGACTCGCATCGTGCCATGTCTAAATTGTTTGTTGAAACTCCTTTGCTTCCGAAGCAATATGTATAATAAAAAGATCCGTTGACTCCCGTGGCATACGTTGAGTACGCCATGCAGTTTTCCCTAAACACTGACTTGCCTGGAAGAAGAGGGATAAAAGAACGCTTATTGCCAAAACCCCAAAAGTGTCGTCGCATCACGACCGCTCTTCAAAGACACCCAATGGGCCCTTGAGCTTTGTGAACATTTCGTCCCTCTCGCCCTCGGCCGTGCTGAGAGCAGTCACGGCGCCGCCCGCCCCGATCCGCCAGACCTCGGTCTCGCCACCTTCACTGCCGGTAGTACTGCTCCGCGACGTCTCGTCATCCCATCGAAACAGACTCCGGATGGTCACGCTCCAGTCACCCTTGCCCGTGACATCCATGTAGCCGACCACGCCCGAGTACAGGCTCCGCTCGCGGTGCGACTCAATCTCTTGCAAAATTTCACAGCTGCGCTTCTTGGGGGCACCCGTCATGCTGCCGGGCGGCAGGCTCGCGGCCAGCACGTCGAGACCCGTGTAGTAGGCTCCGTCGTCTTGTTCTGGCTGATGGCTGGGGCCCGAGGGAAGCTGCCCCTCGACGACACTGATCATCTGGAAAACGCTGGCGTACTCCTCGACCTTGTTCAGCTGGGGAACGCGGACGCGGCCGGGCCCGCAGACGGTGTGCAAGTCGTGGCGGACCAGATCGACAATCATGAGGTTCTCGGCCTCCTCCTTGGGGACGTGCAGGATGCGCTCGGCCTCGGCCAGGGTGGCGCATGCCGTGGGCGACTTGCGGACGGTGCCCTTCATGGGCCGCATCGAGCACAACCCGTTGCGGTCGTACTCGAGAAACCGCTCCGGCGACGACGAGATGAGTGTCGCGCCGCCCAGGCATATGTAAGAGCCAAAGGGCGCGGGCTGCCGTGCGCGCAGGGTGCGGTAGAGATGCCACGAGTCAGGCGTCTTGGCGGCGCTCGAGGGCGCCCAGCTGTTGCTGCTGGCCATGGTTCCAACAGTGGCCGGGTTGGGTACCGCTCGGGTTATGGTGGTCTGGTCCGTGAGGCAGAGCTCGTACGAGTCACCCGCTGCTATGTACTCCTGACATGTCCGCACCTTGTCCTCATAGGTGTCGGCATCCGGGGTAACGATTGCTGCAGCGTTGGCAACGCCAGTTGGTGTAATCGGAGGGGTCAAGTGAGCCGTCTTCTTCAACTTGGTGTCGTTGATTCGCAAACCGTCCTCCCAGAGGGCGGCAGATTGGAGAGTAGCCGACGTGGAGTCTATCCACTCATTGGCTTCCTCAGTCGAAGAATGCAAGTACTGGATCCGCAGAGTGCCTTCAAGGTGATCGACCACTATGCTTTTCTGCACCCATGCAAAGCACAAGTCTGGTCTCTTATGGCTTCTGGACTCGACAGTCTTGACATCTATACACTCTAGACCGAGCTCATAAGTAATGAATCCCATGAATCCTCCAAGGAAAGGGGATTCGGCATCTGGTGCATTGATGATTCTGGCACTCAAAAAGTCAGACAGCATGTGCCAAACCGTCTGCCCTTGACGCAATGGAATTGTCTTGGTCCCATGCTGTTCGTCTGCCAATGACGCTGGCATGCGAGCGCAGACGTGAGGGTTGCCAACGTGATATTCGAGCCTTAAAGAGTCTTCAACATCTAGAGCAATAATGCTATACCGGCCACGAACATCGAGGCCGATGCGATTCGTATGCGCACTGGCAGAGTCGAGAATAATGTGATCGCGGGAATTGCTCTGTAACAACTCTACAATATCTGGGACTTCCACATGAGTGGGCAGCTGTATAGTTGTGGACAAGTATTTAGAGTCAGTGGCAAAGTCTGATAGACTTCCGAAAGCGTCTTTCTCGTCTTTCAAGGGCGACGATTGCTTGAGCAGACTTTGAGTTGTTGGACCCGTAATAGAGGCTTGGGGCCTCGGCGTCACTGTACGACCGTGTTGCTGATTCCATTTGAGTGCCTGGTTGAACCAGTTACTGATGATCTGATGGCCGGCATCCTCTGAACACACGGACTCGGGGTGATATTGCAAGCCCCAGAATGGTTTTGATGCATGCTTCATGCCCATGAGTATGCGCTCGGAAGAAGTATCTCTGGACTCCTCAACCCATGCGAGAGGGATTACATCCAAACTTGGAGGCCGCTGCCACTTGAGCGTAGTCCAGTCAGCCTCTGTAGCCGCGTCCTGTCCAAAATCGGCGCAGAGACTGTGGTATAGCGTCGCCTTGAAGGGACGCACGTCTTGGAAAATGTTGTCCTCCGTACACGGGAGTGTGTCGCAGAAGTCAATCTCACGGATCATTCCATGAAGACCTCCACCATGCAACCTCCGAATTTTGGCACCACAGCTGGCGGCCAGGCTCTGGAATCCCAAGCATATGCCCAGGACGGGAACAAGGTGATTGCCCTCGAGTTCCCAGATGTGCTTGATCAAGCCAACGTCGGCATCATTCGTCGGCGACCCAGGCCCAGGCCCACAGACTACAGCATCGTAATGCTGTAGCTCCTGCCTCCATTTCTCGTAAAAGTCATTGGACTTTGGGTCGAACCGGGGTGAGTCAATGTGCAGGATATCCACGTCAGCTCCCAGCAGCGTCGTCAGTAGAGAGACGACATTATTGCTGAAGGAGTCATAGGCGTCTAGGAACAATATCCGAGGGATACCCATGGCTAATTGACACGAACAAGTTTATGCCAAAAGCGAAATATTTGAACCCAACAACATGACCTGTTTTTTTTTTTATTTTAATGTCGGGTGTAGTTGAGCATCTCCGCAGAGTCGCGGGTAGTGGTGAGCAAGCACTGAGCAGTGAGGACCCTTCGGCAGCCGAGTTTGGAGGCGAGCACTAGCTAGAGAGAAATTTTAGCGGGTCTTACACTCCACGTTTTTTTCCCTAGCCGCCGAGCCATAACATTGGGTCGTCAAGTCTAGGCATGATACAAGCTTAAATCCTGAATCGTTAGATACTACCGAGTAGTACATGAATCATCCGTTAATACCCGCAGTGCAGGCGTCTCACTGTTTACCTTGCATAGTAGGTACTACCTGATATAGTAACATGGACTGCCAACGGTGCTTTCAAGATACATTAAGAACCTAGGTAGGTCATCATGATCAATTCAATAATCATCAACTGGTACTTTGACTTGATGTAACGATGTGTAAATATCAATCTAGGAGAACATTTCTTTTTCTGCTTCCAAGGTTTATTATGTCGTTTGCCCCACGTATCTTAGCTAAAATGCCAGGCCACCCCATCAAAATCTTGTGCTGCAGCTCCATGAATATGCCAGTCGTATAGTATAATTGTATACAAGAGGTGGTGTTTGAGAATTCAAAATAATCACACTTGCTTATGCACAAAACATACAATGCACTTTATGCATCCCCAGGCTCGTCCTTCTTGTATGCTGGCGGGTCATTCCAGTCGCCATCATGGGGCCTTACATTCATTGTCTGAGGGCCGAGTCGTGAACTCGTATACGCAGAGCCACAAAATTACAACTTCTCGAGTTTTACGGCAGTATAGACACCCCAATAGGCGCCTTATCCTTCAGCATCTTCGTCGTTACTGTCGCTTTCGGGATAGCGCTTGATGAAGTAGTTGTTGTTGTCGAGGATCATTATTGCCACATTGGGATATATTTTACTTGGGAAAATACGTCGATATTCTGAAAGCTTTTCATGTGATGAGGGAGTAATTCATGATGCCGTGAGATCCCACACCGGCCTTGTGCTTCATATAATTCAATGCGAAGACAGAATAAGCCCAAGGCTGGCGATTTGATCCGTTACATACATCACTTTTCATCGTGTCACATGGGACTCAGAAAGATGAACTTGTCATGCGAAGATTGACAATGAAATTTTCTACTTTGATATTAAATTATTGTGCAAAATAGACATTCCGTTGACTCATAATTGATTGTGACGAGATGACGTCACCCATTCGTCCCTTGTAGTAGGATGCTCGTTATGATACCCTATTATCCGTCGAATAGCCGCCTGGTGGTTTTTCCCATGCTGTAACTTAAATGCTGAACCCAACCGCTGTTCCCCCCCTTCATTTTTCACATTGACTAATTTCTGATCATGGCCGAGATCGCCATGGACAGCCAAGAGCTGCCGATTTGGGTTGCGTTTACAGGAAACAGCCGGCCACTTGTTTTCGACCTGTCAGGAGCTGTGCCTTTTGAACTATATTTGACTGCACGCAGAAGCGCTGTAGACGAGACAGACCCTCGAGATCTCGTGCTTCTAAAAACTGGTTCCGTGTTTGATTTTTCAGCAGCGCTGGACAAAGGTCTTGTGGAGCTTGTCGACGACGCCACCGGCGCTGTGATTCCCCGTCACAGGAGCACTGTTGAAACTGGAGCTGAAGAAGTCACTTGCCAAAGCCTAGATGACGAGTCATTCATCAGACTCCCTACCGACGTCCAACGCAGGGACCGCCCAACTCAAAAGCTGCCACTGAATGTGGCATCATGTCTCCGCGCAATGGTAGAGTCAGGGCGCAACTATCATGTACGGCTGCACGGTAAGAATCTAGGCGTGCGGTGGTGGAAGTGGGCGGAAAATTCAAAGTTATACATCGACGGCAGTGAGCTGCCTCCTTCTGAACACCAAGAAATCGTTTCGGTTGGTCCGCCACGATCCAAGACATTCACTGTCAAGTCAGAAATACCCATACCACCAAAGCCATATATTGGTCTTTCTCTAGCCCACACAGGGGAATCTGCCAGCGATGACGCTTCATCACCCATTTTACAGATCACTATCAAGAACACAAGCGAACGACCAATCATACTAAAGACCATCGGAGACCAACGTCACCTCAAGGAACCCGGCGAGATAACCAACCCGCGGGCCCGCGTTACCCACGAGCGCCCCAATCTACAAAACTTCTCCATCATCGATCAGGAGACCAAGGAGGATCTCATCAGCGATGCACCTACCTTTACCACGCCCGTTCCAGGCCGTGGACGAGGATGGCCACGGAAGCAGTTCCTTGCGCTCGCGCCACAGGAGCAAGTTGTTCGGACAGCCAAGCTGCCCGGACACCGACTCGTCCCCGGCCGGAAGTACAACATCAGCCTGAGATCTACGGGATGCTGGTGGACATACGGGACACTAGACGACTTGTTTGGCAAAGGTAACAATGTCTTTCAAACGTGGCCACCAGGACCGAAGGTACCAATGCCGTTGGAAAGTGAGGATGTAGTCGTGGTGAATTGCAAGTAATTGCGTGGCGAGCATGTGGCTATGCAGCTTGTACGCTTGCAATTAATGCATCAAGGACATTGTAGAAGCGAGGCAGACTAGATACCTGCATAGCCAAAGCAGATTACAGGCAGGGGTTGTAAGGCTCTGTAACTTTGTCAAGTCGCCGACTCCGCGAGAGAATGCCTCATTTTGGTATAGACCGCCACTGTAGGTCACTGCCACACTCCCTGTGGCCAGTCATCTTTAAGCACGTAGTTATTGCACAAAAATGGTGGTAGCACAACAAGGACAGAGAATTAGCTGGTGGTGGTGACAAGGCAGACACATTCTGGGGGCTGAAAATAGTATTATTTCCCTGCAGCCATAAACCCCGCATACTGCCATAACTCTCTACGGAAAAGAGGAAATTTGTCTCCAAATCTGTCGAGTGTCATCGCCGCATAGTTCCATCTGGGTGACTCTGTTTGGGTTTCATTGAATATTATTGTGAGATGCCAGAACCAGGTGATTACACAATCGGATGGATCTGCGCCCTTAGAACAGAACTCGTCGCTGCCACGGCTTTCCTTGATGAGAAACACGACGATCCGGATCATCTGCCCGCCAATGACGATAATGCTTATGTTCTAGGTCGCATCGGAAAGCACAATGTCGTGATTGCTGCTCTGCCGCATGGGCAGTATGGACTCGTCAGTGCCGCAAATGTCGCCAAGGACCTGTTGCGCAGTTTCACCAACATCAGAATCGGGCTGATGGTGGGCATTGGTGGTGGTGCACCGAGTGACAAGCACGATGTTCGCTTGGGAGATATCGTGGTTGGTACTCCAGGCAATGGCAGGGGCGGCGTATTGCAATACGACTATGGGAAGACAGTACAGGACAAGGACTTCCAAATGACTGGACATTTGAATCAACCACCACAATGCATACTCACGGCGCTGACCGTACTTGGAGCTCAGTATGAGGTCGATGGCCACGACATCCAAGCGCAAATCGATCGTGTGCTTGAGGGCAAACCACGGCTACGTGCCAACTACCAGAAACCAAATGCCATTTTGGATCGTCTGTATAGTCCTTCATTCACACATGCAGGAAACGACACCGAGAACTGCGCGACTACCTGCGATGACAACTCGAAGTTAGTCACACGACTCGAGCGACTTGAGGGCCACGATAGCCCAGTGATCCACTACGGGCTTATTGCTTCGGCGAACCAGCTCATGAAGGATGCGCATATACGGGATGACCTATCCACCAAGGAGGACATCCTATGTTTCGAGATGGAGGCTGCTGGGCTTATGAACAATTTCCCCTGCCTGGTGATTCGTGGCGTCTGCGATTATTCCGATACGCATAAAAACAAGGTCTGGCAGGGCTACGCAGCAATGGCGGCAGCTGCGTTTGCAAAAGATCTTCTCTGCAAGGTGGCGCCGAACAAGGTGGCAGCCGAAAAGAAATTGAACGAGTATCTTTCAGATGGTGTGTAGATTGTCACCCTTCTGCCCAGGAGCTGCTAATAAGTCGTTAGTGGACGCAAAGTTGTCTGTTATTTCTGATAGCCTCAGTCAATCTCAAACGAAAATGGAAGCCTTGCATACCGATAAACACGTTGAAAGGATTGTGCGTTGGCTTGCAGCGCCTGAAATTTCGAACAATCTAAACGCAGCCCTTGAAATACGTCACCAAGGTTCCGGCCAAAAGCTCATTGAAGGCGAAGCCTATGTCAAGTGGAGGAAAGATGCCGGATCTTTTCTTTGGTTGAGTGGGATACCGGGATGCGGCAAGACAATCCTGGCATCTACTTTAATCCAGGACCTACAATCGAACCCTCAATCCTCTCAAAATCTCCTCTATTACTATTTCGACTTTACAGATACGCTGAAGCAGATGTTCAAGAATGCTATCCGTTCGCTTCTGACCCAGTTATACCTCAAATCCGAGAGCGCCAAGATCACACTGCATTCACTATACGCAAGTTGTAAGAACGGCTGGGAGCAACCTAGCGTCAGCCTTCTATGTTCTACTTTCGCGACCATGGTTGAGCAAGCTGGAGAAATTTGGATCGTACTCGATGCCCTTGACGAATGTCCAAGACGGTATGATTTGCTCGATTGGTTACGAGACCTTCGAGCTAATCAGAAAAATGCTCATGTACTTGTCACTAGCCGCCCAGAACAGGATATCAAATCTGCAATCGATCGAATTTGCACCAACCAAGAGATCGTTACGGTCCAAAACGAGCTGCTGAAGGATGATATACGCAGTTACGTCCAAGCGCGTGTCAAGGAGCACGAGTCATTGAGCAGATGGCGGAATCGACCAGACATCCAGGAGGAGATTGAGGTTGTCCTGGTAGACAAGGCAAATGGAATGTAAGAACAATTGGTTTGTGATTTTCTTGCTTGAGCTAATCGATATACAGGTTTCGTTGCGTTGCATGCCAGCTCGACGCCTTGGAGAAATGCTGTGATCCCAAAACGTTGCGATCCACACTCGTCTCACTACCAAAGACTCTGGACGAGACTTATGAACGGATATTGGCAAGAATTCCTCCAGAGCATATGTGTCATGCGATTCGACTTCTCCAGTTTCTCACATACTCTGAGCGACCGCTGCGAGTTAATGAGGCTGTTGATGCGATTGCAATCGATCTGGGACCTGAAGTCCCACGAGGCTCCCGCTTTCATTCCCAAAACAGGATGCCGATTCCGGCAGAAATTACTATATACTGTTCGAGCCTTGTCGTTCTCGTACGCAGAGAATTGAAACGTTCAGGATATAGGCCCAAATACATACTCGAAGAGATCCAGCTGGCACACTTCTCTGTTAAAGACTATCTCATTTCAGACCGTCTGGCAAACGGGGCTGCTCAACATCTTAAGGAGACATCAGCTCGAAGCTTGATGGCTGAAGCTTGTCTCGCGTATCTGCTAGAACTTGATCCTAAAGTGGCAGCGATCCGACAAAAAACGGCGTTTCCTTTCTCTGAGTACTCGGCAAATTACTGGGCAAGCTATGCTATGGTGGGCGAGCAGAATAGTACCTTGGTGAGAAAGCTTGCGATGGAACTTCTTCAAAGCCCCGAATCAATTGATACTTGCCGCCAACTCCAGACACGTTTCTGGGAGCCCCCTGTGGAGCGTAATGCAACTGCGCTATATTACGCCTCACTACTAGGCCTACCGCTCTGTGTTGATATGCTTGTCGAACAGGGCGCCGATATCAATGCTCGTGGTGGCTTATACGGACAGGCTTTACAAGCCGCTTCGGCAAATGGGCACAGGCAGGTTGTCCAGCTGCTGATAGGAAATGGTGCTAACGTCCAGGCATGCGGCGGGCATCATGGGAATGCGTTGAACGCTGCTTCAAGTGGAGGATATGCGGAGATTTCCAAGCTGCTGATAGCAAAGGGAGCCGATGTCAATACCGAGGAAGATGGCCATGAGACTGCCCTACAAACTGCTTCAGCAAAAGGACATGTGGAAATTGTGCAATTATTGATTGAGAACGGCGCCAATATTCACGCTCAAGGCGGGAAGCATGGCAATGCACTACGAGCCGCTATCGCTGGACGACACAGTCAGGCTGTCCAAGTACTGAGAGGAAATAAACCTTACGCCCACGCCCAAAGCACAGCTGATGGTAAGAAGTCATACCTCGATCTAGCCGATGTGGATCGAAACGGATCGGAGCTATTGCGTTCAGCTGCAGCGGATGGAGATACCGGGCTTGTGGATATGCTGTTAGATCTGGGTGTTGACTGTAATACATATGCACATGGATGGACTCTATTCCACTGGGCTGCAGGAGCAGGTCACGTCGGAGTTGTCAAGTTATTACTCGACCGAGGAGCCGACGCGTCTATTTCGGATAACTTTGGAAGTACCCCATTAAACGTGGCAGCAAGAAAAGGTTACGTCGAAGTTGTCAAGCTATTACGATCGAGGAGCTAATATGTCTTATTCAAATGGCCAAGGATGGACCCCATTGCACTCGGCTACACGCTTCGGACATATCGTAATCATTCCGCTATCACTCGAAAGGGGAGCAGAATGGTCTGCTGTGACTCGAGATGGGCGATTTGCATTACAAGATGCTGCTTGGAAAGGCCACTCCGAATTGGTGCAACAACTGCTCAAGAATGGCGCTGATGCAATGGCTCGGGATTCATCTGGACAATCCGCCCTCTTCTACGCAATCATGTCCGGATTAAATAAGGTCTTCTCCATGCTATTGAACCACGCGCCCGCGCTCAATGAAGTCAGAGATCATTCTGGCTCCACCGCCTTGTCAGTGGCTTCACGACTTGGAAAATTCAACATGGTGGAGATGCTTGTATCATTGCCAAATACTAATTTGGCGTTTAGAGACAGTTTGGGCAGAACTGCTCTATGGTGGGCACAAACACAAGAACATGACAGCATCGCAGAATGCATCATTAGATCGGCTGAAGTGGCAGGTGTCTCTGCCTCTCCTCTCGGCTTGCCCATCGGCAGCAGAAACTTTTTAATCAGGAATGGGAATTATTGCATGATCTGCAAAGGGAACATAGAGTTCAGATCTGCTTTTTACCTCTGCAGGATCTTCTATGATGGCCGATTTCTCATCTGTTCGGATTGCAAGCGTCTCAGAGCTCATTCTACCTTCAAATCACATGTTCTAGTTCCATTCTAAGCACAGAGTCAATTAGTAGAGGACTAGAAGTCAGAAAGCGATGTGGTGCAACCTCATCTATGATAATTGCAGAGCTGGGTACCTTGGTAACATGTCTTGAGACCATTCCCTCAAAGTTTGCTGTGTTACATGCAGTACAGAAGGGGTCAATCGATTGCATATACCGATCATTCTGTTCGCCGACACAGAGTTCTATTACATTAGGAATACAGCCGTATGCGAATTTCACTGTTGTATGCACTTAACAATCTACAGAACACGTGCCAGATGACATCCCACGAGCGAAGTAACATTGTGATCGTATATAGCCAAACTAGCACGTGCATTAATGGTGAAACAATATACGTAAGTATTGATATAAAATGTTCGTATCTTGTATGTTCCCCGAGGACAATTTTCCTTTCCAATATCATCTAAGTCGAAAGTTATGCGTCATAGTCGCCTGAGGAAGAGTCGCATTATTTCGAGCAATAATCGCTAGATGAGCTATTATATCATGAAGACTGTCAGAATATATTCGCTATGACTTGTGTGTACAGAAATCCGAGAAGTAGTGATATGTGTAGAAAGGGTAACAGTTACTGAATTGAGAGCCTGCACAAATTTTATTGTTGGTGCCACTACTGGTGTCATTGGAAGAGATCGAAATCGTGACCGAAGCAGTAGCTCACTTTGTGTAATTATTTTATTGTACAGTTGATTTGCGAGTCGTGGCCATGTCCATTTTGAATCCAAGCCCGGTATAATTACTAAAGACCGAGGGATAAGTCAACAAAAAGCGAAGCATTATATATCAATATACCGTTGCCCCTTATGATATTTGACAAATCACCAACATAATTTGGCTCAATAAGCATGATCCAAACCTAGACAACACACCATTCAAGGGGATGTTGAGCGCTACTATCAAAATTGACAATGAGCACACCAAACATGATTGTTCCATGAGCAAACATATGTCTTGTGATATTGGAAGCAATACAATCAAAACTCAAACATATATACGTACTTGACTGGTATTCAAAAAGTAGCACGCCGTGACTGTATACCTATGTTATGTTGCAGCCAGCCTTAATTCTCTCACGGCGAATCGAGTCAGAGGTCGACTTTCGAGTCTGCGGAAGGGACCGCTGCTGCGTCGCGCCACTGAGGTTGGGCCCATCCAGACAATCCTGTTCAGCGCTTGTAGGGGAGCAATGGAGACTCCTCAGCGGGACCAAAGCTGCTAAATGAGGCCCAACCAACGGCTCTCATAATAGACCAACCCAATTCCTCTTCCAGCTTTGGCGTCTTATAGCAATAATTTGCGCACTCTAGAACCAAGAGCTAGGCATTTCATTATGGGAACTTCAGCTAGATACTGGCCTGGTGGCATCCCAGACACTATTCGGTTCCATCCGCAGCCAATTCTGAGTTCGCTGAAACAAGTCGTCAAAGGCTGGCAACTCTTCCTCGAGGTATGAAAAAGAGGTTCATGTCATGGGCACTACTATCGAGTTACTGACTCTGGTCAATATAGGAAAATGTAGTACCACGCAGCTCGACAGAGCAAGACCACGCCTTTGAAACTCGGCAGCGCCAAAAACTGATGCAGCAATGGGTTTCCCTCACCCAGGCCGAGCGCGACGAGTACCAAAGCTGCGCTCCAGTGCGGCCCAAGGAGTCATGGTACCCTCCAGCACTGAGGAGTAGAACCGGGGCGCCCAGGGAAACCATCACCATGGTCAACTGCATCGCGCCGTGGCCGCTGAGCCCGCGCAACCGGGCGCTGTGGACCAAGCTGCGCATCATGCTGTACTGCCTAGACGGCGACAGTGGCGCCCTGTTTGGCGAGCACGACGGCGAGGTCACGGCCCCCGAGCCCAGCCCGGCGGGCCCGAATCCGCTGACGCCGCAGGAGTTTCTCAAGTGGTGCTATGTAGAAAATGCCAACTTTGATCACATTGCCATGACGTCAGACGGCACCGTCGTCTGTCACAACTGGCAGGGCATTCTGCTGTTCGCGGACCAGGAGGCCCTGGATACGGGGCTCATGCTCCTCTGCCACATCGAGAACAATGGCCAAGTCATGTGTCAGGGCCGAGTCTGGCCCGTGTTGATGAAGGATGCCTATGTGGCCATGATGGCATCGGGCAAGCCCGTCGAGGCAATCCTCGACCAAGACATGTTCAAGGGGCCCGTCGAGTTTAGAAGGTATGATTGCTTTGCACGCACGATACTCTGCCCGTCACAACACCCACGTGAAATTGCTAACTGCAAAAAGGGTGAATATGGAGGATCCGATTATTGATATTCTCGAGTCTCAGTCTGCGTACCTCAATAACGCAGATATTGATGTTTGGGAAGAGGCGATTGACAGGTGTGCGCCTGGCTATCTGGAGATGGAAGAAGCAGCTGAGGGTATGGTATTTGATTATGATCACGCAAAATTCAGATCGCATAAAGAACTCGAACAAATGCCATGGAGTGACGAACAATAGAGATGATATCTATTATGGTGGACCAGGATTTAAATAACCGTCGGCTCCTGTGTTTTTGTAATTATTGCACCAACGCAAAAACAAGGTGGTAGTCGTTTCAACAAGATCAGCAGATTAATAGTCTGTACTCATCTAGGCGTGGGAAATGTTGCATGTGTCTTCCGAATCTGAATTGCCCCCATCTAGATGATTTCAATTGTCTTGATGCTGTCCTTGAAAATGCTATCCGGCGACTCAAATGTTAGGGATTTGGAGAAAGCAAAGAGTCGCTCGAAGACGCGCATGGACGTTCCTTCAACGGGCTTCAATACTAAACCCCAGGCCGTCCATTTCTCCGGAGCTGTGCCCCCATGAGTTGCCGTGAGACCTTCATTGCTCTGAACCAATTCATCACGCTTTCGGTATACGAGAGCCACGACAATTGTGTCGGGTAGTTGCTGGTGTTTCTTCTCATCGTCTGACTGCCGAGGCACAACTCCTGTACGGGCACTGTTTCGTAGGCCTTCAAGCACCCAGTCCCTCTCGCTGAGGAGGAGACTTTTCGATCCATACCCACTGGTCCACACCTTGAAGGCTTCCGCTCTTTTGTCTTCGTCTGACAAACTATATGCAAGGCACGGCAAAGTCATGACAAGCCTACCCTCCTGGACCTCTCCAAATTGAACGAGAGAACTCTTTGGTCTGACATGGACCTCTTCTATAGTGGCCAAAGATGCGGCATCGTGTGGCGGTAGCTGGTCATACAAGACTGTATCATCGACAGAAGCCCACGACCACGTCGGAGCTCTCCATACATCAGGGTAATGCATCGCAGAGTCCCTAGTTGACCATAATAGATCCCGCAAAAGGTTTGATCGCCATAGCCCAGCTATATACTCATCTTTGCACATGGCTGCGAACTCGGATGCCAAGCCAGAGAGCGCCGGAAGCTTGTCCTCTGGACGCGACATGGCTCGCCGTGAGTAGTTGCCCACGATACGATGCCATATATCGTACATGTCCCGATCATCATCGGAGTTTGGTGTATGGCTGCGATTGTTCTCCTCTTGTCTTCGGGTGGCTAGTCTCATTTGAAACTCTCGCCGGGTACTTTCCAGGTTGTTCTCATCAAAGGACCAGTCCTCACTCCCGCCGTCGCTGTGGGTTCCATGCCGGCAGAACCAGATCACCCGGTGGCCAAAGAAAAGGACCCGACTTGAGAGTAAACTTTCCTGAAGAGTCCAAGCTCGCTCATTGATTGGCTCCAGGGCCAGCTGATAGGGATTCTCCTCCCTGACGTAGACCTTGGCCGAGCCACCCGAATCTCTATCCCGTTCGAGACAAAACACGTCCAACGGCACTAGATCCCTTGGGAGGGGAAAATCAGTGTGAGTTTCACAACGTCCCATCTGCCGTAGGAAGCCACTGTTGCAATCAGGTGTACTGGCTGCAATGGTCAGGTATGCGCGTTTGTAGTACTGGTTCATCACTCCAAGTTCTTTTTCCTTGTCCTGCAAGTCATCCTGAACGATGCACAATGCGTCAACCCATATGAACCTGATGCCAATTTCCTCAGTGACGGAAATGGCGTCCTTGATGGCCGATGGCAACTCATTCAGCAGCAGCCCGCCTGGCTGACACCGAGCCCGGAAGTTGGCAGTGATAGTAGGGCTATGGTTACTTGGATCTGGACCCCAGCAGTAACTCAGCGCAACATATCGGCCTGGCTGCCCGTTTGTTTCAACCAATTGAATGGTTCTGTCGTCATTGATTTGGATGACTCGCGTTGGCAATTCTGCCTGTATCTCTAGCTCGCGTTGGCAAAAAGAATGGCTCGAGTCACATGTGTGTATCCAGCTCTTGACAAGCCTTAAGTTTTCGCCTCCGCCAGGGAATGTCGTGAGAGGATGGGCGGGTATCCACTGTTGAAGAATATTGTCTAGATACTGTTATTATCTCAATGAAGGTGCATGAAATATGGGTGTTCCCTGGGAAGAAGGACTAAGGGACCTACCAGGCAACGAGTAGAGTTCCAAAACGCATTCTGCCGTTGTTCGCCGGAAGGAATCCGGTGGGTTGACAAACCACATGAGCGATCTCTTGTCTCCATCTTCAGTGGTTCCAGTGAATGAAACATTGGGCAGGAATGATAATTCAGATTTCTCGCCGCCATCCCCAAGACTCAGAGAAACCTTGCTGAATGATCGAGTGTCAGGATCTTGGTCAAGTGGTCTGCAGATAAGGCCCATGACTTGCTCCTCTGTTCCGACGGCCCGAGCTGCGCTGCGAAGTCTGACAATGATATTTTGCAACTCGTCGGCCCCGTCGTCTGTGGAAGATCCCAGCGCGCAACACCGGGGAGTAGATTCACCCAGGAGCTGGCCGATCGACCTGGCGCGAAGAGAACCAAAGAGGCGAATTGCAACATAACAACAGAACTGACAGCCCGCCTCAATAGCTGCAACCAAGTCGAGGAGGGTTACCTCCCATATTATTTGCGTCTTCATTTCATCAGGCATAGCGGCGTCGACGTCGAAGCGGCGCAACCACGAAGGAAGGCCAAGGAAGGTCAGCTTTTTTGCAAGATCAAAGCATGAAGGACAGAATATGCTTCTTTCCACAAAAGCATTTTTTAACCAATCTTGGAAATGCTTTGCTTGATTTGGCTGCAAGGTGTAATAATCGTATTTGACTGTTGTATCAATCGTTTTCTCGCAGTCATCATGGAAGTCGGGTTCGTCGACATGGGCTTCATGGATTTCTCGACTCGTCAGATTGTGTTTGAACTCGTCCTTTCTCAGGGATTTCCAAGTACCAAGGGCATCCGGGTCGAGGTAGACCACTACAGGTGGCTGTGATTGCCTCCCATGCAGAGATCCCAAAATGATGACGGCAGGGCTATTAGCGCGCGCAGGAAAGAAATATACGGATCTTGACTGTGCCGAACAAGGCAAAGCTACCTGGTGTGAAAGCACAGATACCTCGGTATCACTTGTGCCGACATCATCAGAAGTGTCGCCACTCGGGGCGTGAAGTGGAAAACGCAAGACCCGAAGCCGGTCTCCAGTCAGAGACACATGAGCATGTTTCTCTGTCCAGGTAATGACGTAGGGCAAATGCGTCACAACCTTGGGCCATGTCCCCAGGTCAACACCATGACGACGGTCGAGTATTCGCGGCTTTCTTGAGCACGTGTCTTTCGGAGACAATGCCATTGTGGCAAACAAGACGAAGAGTCTGAGTGGCGCAAACAGGGTTGACCTACCTGTGAATCGTGCGACGTGGACAAATCTTCCACAAGAAGAGAAACGCATGCTGACTCCAATTGGGATGCAGGTATTGCCTGCCGTCTCTGATGTTTCGCAGGATTCAAAGGGTACATGGAATTTGAAATACGTCTTCTTCTGGAGATCTCCAAAGAGGAACTCGCGTCCGTCGAGAGGATATATGAAGAGTGGGAGTGTGGGATGAAGAATGGCAGAGGAGTCGTGCAGCGAGGAAGAATGTCGATGTGTGTATCGGAATGGATTGGCAATGTCGCTGTGCCTCGGCTCAACGAGAATGTCCACCACGGGCATTGATGTGTCCTGTGTGATGCCATCCTCCCAACGGACACGCCGATCGCGATGCGTAAAGGTGGCTCTGGACAGCACATGATTTTGGTTCTTGCACCAAGACCCTTTGGCAAAACATGCAGAGCATAAATCGAAAGCGTCCCACTCATCTTTACCACATGGGAAACACTGGTAGTATATGCTACACTTTGAGTTTGTCTCCAGGTCAGTGTCGTGGACCACGGGTATTTTGCAAAGGTCACAATATCGACCGTATGAAAAAAGGTGCTTTAGCGCTTTTGGACCCGCGTGTGGCTGAGAGTTGGTTTCATCATCACTTTCGGAGCCAGATTCTTCGTCATCGGCGTCTGAATCATCCGGAGTATGCATGTCATTGATATTCTGACGCTCCACAATCGACGGCGATGACACGCGTTTGGATCGAGAGCTTGAGGCTTTCCTGGGGGCACGACGTCGATGCTTCCTGATGTGCTTGTTTGGGCTTCGGGAGACACTATCTGAATCTGAAGAAGATCCGCTACTCGAAGATTGACTTTCTGAAGACCCGGAAGACGATGAAAGTTCACTGGAGGATTCGAAATCGCTCTGATCAGCCGTGTCCGCGCCTGATGCCAAAGCACTGTCTTGTGAAGCTTCATCAGATGAGTCAATTTCCGAGGCCGTGTCAAGGTGAAACTCTTCGGCAGATGACACTTGGTCTGGCCCGACGGATGAATATTCTGGTTGTGAGTCTTCATCTTCAGTGTGTACGTCCGAGATTGAGTCAGAATCCGAGTCCAGACTTTTGGTCTGATACGCTGCTGAAGTGAATGTCGGTTGTTTCAAGCCAACATACCTTCGGCGAGATTGAAAAATCCAAGAGTCGTTCATTACAATATCATCCCAGTAAGTTTTCTCCTGTTCATCCTTCTTGTCGAGTGCGGCCCAGTTGCCTCTATTTCCCCGAAGGAATAAATTGCAACCGATACGAACCGCCGAGCCGTACTGTGTTTCGTGCATTGCAGATACCCTCTGTGAGGGATCGACGATGGGAACCAGCGAGAGCTTAGTCTCAGGTGAGGCACCATAACTGCTCCAAAGGACTTGTTCTGGGTCAAACAAGAGAACTTCTTGCTGACCGTAACGAGACGGAGGTCTCTTGCCATCGACCAACCATGACTCACGCACGACTTTGGCTTGGCTGAAGATGGGCGAACCATCATCACTGCCATACACACAGCATTAGACCCCATGCAATAACATCAAAACAAGATGGCGAGAAATTACATACCTTTGGATTGGGACTCTCAAGACTGCGATGCGCCCGCCGTCATCGCTAATTGTTTCTTGGAAGTCATATGACCCGGAAGCTTGATCCTGAGCAGCGATACCAAGATCGAATTCCAACAAGAAACTCTTATTTCTCTCTATTCTCGTTCCGTGAGTGTGGAGAAAGTTGTTGTGGCCCAGAGCGCCCCAAAAACAATCATCAATATCGCCACTACGTGGTGGCCTTAAAATGCCCGAATGAAGGAAATTGGTCCATTCTTCGAGAAAAGCTTGGTAGTCACCGATGAGATTATCAAGTTGTTCTTCTCCAGAAGGATTTGTGTGAAGTCTCGATCTCCTAGCCACCATCTTCTCGTCTTCTTTCTCTGATTTTCCGTTCGGCCGGAAAGAGCCATTCAGATGGAGACTTTGGAACCGTATCATTGACAAGAACTGCGGCGAGCGTAGAAAAGAGCCCACTTTCGCAAGCAATTCCGCCCCAGACTCATTCAGGTGTTTATGCCAATACCTTGCGGCATAGGCCAGAAACGAGTGGCTCTGTAGAGACGCTGTTTTGAGTGAGTCCATGGGTTTGGCGTATCGGCGCTGTGATAGGTACTTCAGGCATGCATCTGCAATTACCTTGGGTCGAAGTTGAAGGCGCTGTTTTTCAACTTCGAGCTGACCACGAAGAAACCAGAAAACTGATGCATGCGACAATCTCAAGTAGCCATCTTCTGATGCTTCTCCAATCGGCAAGAAGTGAATGAATGGGCCGCAGAGCTTTTGAATCTCATTGCCGTCGACTATAGTATACCATTAGCCAAGATGCTGGCAGGAGCAACGAAAAGGTCAAGACGAGGAATATGGAGAGGTAACTTACGTTGTTCAATGTCACCAGATATGAGATTATCACAGTGGAACCCAATTGGAGCATAATCTTTGAAGGGCTTGTGAGATATGGCCAGGGCTTCTCTGATTTCGGTCAATTTCAGTGGTCTCTGCGCAAATAGAACCAGCGAAAGGATTTTCCTGTAATCATGTTTAGCCAAAGGAGCAGACCGGATGCTATTCAAGGCTCACATTGCTGGAATACTAGAATCCTCTTCACCATTGAGCAAAAGATCCAAGCTCTCTGCATACGCCTCGCGGATGTCAGAGGGCATTTTCAGCTGTTTTGTTTCCGCCGAAGACGTGTCTGACAGCATTGACATTTGCAATCTGTCCAAAGCAGTGGCTGCCAACAGAAAGTTGTCACTGGTAGTCTCCAGTATTTCAGATCCGACGACTTTTGGCATTTCCCCTTCCAGAGAACCGGTTAACCTGTGATGAGCATATGAAGCAACATCACCTGCCAGCGATTGCGCATCCAAGGGTAGCTCAAGCGCGCCACATTCGTCGATCCATTTCCCCATCTCGCCTGATCTATTTGAGCTACACCATATGCGAAGTGGCATTTCTCCACCTTCTTTTGTTAGTCCAACAAGAAAAGTCAAAGTTGAATGAAGTTGTTGCTTTGGCAAGTCGATGTCGGTGGCTTTTCCTTGTGATGATCCCTGCAATTCCAGACTGACTTCGTCCAGACCATCAATGAAGACAAATGCAATATGGCATTGACGGATGAGACATTTGATCAAGTCCTGTACTTTTAGCATCTTTTCATGTCCATCGGGATGCCCATTCAGTCCCGACAATACCTCTGTGTCGACGCCATGTCCGCGCTCAACAAGGTAGTCGAGCAATTGTAAGGCAATTTGGACCAGGAGCTGGTATTCGGACCGGGGGTGATCAAATTTTAGCATGAGATACACGACGGCAGGCTTTTGAGAGGTCCGTTGCACCCACTGAGAAGTAGTAGCGCAGAGAACGGATTTTCCACAGCCCTCGGGACCGGTGACCCAAAGGATGGGGCTTGGTGACTCCAATGTGACCCATTTGCGGAAAAGTTCGAGTTCCAGGAGCCATTTTCCAGTGCCTGTGTGGTACTGGTCGAGCTGCTTTTGATAGTCAATTTTGTTAAGAGTATCAGGGCGCCGTCCAAGCCAGTCCCGTACTCTTTGAATGTCCTCCGGTAGCTGGGTAGTGCATTCCATGCCCTCTTGGATACAGCGGAGCAATTGATCGTAGTTGGCTGTTCCCCGGCAAAGCTTAGATATGCTTCTGTGGTCTGCTCCAGGGAAGAAGGCCCGGTTGACATGATTCAAAGAAGCAAAGTTGAAAGCCTCAGACTCAATCTGTGATGAAAATGAGCTATGAATTCGGCTCCAAAAGTCGGCCAAGGCAGGGTCTGGAGGACTGTATGTTCTCCAAAATGTACTCACATTGGTTACAACGTCGGCCGTGTCATTGTTGACACCAACAAGTCCCGTCGTTATGTTGAAACGAGAGGCAATTTCAAGAAAAGCTTTTTGTGTGCTTTCAACGACAGCAGACCAGATTTTCCACCTTCCAATACTGTCTTGGCTGGAAGAAGCCATGGAAATCTGTCTCCAAGTGTCCCAACTCAGGTCGGAATGTGGCGTTTCAAGAAAAATGACGTGTTTAGTCTTTTTCAGCACAACGGCATCCTTGTCGACATGCGAAGAGCAAAGAGCCTAGAATCAATGGCTAAGCTACGGTGCCATCCGTGGATCTGGTCACGGTGAGAAGTACTGACATTTTTGATTACAAGACCTCCCACATCGTGTCCGATCAGAACGAGGGGAACTTGTATCTAGAAGCGATACACTAAGTACAATATACTCAGTCGAGAACAGAGTCCATGCCATGCTCACCTTCTTTGACATTCGGTTGCGCATCAAGGCCATGCGCAGCGTTTGACCGGGTTCGAAAACAATACCGCCTTGGTAAAAGTCGTCGGAGCGGATTGAGAGCCGGTTCGGGTCATAGCCAAACGCCAAAATGCGTGCGTTTCCCAAGTCCAAAGGTAACTGTGCCAATGGCCAGCATACCCCGTCTTCATTCTGCCAGTCAGAGATTGGCCCTCCATGGAGGCCATGAACAAAGACAATACTAATGCAATAAGTCAACTTCAGAATTTCCAAGGTTTTCAGGCCAAGATGACAGCAGTGAGAAGGCCAACAAGAACGTACTCGTATTTGTGCTTTGGCGGTAGTGCGCCATCCGGAGGCCATATCACCCTGAGACCAAGGAAATCTGCAGCCATCTTGATCTGCTTCAATTTTGAATCATTTGAGGGGTTGAAAGAAGTTGATCAAATTATCATCGTTGAAAGTAAAAAAGTTACGGAATCGCGGGGCAAAACTTGATTGTATACGTAGTAGGCATGTAGGTGATATAGCTACCTGGGCAGTAGACGGGTGGGAAGGGAAAAGGGCCTATTGGGATCCCGGTTGCGCTTTCAAAAAATGGACAATGTCTTGCAATTACAGGCAATTTGCATGCAAATCATATCATGGTGGTCAGGCAAAAGTCTGCCTAATAGTTGCTTACACTAATCAAAGTCTGCTAGCATTGGTGGGATCTGGTCAGCTTGCATGTCTGCCTCAAATATCAATCATCAACCCCGCTTATTGTGCGACTCTAGGTAGCAGAAAGCGACCACAAGGCTCGCTCAAGGCACCTGTGCCTCTTTGTGCCTGTATAGCACGTATATGTGCATGCACAGCCCCTCCGCCCAGCCTGCCTTTGACCTTGTCAGTGATCCCGAATTACGCTGGTCAAATATCAGATACATCTCACAAACTTTTGTTGCAACTTCCTCTCTGTCATTGACATTCAAACGAGTTGGCAAGACCATCACATTATCCCGTGAAAAATGGATAGCATGACAGACCGGGACAAGTTGGCCCTTCTGGCCAAGCAAGAAACAACCGACGGCCCTCACAATGTCTTTGATATTTCGCAATTCGAGCACCAAGTTGATCAAAAAGTCTCTCCAAAAGTAATTGAACGACTTCAAAAGGAATTTGGCAATGATATGGCTGGTGGTAAGAAATTTCCATGGAGCACCACCCTTTTCCCTCTCTCTCTCTCTTGAGCGCTAGGGTATGTCGCTTACGCTGTGTTTTCAATGCCCAGCAATTGACAAGTTTTTCGGGATGAAGAACAAGTCTCCCGAGCAAGAGCCACCTAATGGCAAGGCAGAGACCGATGGAGAGTCCGGGTCCGAGTCAGAGGGTAATCCAACCCCAGACCTAGACAATCGACAGGAAATAGTGACTAGAGACCGATAGTATGTATTCAATTCCCTCTAATGATCATTCCATTTGTGGCATGATTATAGTTACGCTCATAGTCTAACCTGCTTTGCAATAGCTGGGATAGGTGCGTTGATTCAAATTCTGTTATTGACTGATATCCCCACCATCTTCAGACCGAGTCTAATATTGATGCCGTCTACAGATTCAAGCGGCAATTTGTTTTGAAGAAGCCTGCAAAACCCAAGAATGAGTCTAGAAGATACAAAGACTGCGTCATCTTTGTTCGTCGAGACTATAACCCAGAGATGACTGATTACCAAACCGTCTTGATCATTTCTGGAGAAGTCCTTCGAAACGCCCTGCGAAACATATTCCGTGGGGCAGCAGGTTTTGGGTTGACCGAGAATATCATCACAGAGGTCAGTATTGCCCGTTCATTCTTGTCGAACAGTATTATTTGTCAAAATATCTGGTAAATAACATACGTATGCCCTTATAGCTCGATCCAAGTTTCATGTTTTGGGCTCGACCCGAATTCGAGCTCCTTGCGAAGCATTACCATGAGGTTGGAGACAAGACGGCCGTCTTCGAGATGGGTGCCGCTTTCAACTTCATTGATACCCAGTATGGAGAAATGGTCTCGGTTCTAGACTCATTGCTACCTCATTCCATCACTTTTGAGTACCTGTGGGCAATTTTGCCACCCGATTGCTTGATTGTTGGAACGGATGCACTTGACTTTCAGAGCATCTGGTGCGTGCGGAGCCACAGCGTTCAATGCATACAAGGCCAAAACTTCTTGATCATGGAGGCAGAGAACATTATCTGGGACGGGTCCAAGGCAGGAAGCGTGCACCAGATGTTGCGGATCCCAATGTTCACTGGTGTCAAGCTGATACGGGATCTTCCATACATCCCCTTGGATTACCACCCACAACGTGAGGAAGCAATGAAGAATGTCCTGAAGCGTAGCGTCAAGGCCTTGGAGTTCTGGCAACCTCATTTCCGACACCTCGAGCATCAGGGCACTGGTTTGGCCAAGGTCCACGACAAGGTTGATTACTACCCAGTAAGTCTGAAACATGTTACTTTATGATGTAAAAGTCCCATCGAAGCTGAAAACAAGATCACAGTTCAGCGGGCGTGTAGTGGTAGATCCCAAGACGATGCGGCGAATGGATCCATCCAACCCAGTCATGCCACATTCCAGTGCAATCAGCAATCTGCGCAAAATTTCTAGAGTATCAATGGCGGAGTTCTCAATGAGTCACGAGGTATTTCAATCATTATCCCCTCGCTATAAATCATGAGTACTGATGCGAGTGCAGGGCCCAAACACGTCAGAAGAGCTTCTCAAGGAGCTTCTGAAAGATGCGAGCGACGCTATGCTTGAGTTTGTGGGCGGAGATTCTGGCAAACATAACGCGAGGAACAGAAGCTACGGAAGAGGTCGTCCACCCCCTCGAGTTCCGGGAATCATGCGCCCTCCACCAGGTTTACCCCCGTTTTATCGCAGCAGCAGCAGCAGTAGTGGCAGCGCATCATCAAGCGATAACGAAACGTGGACGTCTTTACCAGCATCTAGACAAAATCGATCAACAGCTCGAAGAGTTCAGCTGTCCAAGAAGCAGATGCTTCTTGTCTCTGGCTTTGTCTATGGATATAGCCTGCGCGATAGTACTTGGGGTACGCCAATGTCCGAAGTAGGGGTTGCCACGATTTGCTGACAAATTCGCAGGTGCCTTTTCTGTTGATCGAGTGTCGGAAATTGATTGGAATGAGTTAGCTATCCCTCAAGTTTCATCTTGTTTTCTCTTATTTGTTTACCATTTCATCTGCTTTTCTTCACCAAAACTTTCATATACTACTTGATGAGATTTGACCCCTCTGACTGACGCCTGGTACAGGACCATATTTGATTCTCTTGTCATGGAGAAGTCGCTCAAAGATGTAATATATCAGCTCGTCGTTGCCCATGGTGCAGGAAATTCGGACTTTGATGATCTCATCAAGGGCAAGGGCAAGGGCCTTGTCGGGCTCCTCTACGGACCTCCAGGATCCGGCAAGACATTGACGGCCGAAGCGATTGCCGAAACTGCCAAAATGCCGCTGTATGCAATATCCAGTGGAGCACTGGGCCACGAGGCGACCAAGATTCACGACAAATTGTCTAGCATCCTCAAGCTAGCAAGCCACTGGAAGGCAGTGCTTCTGCTAGATGAGGCAGACGTCTTTCTTGCTCAGCGAACAACGACAGACATTGAAAGAAATGCGATAGTTTCCGTCTTTCTTAGAGAGCTCGAATACTACCAGGGCATTCTCATCTTGACCACCAACCAAGCTCAAGTCATTGATGAGGCCTTTCAAAGTTGGTGTGCCACCATTTGATGATCGACGTTTGCTAATTACAACGTTGTCTGTTGTCAGGCCGAATCCACCTCTCCCTTCAGTATTTCAGTCTCGATACTGCTTCACGTTACAGAGTTTGGGATAGCTTGATGGAGAATGCGCGCAAGTCCAAGAGAATCAAGGTGGATGTTACTCAGGATGCTCTGCAAACTTTGGCCGAGGTGCCGCTTAATGGCCGACAGGTATGTCGCTCCTCCCGTTACAGCATGTTGGCCGCGTGAATATTGGACTGACATTCAGCGCTAGATAAAAAACACTATCAGCATTGCAGTCAATATTGCCACTACAAGCGAGTCGCAAGTTATGACGGCCGAGACGCTGAGCAACACGGCAAGACTACTGCAGAACTCCCAGTTTCGTCGGCAGGAGTCTGATCATGGTGAGGGGTCGAGAACCTTGGCTAAGGGTGTTCTAGCAGATTCGGGTGACGACGAGCTGGCTACAAACACAGTCCGACAGACGACAAACTCCACGGCCAAAGAAAATCAGTTCATGATAAGCCCGCGTACCATGGCATTGTTGATTGGCTTTCTAGGAGCGTTCCTATGGAATACCTATCTGACCTGAGCCAATGTAAAGGGAAGATGAGATTGAAATAGCGTATGACAGATGTCTGGGTTGATCCCCCGATCTACAAAAGAGAGATGCTGTAGGTAGTCAGGTGTGAGGACTGAAGCATGTAGTAAACTTGAACCTATGAACTCTAGATGTCTGCCATAATGACATTGAAAGCCTTCTGACTCATAACAAAGGTGGGAGCAACTGGCATGGCTCCAGGTGTCCTCGGGAACACGGAGGCATCAACCACTCTGAGCCCATCCACGCCATGGACCCTGAACTTGGAGTCCACACAGTATCTTTGGCTGGCGTCCTCAGCAGATGGTCCCATGCGACAGGTTGACGTGACGTGGTGACTAAACGCCTCATCCACAATCGCCTGTCTAGTGTCACCAACGTCGGGCCGTGGCTCAACAACGGTAAAGGGGGCATAAGGCGGCCCCGTTGCGTTGAACATGCGCATGGCAAACGCGACACCCTCTTCGAGGGCCTGGAGATCGCGGTCTCTGGTCTCCTCGGTGAACCAGTTGAAATCAATCGAGGGCACATCCCTCGGGTCAGCAGAGCGCAACGTCACTGTGCCCTGACTCTGATCGCCGGGCGTCTGCATCTTGGCAATGGACCAGAACCACGACTCTGCCGGATAGTGCGCCGTAGAGTAGCCGGGGAAGAAGCCGCGAAACACCGTACCGGCAGCACCAAAGATGAGAAGGTCGGCATCTTCATTCTCGGATACACTGGTGCGGTAGAGCATGGAGATGGGTGCTGCACCTTCACCATATGGCCCAGTATGTGTGGTCTGCCATTCAACCAGGCAGGGATCAGACGAATCGGAGACGTTGAATAGACACTCGGCAAAGGGGTTGTTCTCCCAGGGAATCGCGGCCTCCACCGTGACACCCGCCTCATAGTTGTCTTGCATATATAAGCCCTGTGTAAAGACTCATCGTTAGTTCCAAAGCCACCAAGAAATCGCTGGGCATCAGTGCAAAGGATGCACAACTCACCACTGCAGGAAGATCCACTACGACGTCAATGCCCAATGCTTCCAGCTCATCTCGTGGTCCGACGCCACTGAGCTTCAAAATCTGCGGCGTGTTAAAGGCACCGCCACTAACAATGACTTCGCGCGATGCCGTCACACGACGCAATTCCCCTGCAGCCTCGGCATCATATCTCCTGTCAGCTGCGTAAAGCCCCTCGCCAACCATATACTCGACGCCGTATGCCTTTGGACGGCCGTCTTGTGTATTTTCAAATAAAACGCGGGTGGCGAGAGAGTTTGTACTCAGCGTCAGAGGGTATAGGGCGGAGTCATCGGTCGGAGAGCGTGCAGCAAGTGTCTCTACAATGTAGTTTCTGGACCCGTCACGACGACGAAACTCGTCATAATGTAGTGGAAGTTGGTAGATGCCGTTGCGTGCATAGCGCCCTGCGTCGGCCGCATTGAGGTCCCTTTCCATGAGCTCTCCAATCTGTTCGGGACTTGTAATGTCAATGTCCTCAGCTTCGAGGAACGCATGTTGAAGGACCTCGACAACGCCTGGGCGTGAAGTGACATAGGATATGTTGTTACGGTTGCTCTATGATCATGGCAATTTCGTTAGCCTGGCGTTTTTGTGCAATAGAAACGGGATAGATGGCACATACCGAAATGAATCCCTCGAATCCATGACCCTCCGTACCGGGTGGGATATAGGTGCAATTTTCAACTTGTGTGAAATACGTGCGCATGTTATCAGCTCTCCATGATTCGTCACCAGTAAGCTCCGCTATGTACTCCCAGTCGTTGTCGGGAGGCAGGGCAAAGTTCATGGCATTGAGCTGGGCTGAGCCACCGAGTGTAGCACCTCGAGGGTAGAAAATACCCAAACTACCGAAAGTCAGTCAATGATCAAAGATATAACTGGTATCAGGGGATATCCTACGGCTCTGCATCTGCGGGAGGTTCAAGACCGTAGTAGTAGGACCCGTTAGCCAAACGGTAAGTAAACTTGGAATCGCGACGGGCTTGAGTATCGTTTTGGAAATGAGAGACGAAGAACTCCCAAGACATTTCAGGGTGCTCAGAGACAGGGTCGGCCCTGAAAATCATAAGTCATTTGAAAAGAATAATGGTTCTCAACTTGGTTGTACTCACATTGCCGGAATCTGCTGCAGAAGAGTGTCGCCATTGTCAGCTCCGGCTTCAATCAAGAAGACTGAGTGGCCACTGCGTGCCAGATTTGCCCTGGTGATTGTTAAAAGGTATTTCTCCTGTATGTTGTCGCTCAACTTACGCCAGAGTGCCTCCGCCAGGGCCCGAGCCAATGATCACATATTCGTACTCGGCAGCATCATTTGCAACTGGCAATGCCGCGACACAGCTCGCGAGCATCAGGGGAGAGAAGAATGATGTCTTTCGCATATTTGCGTGTGGATTTCGACGAGATGCAATGTTCAGTGATGAGTGTTTGTTGATATTATTCTCATTGTCTTACCGAGTCTTCTTGTCTCTATATATCTGCTCCATGGTCGCGTACAATGCATCGCTATCTCCGTGCTCGCCTTCTCCAAATTGATCGCTGCTGCTAAAGTCTCACCAAAGTCCGTCATATTCGAATTGCCCAGGAACTATAAGTGTCCAAGGGTGCGGATTTAAGAAACTTGACAAACGCGAGGTATGCCAAGTCGCCAAGATGTGGCTCAACTTACCGCCAAGGGTGCCGGCCTATAGTAGCGCTCTCCTCATGTGTTATGCAAAGACGATAGAGCACGAGCCACACTGACTGTATTCACTGCGAGTTGTTCTTCTTATGAGTCTTGCACGTCAAAATAGGAAACGAGATCGACAGTATGTCCGCACTTTACAATGGATGTACATAAGAACTAGGCTTGATTCTAAGACAGGTTCTATAATTAGCAAGGCAGTGGTTGGAATGGATCCGAGGAACATTATTAGATGGTCTGCGGACTAGGTCTACCGTGTGGTTGGTTACGATAAAACCATATAGTTGCTGGTGCTTGGGTTTTCTAAAGACAGTGGAACTCTTTGCTCGGCTCGTGACGGGTTAACAAAAAGATCTCTGGCCCCATCCTTTTTGTGAGACAAACTCATCCAGGCTGCGCTGAACACTAGAGTTGTGCTTTCTTCTTCAATAATTTTAGGCCCTTTTACGCACCAAACCCGACGAGGCGGACATTCCACAAGTCCTGATGGATCAGTACTCTACCGTACACGTCTCGCGTTCACCCAAAACCCATGAATATTTGCTTCTGGATTGTGCAATGAGAGGTTATGATTCAGGCTGGTGCCCATGGCGATGATGCAGAGCCTTTGTGTCACTATTGCTGGATTCGCGGTCAAGGGCATTTCCAGCATGAATATTGGGGATATATATTATATCAACTAGAAGGATAGTAGCAATCATAGTTTGTTTGGCCAGACTGCCACCGACAGCACGGTCCCTTTCAAGATGTCCAGGTCCGAAACACCAATGAGTATCTGTTTCTCTGGTATTTTCAATTCGACCCAACTTACCTTTAGAAATACGTCTGCCACTGGGCTGTATGCAGCAATTGTGGTAGAAAGAGACTGGACAGGACTGGATTTGTTCATTGCTATTTGCTTGGAAAGTATCGAATAGTTGTTAGTTTCGTCGGGGTCGGGCTAGGGTTAAGCTAGGGCCATTGGTTTTACACTTGAAGGTGGGTCAAGTCACAGGCAAGAGGAACACGACGCAGCGGACATTGCACATCTCCAATTGAATAACGCTGAAATTATAAAATGCCCAAAGACCCTTTCTTCTTGAATTTCTTTCCGAAACACACGGAATATATGCGTGGGGCCAGAAGACAAAACGATTCTGTATGATTGACTCAGATACTTGGGTCTATTGCAATTCATCGCACCAAGTGCCCCGCGAAGTAAACTTGAGAACTGGCCCATCGTGACCCGCGGCGAAAAGATTGTACATCGGAAACTCGGTCTCCTCGCCCCCATGATGTGTGAAGCCAGATATACCATCTCCCATGATCTTCTCAGCACCAGAGGACGCCCTCTGAAAGTCAAAGTACCACAGCGTCTTGGCCAAAACAAGACTCATCTCGAGATACGCCATTGACTTTCCAGCACATCCACGAGATCCAAAGGAAAACGGCGTAAAGGCTGCGTGGTGGGCTCGGCCGGGCTGTGCACCAGGCATCCATCTTTCGGGGTCAAATTTGAACGAATCCGGGAAATATTCCTCGTTATGGTGAAGGCTGTAGATATTCACCCCAACCTGAGTCCCTGGAGGAATGGCGTGACCATCTACGACCAGTGACTGGCCTTTGACGGCCTCGCGCCATAGAGTCGAGGGTACTGGGGGAGACATGCGCATCGTTTCGTCGATGCAAGCACGCAGGTATCGACAGCCAGAAAGCTTTGATCCGCCGCGGATTTCATCGGCTGATTGGAACGTAGTCCGTATCTCCTCGGCCAGCTTTTCGTAAATCTCAGCGTTACGCGAAAGGTAAAAGAATGCAGCAGACAGGGTCGATGCTATGGTTTCCCCTCCTGCGAGCAAGAATTAGTTTAGAAACCAAGAACTATCTTGAATGAGAGTAAAGAAAGCATACCAGCTGCAAAGAAAAAGACAGCCTCGGCCCAGAGGCTCTGCTGCTTGATATTTTTGATATCACTATCGGACTGTTCTGCATAAACAGCCAACAAATCTTGTTCGGCATCTGATGGTTTAGCCAGACGAGATTTTATCATGCTCATCAACATGTCCATCAGTCGGGCCCTTAGGCTGCTAGTGAACATATTCACAATGAATCCAGGCTTGAGTAGTACCGCAAGGGTCGTGAATTGCATACATGCGTTTGTTTTATGGTTTCCGAGTGTGATGGCGGTGGGAAGACTCCTGTTTGTGTCATCTGTCTGGAGGCCGAGGTCGAAACCAAAGCCGAGCTTTCCAGCAATGTTTAGACCCATGTGGCGACATGCAGGTGTCATGTTGTATGCCGACGACTTGAAATACAGAATCTGTTTTAGGAAAATATCAATCTGTGCCAGCATAGAAGATTCAAACTTTCTCATTGAATGATCCGAGAGGACATGGCTGATGAGTTTCCTTTTTGGACGATGCTCGTTCTTGTCTGCAATGGTGAAAATATTGGGCTTGTCAGGTTGTGCCGCCAGATAGACGTACGACTTCGTGCTGTTCTCATTTTGATAGATATCTGTCATAATCAGAACTTGAAACGAGATCGCGAAGCCTCCAAACACATACCTTGTAAAGCTGTGACTGTATTGAACACGAGCCGATCGGGTGCCTCTCTCACAACCGGTCCTATCGTAGATTTTAGCAGAAACTAATGGCTTTGTTTGGTATCACAGCTTACCATAGTTGAGGTGGTTATAATACGTCTGCAAATGAAGACTCTTTCGAAGGGCATATAATCCTCCATATGCCTCTGAGAGACTTGCAAAAAATGGACCGGGATACTTTCGAAGTGGATGTACTAGAACACGGTAGCCCAAGATCAAGACAAACTCCACACCTCAAGATTGTTAGTATATTACGTAGTTAGGTACAGTATATGAAAAATATGGTCTCACATAAGCAGCTAAAACGACAAGCCCGTAAGGAACGAGCGGTCCAATGAATGCCATGACTTGAAACAGCTGTAGAGTATGAGCTCTGAACCAAAGGAGCATCAACAAGTGCAAAGTTGAGTCTTTGAGAATTTGTGTTACAGCCCGTGTCGGATACAGAGAAAAGCTATTTATGCCGCCGCCGTCGATATATGTCGTGACTGTTCAACCTGGTTCAGGGCGCGGCACAGTTGCATGGATCTATTCACTTGGCACTCCTCCAGATTCTAGCCGCACTGCTTCAAGTCGCGGTTCAACAAGGGTCCGCTATAAGATATGCTGAGCTTCGGCAAAACTATTAAAAGAAACACTGCACAGTACCAGCATCAAGTAGAAGCTTTACGGAGATATTTCTGCCACAACTTGCTTAGATCCGCAGGGATGATAGGTGCAGGGCCAGCCACTTTCCCAAGGCGCTGTGAGGGTGATCTCGTCCAACAGGCCATCTACGAACGAGACGCCATCAAAATTTCTAGAGTCGCCATTTGAGAGATAGCGACGCTTGTTCCAGCAATCATGTGGACAATATTGGTTTCCCTTTCTGCGGCAGGGGCCAGCTTGAACGCATGTCCCACCAGTAAGCTACTTCCACCCAGTCAGCCACTGCCCACATGGCTTGCGCCTCGGCTGCGATAATTTTGTTCCGGTAATCATGTGATTTTAAAAGAGAATAGATTCGTCGTACAAGGGAGCCATTATGCGATCAAGTCGATACGGCGTTGGCTCGTCCCAGTTGTGGTAGTCCTCATGTGGGTTTCTGAGCATGGCTAACCGCTGAAGGATCAGTTCGTCTGCCTCGCCTACAAGCTTGTCCCACTTGGCGGTCTCATTTTACGGTTCTAGGTTCTTGGGAAAAAGGTAAGCCGAGTGTCATGAGCGTGTTGTGATCAAACATGTCAAGCCCAACTCTCCTCTCACGCCCACACAACATCCCGTGACATGGGAAATGTGTTCCATCCTCATCAATAAGGCACATCTCTTTTCCGCACAGACGATTGACATCGGCGTGACGAAAATGAACGTTCCCAGCGACAGCATGGTCTTCGGCGGTCCCCGTTATGCTGGATGATCCTAGAAACTGTCAATATATGCCATAGTTCATAGGATTTGGCAAGAGACAGGGTATCAACTCACTCACTGTCGCGTTTCAAAGCCTTGGTCATTATTTATACTAAGGAGCCAGCATAATTGCAAACTGAAATATCCAGAGAAGCAGATAAAGTGCCCACAGGCTCCATGGCAAAGGTGGTGATAGAGGAACGATGTTCACGAAGGTCGTTAGGGAATAAGATAAGACAGCTACATGGATACCATGATCCTCGCTTGTGACGCTCCAACTCCTACTATACGACGCAGTCAGATTAATAGGCGCGAAGGCTGCAGATCCCAGCAAGCCGTTTCCAATAATGCGAATAATCCATGGACATGCCGGAGAATTTGCCTGTGCCACGTGGCCATTACGACCAGAAGCTGGGATCTTAATCCGTCCTATATCATGTCGAAAAACAGCACAAGTGAAGCAACCTTGAAGTCTTGGATCCTGCACGCTCGCTCCATACTCGTTCGACACAATAGCCACGCTCCAGAGTGGCCGGCTATGTCTCTGAATGCGCCTGAAGCAAGCGCTACGCTGCAAATTTACCAGTGAGACCTGTACAAACTTGTTAGTCTAATTATTTGGTGACATAGGTGAAAATGAGTCACATACCTACGCCCAAGACGACGATATTGAGTTGGTACACTTTCCACTACCAATCGGTCTGCATGATGTTTGCTGCGTCAGGAGGCCTCGAATGACCATTCATGATTAAAGAAGTGGCTTTACAAACCTGGAGAAAGATACATTGGTAGAGTGACTGGAATTTGGTTCACATTCTCAGGATGTCCAAATGTATGTGTCATCCCAGAACTCGGGCGGAGGCACTCCATATGCACGCTGGTTGTTTAAAACCTCTGTGCCAGATCTTGGCTTATGGCGCTTCCCAGGTTCATGGAGCATTCAATTGCTGGCTGCGTGCCCCTAGGTAGATTTAGGGTAAGGTAGTGGTTACTTCATACAGAGAATTGCACAAGCTGTGTATGCTGTTCACACGCCTTGTCTATATTTTTACTGAGTAAATATTAGGCTCGGGAGGAAATCGCATCACATTGAACCTTGAAATTGTGTAAATCGAGGTAAATTGACAGGAAGTATGGAGTGATGTCCTTTTGCATATAAGGCAGCTGCGTGCTTGGTACTTGGTCCATGTTGGTGGATTTTGGACCCGAGTGCTGTCGCATGGCCCCACTTCCCGGTCGACATTCCGCGACAATCTAGAATTTGAAGGCCTGTATTCTCATCCCGTTTGTCCCTATAAGATTTTTATTCTCCCCAACGCCCGCCGACACAACGCCAAGAATACTTCACAAACACTTCATAATCTGCTGCGATAGCCACCCGAGTTACGAATCTGCCGAATATCTCAACTGGAAAGGAACAAACAACCCAACATGGAGCGACGCGGAGGGCGCGGACCGCGCGATCGTGACTACGACAGAAGACGAGACTATGATAGACGCAGCGACCGCAGAGACGACCGAAGAGATGATAGAAGAAGAGACGACAGAAGCCACAGGCACAGGTCAAGATCAGGATCACCAGGAAGAAGCGACAGACGCGACCGTGATCGTGGAGGCGCACGCGACCGTGGAGATGCGCCCTCCGACAGGTATCGCGACAGAGACAGAGAGCGAGGCCACGGCCGAGACCGAGACCGCGACCGCGAGCATGGTGACAGGGATCGGGACCGAGACAGAGACTCAGACAGGCGACGCCGCGATGACCGCGAGCAGGAGTCGCGGCACGACAGCAGAGATGCTGAAGACCTGCGGTTTGGCAAAGAAACAGCGAGAGATGCCACCTCGAGAAAAGATCTGCGTTCGGAACACGAGTCTCCTCTCCCGTCACGTCCCAAGAATGATCGGAACACCCCACTATCATTCCGCGTCGGTAAGAACGACGAGGATGTACCGCGTCCTAGCAGAGAGGATGAGAGCCGTGGGAGGGCAACCAGTGAAGACAGGGGTGATGCCATGGATGAAGACGGTGAAGTGGACGAAGAAGAAGAGGAAGTCGAGGTTGACGATGGCTTGGCTGCCATGCAGGCAATGATGGGATTCGGAGGATTCGGCACAACCAAGAACACCAAAGTTGTGGGCAACAACGTTGGAGGCGTCAGGAAGGAGAAGAAAACCGAATATCGCCAGTACATGAATCGCGTGGGAGGTTTCAATCGGCCTCTCAGTCCTGGCCGATAGGTTTGCCACGACGGCTGACAATACTTACAGCAAACTTCCAACTGTCTTTGGCTTTATGGTGGTCATGCCAGTATTCGAATTCTACATCCACGACAACCATGGAAACGATACCATAATGAGAGCGAATATGTATTTGGGACATTGTCGAGTCGACATACTTTGTGCTACCCCGAGCCCGTGCTCGTAGTCCTACGGGGATTGGAGCTGCAGTATTGGAGTCAGGATTTGTATACCAAAACACCGCTGGCCGTTGATCCATAAATCTTAGTGTCAATTCCATGAATCAGGATTCATCATATCCAAGGCGAAGAAGCCATCGACACTTTAGCAACGACAACATTTCTATTGTATTGTGTGTGGCCGTTAGGTAAATCATTCATACACGGCTTGCAGCCATCGGCATATGTCCGGTACCCTCCTCTTTCATAGGCTGAGCAGGACACGATGGGGCATATATGGAGCATGGAGTAATGATAGATACAGGAGATACTTTTTCCATAATCATAAAATCACTATAACCATGATAGCGGGTATTGCCAAGTCAAGGTGCAACATGGACAAACAACCATACATATTTGTAGCAGTATACATTATCGATAAGAGATCGGTACTCAAAAATGCCCCGCCGTTCCCGGTCCCGTCCCTTTACTTCACAGCGGCGGGCATTAATCAGGGGAAGCTTCTTGCGCTAACCAGACCGTATTCGTGGATTTACAGGGGTATTGCGTACACCTTGTCAGGGACCTACGAAGCTCCCAAAGCGCTGACGCAGCTCCAAAAACCCAAAACCGTGTCCAGAAACGAACAACACTATACCTTTTAATCACCCAAGGTTGGCTTTTTGCGATACTATCCAACCAGCCTTTCTTTCCCTGTTTTATACCGACGAAGCTGCGACTGTCGGCAACACAGATGGTGGAATCACAATCTTAAAGCCATGGCAATCCGTGACCAATTGACAGCTCTGCTGTCGTTCCTCCTCCTTCTGGTCGCCGGCAATGCCTTCATCAGCGGAGCTCGCGCCGAAGCTCAGGATGAGACGATTCTGAGTGATGCTGTCGCTCGCGAGAACAACCAGAGCTTGTTATGGGGTCCCTACCGTCCAAACTTGTACTTTGGCGTCCGGCCTCGCTTGCCCAAGAGCATCATGACGGGATTGATGTGGGCCAAGGTTGACAACTTTGTCGACGTTCAAAACAGTGAGTCTTCCCCGTGGACTTTGCGTCAGTCCATGGCACATGGGGTGTGCGAATTCAATTCTGATACTCTTGCTACAGGTTTCCGATACACTTGCGAGCAGAACGAAGGCATGGCTGGCTATGGCTGGGACGAGTACGACACCAGAAAGGGCGGCGTTCAGACAATCCACGATACCCAGAATAAGATTGATATTACGACTTCATTTGTAAAGATTCCTGGCGGTACTCATGGCGGCAGCTGGGCTGCACGCATCAAGGGCGAACCCAGATCAGATGCGCCCGACGACCTCAAGACAACCGTCGTCTTCTACGTGACTTCGGAGCCCCGCTGGGACGAGATTCAGGTCACAGATGACGGAGACGAGTTCGGCTTCGACGCGGATGTGACCCTTACAGGAAGCTCAGAGGATCTTGGTGAATGGAAGATGGTCATCACAAAGGGCAAGGGTGACCACCCTCACAGCAACCACGCCATCTCACAGCGGCGCGACTTGGAGAAGACAATCGTTCAGTCATTGGCAATGCCCGAGGAACACCTTTGGCGAGCAAGGGAGGTCCTATTCACGCAGCTTAAGCAGGGCGTGGACGGCATTGTTGAGGAATTTGGCGCAGACAATGCACCTCCTCCGTGGCAGACCTACCAGCTTTCCAATAATGCCGGGAAGGGTAACGTGCAAATGATCCAGAAGGTGTTTGAGGGCCCGTTCGAATTCGACGTTCTCTTCAGCAGCGGCTCTGCTGGCAAGGATGTGACAAGCGACGACCTTACTCGCGAGATCAAGTTGACCACGGAGTCTTTCAGCGAAAAGTTCCTCGATGTCCTGGCGCCGCTGGAGCCCTTCAATGCCCAAAAGTACCAGAAATTTGGTCGTAGCTTGCTATCCAACCTTGCTGGAGGCATCGGATACTTTTACGGCAACCAAGTCGTCGATCGATCCAACGCACCCGAGTATGAGGAGGAGAATGAGGGATTCTGGGAGGATACTGCAGAGGCTAGAGCTCGACACCAGGAGCAGGCCGAGGGACCTTTTGAACTCTTTAGTAGCATTCCCTCTCGGCCTTTCTTTCCCCGAGGATTCCTTTGGGACGAGGGTTTCCACCTCATGCCCATCATTGAATGGGACACGGACCTGGCCATGGAAATCGTCAAGAGCTGGTACAACCTGATGGACGAAGATGGTTGGATTGCTCGTGAGCAGATCCTGGGTGACGAGGCTCGCAGTAAGGTGCCTGCAGAGTTCCAGATTCAGTACCCTCACTATGCGAACCCGCCGACACTGTTCTTGATCATTGAGAACTTCCTCGAAAAGCTTCAGAAGGCCAATGGAACTCAAGCATCCAAGAGGGAGACCCTCTCCCGACAGGGCCTTCACCATGACAGTGCCCTTCTCGCCAATCCTTCTATGGGCTTGAAGTATCTGCAGGATATCTATCCCCTACTGCGACGCCAGTTCTACTGGTTCAAGAAGACCCAGTTCGGCGATATCAAGTCTTACGAGCGAGAGGCCCACTCGTCGAGGGAGGCTTACAGATGGCGCGGCAGATCCGTCCAGCACATCCTGACCAGCGGTCTCGACGACTATCCCCGCCCTCAACCTCCGCACCCCGGTGAGCTTCATCTCGATCTCATGTCATGGGTCGGTCTCATGGCGAAAACCTTGAACACCATTGCCACTGCAATTGGTGAAGAGGCAGATGCCAAAGACTATGCCACCGTTCTCGACAATATTGAGCACAACCTCGTAGACCTTCACTGGTCAGAGGAGGAGGGCTGCTTCTGCGATGCCACCATTGACGCATTTGAGGAGAACCAGCTCGTCTGTCACAAGGGCTACATCACCTTGTTCCCCTTCTTGACCGGACTGCTGAAGCATGATGACCCCAAGCTCGGCAACCTTCTCAAGCTCATTGGTGACGAGGAAGAACTCTGGAGTCCCCATGGTATCCGTAGCTTGAGCAAGAAGAACGAGCTTTATGGCACAGACGAGAACTACTGGCGCAGCCCGGTTTGGATCAACATCAACTACCTGGTCGTCGTCCAGCTCTACGTAAGTGTTGATTTCTTTCATTTCTTGTCACTTTATTCCTTTGACATCACGGATACTAATTCCAATTAGAATGTTGCGCGCCAAGACGGCCCCTTCAAAGCCACGGCCGTTGATCTCTACAGTCGCCTTCGTGGAGCACTCGTCGACACTGTATACAACAGCTGGGAGGAGACTGGCTTCGCCTGGGAGCAGTACAACCCAGAGACGGGCCGCGGCCAGCGCACTCAGCACTTTACCGGATGGACAAGTCTCATTGTCAAGATCATGGCCATGCCTGACCTGGCTGCCCCGGGACATAGTCACGACGAGCTATAATGAAACAAAACTTGCATGACATGTGTAATGATAGTTTTGCCGTTTGAAGATAGATTTGTACATATGTATCCAGCCAAGGATAGATGAGCAAGAATTTTCAAGACTCGCACTTGGAAAAATGATGAAAAAAAGTTCATATAAAATGTACGCCTGCTAAGACATCTTTAAACGCCGTGCCTTCGTTATGCCCTGCCCCGGGTATGCTTTCCAGTAGTTTTGTTACTTTGAATTTCATGATCGCCGTTTGCCCCCTCGTAAAGCTCAACAGATTTACCTGCGGAGGTCTGCGGTAAACCCGTCACCCTTCTTCTGAACAACCTTTCGCGGAAGCACTTCCACCTCCCTGCTCAGCAGCTTGCGGAGCTCCGGGCTGATCACTTTGGGAGCAGCATCCTCCTTGGCCTTTCCGTTGCTGGTTGCCGAAGGATCTCCAGACTCCCCTTGCGGCGCCGAAGAGCTGCTACTCTGCCGTGACGTTTTGGGCTTGGGAAAGTTTTGCTTCTTGTCCACGGCCTCGACCCTACGCTGGAAGCGATGGAAGAGAGCTTCTGCTCGAATGAGAGTGGAGTCGAGATCAATGGTATTTGACAGTTCATTTACTATATTTCTCAATGTCAGTACATTTTCGAAGAAATGTATAATTACAGTTTTACGAACATACCGTATTTGAGCACCTCATCAAAATGCTGAAGATGGGTCATGATAACATCGCGGTGTTTCTCCAGTATAGCGAGGGCGATGAAGAGATGAAAGCTACTGCTGAGATAGTCGGTCCATAGAACTTCCCAAAGGTGCAAAATGTCCATCCACTTGAACTCCCGTTTATACCAGACGAGTAGCATGCGGAAGAAAAAGAAGAAATTGGTGCTGTCGGCCGACTGCAGGTGGAGATACAGCTTGGGGTCGATGAACTGAACAAGGTGGTCCAATGTCAAGAGTTGATTGCGCATCCCCGACTGATCGCGTAGGAAGTTGCGCTCCATGCGCTCCATGAAGCGTTGAAAGCCCCAGAAGGCGATCGCATCGTCCTGCAGGACTGCATAAATGGGTGCTAGAAGATCTGACATGCCCTGGACGTAGCCAAGATCTTTATTGTATTCGTTATAAGTGAGCAGCATGTCCTTCATCTGCTCCATGTGAACATTGGTCCCGGCGTCAGCAAACGGAGAGTCGGGATCAGGATGCGGAATATCCTCGCCAGCGAAAATAGGAACTGTACGATCAGTCCGGTGAACGTCTTTCTCTGGAATATTTGTTAGTATCACTCTTTAACGTGGTCCAACACGAGCCAGAATCGACTCACCTATGCGATTTCTCTGCTCTCTCCACCATTCTCCCTCTTCACCTTCACCACCAAGATCAATCAGCCGCTCCCACCATGCAGCCTTGAGCTTTACGTATTCATCGCGCAGAGATGCAATTTGTGCTCTTCTCTCCTCCGATGTGCTATACCAGTCGTAGACGCCCAGGATGAAGAGCCAAGCCTCCTTACGCACGCCGTCATCGGGATCCAACCCTCCGTGGAAAACTCGCTCCTTGACTTCGTCGATTGTAACTGACAGCCGTCCAGTTCTAGCGTCAAAAAATGTGTTCCATTCCTTCATAGTGACGGGTTTTCTCCGATCCTCGAGGGACATGTCAGTGGTTTCCAGTAGCTCAAATTCTCCAACCTCGGTATCTTCCAACTCCAAGACATCACGGGCGGTCCAGACCCTCTGATTTCTATCACGTTCGCTCTGTTCGGCAATTCCCATGGCCCATCTGGCTAGATATATCCTGGCGCTGTCAAATTCCTCCTGGAGAGTTTGAACTTCGGGGTTGCGCATCAGTCGGCGCACCTGAGGCGGCATCTTTGGATTCTCCAACACGTCCTGCGCCGTCCGCCGGGTGAAAGTGGTAACCTTGCTGAATTTCTCCATAATGTTCCATCCTGTCTCCTTGACGAATTTTGTAAAAGGGTCCATCTGCGCATCGCTGCCACCCTGACCACTAGGACCGGCAGCTCCAGTTCCGGCGGCACCTGTAATGTTGGCACCCCTCGAGCTGTTCCTCCGGTCGTTTGGCGACGACGCGCTGCTCGTCAGCTTGCCGCCAAAGGCCTCGCTGTCTTCCTTGCTCGGCTCCACCAAGTAGATATTCGGTTCCGCTTCACTCCTTTCGATCTTGACGTACCTCCTGAGCCACCTGAGCACCTCATCACCACCCCAGAACATTTGCCCATGCTCGCCAAACGGATCAAAACTATCCTTGGCTCGTTTCTTCTTTTGTAGAATCGTGCTCTGGCATTCGCTATCGTGGAAGAACAGGGCAGGGAAGCTATCTCCAGCCCGAGTATTGACCACTACGCTGCCAAACCACCAACCGAGACTCGGCGGCCGCACGAGCAACGAATAGATGGCGCTGACGGGAATGGCAAAGGCATAGTGTCCGATGGAGCCGCGATGCGTCGTCACGGTGGGGATGGGAGGCACGAGGTAGCTCTGCTTGGGCGGCGACTCTCCATCCGTCAGGTCGACCTTGACGTAGATGCTAGCGGCATCGCCCAGACTGGCCTCGGGAACCCAGGCAAGCAGGAGATCGGAGGCGGCGGGAGCCGTGGAAGCCCGCGAGCTCGACGACGTGGGACGCTCATTTCGGACACCCTTCTGTTGCAAGAGGGCTATAAAGCCTGGTATGTTGTCTTTGGAGGATGGGGTTGGGTGTATATAGACTTTGCTCTTGGAGTAGAGGAGTTTGACACCACGACCCGACTCTGTATGCGTGATGGTGTCGTAGTCATTTTCCGAGTCGTCCGACATGGCGTAGAGCGACCCCTTTGCAGTATTGCAGTCAGTAAAAACAGTTCTTTTTTGTCGCCGAGATATTGAGTCAAGCTGTCTACATCTAGTATATTCCCAGATGAGCTCTTGAATTAGGTACTAAACACACAACATACAGATGGTGAGCCTGGACGCTTCGGCGCGGGTGATGACATCACTTCACGGAGGGGCACTAATGCCCACGGGTGTGGTGGAACTGTCGCAAGTTCGTGGTGTCTAGTGATGTGTAGCCGTGTAATATGTTTGGGAGGAGAGCCTGTGCAGGAGACAGACTGTTCGACTTCACTCGTGTCAAGTGCCCAGGTCGTTTGCTCTAAATGTATGGCATGTGAGCCACTGTAGTGGAGGGCAAGGTAACGGCGAAGGCGCAAGGCATCAGCATAAGGTATGTATGGAGCCCCGCTACGAGCTCGTATGTTTGTTGCTACTACCAACTACATTAGTAGCGGGGTAGTATAGATAACTGATAGATACCCGACATGACCATACACAGCTGCTGCTGGTCATAAGTCACTTTTTACTTGGGGTGACCTTGCGGCGGCTCCATCTACGAGAGATCCTACGGGCAAAAAGTCATGCGCATTCGCATTGCGCGGCAAATCGCCATCGGCTTTGAAAACCGCCATATTCAGCTGTAGTGTAAGGTAGGACCTATACAAAAGCGTGTGACGCCTCACCCAAGGTTGTTGTGTCCCGTAACCTGTATGCAGTTACTTAATGTATTTCGTAATCTTCTATAGAAGACTACTTCATACGATTTCTCATACATTGCATGATACCCCAGTTGGTTCCTAGACTTAGTACCTAGTAGGCATATATATACTGAAGCTATCTCGAGGAATTCAATTCTTCAGAAAATTAATCCCCACAAGCATTGCATACGAGGTACCCTCGGATGGATTTCACAACTATACACATACAGCATACCTCTTTCCTTAACTTTGCCGCTCATCAGATTGACCGCCCCCTTCGTGTACTCCAAAGTACAGCCATGCAATCAATCTCCATCTAGTCTGCGTATTCACTAGTATATGGCCTAATCTACTGTGCTTCACCTCGCTTCGAAAGCGTGGAATACGACACCAGCCGCGTCAGCTAGGTAAGGCAGCAGCATTCGTGATACCTGCTACTCTGTAATTGGTAGGACCTCGGCGAGATATTAGAGACAAGTGGCGAGAGGTGAAGACTAGAGTATGAATCTATAACATGGTTCAATTTTATCTGTATTTTATTGTTGCATAATGCCTACACAAATCGAACCATTGGCTGGGTGTTGTTCGCAGCGGCAGCTACGGCCGTCGCTCATTATTATCTACGCAAAACATACGTACGTACATAACTACACCTAGACATGAAGTCCAAGAGTCACGGTCCCGCCGCATATTCCGGTGTCAAACGCCCAACGCCTGTCGCAATGGCAGTATAACACCAGTAATCAGGGGTGACCTTATCTCATGCGCGGACCACTGGGAAGGCCCGCCCTTCTATTAGCCCCTGGAAGTCCCCCTGATCTGCCACTGCCACCTCCTCCACCGCCATACATTTGGCTCTCGTCCGTGGCCCATGGCGAATTTGAAGCCATGAACGGCTTGTCGCCGCCCCTGCTACCGCCACCACTTGGGTCGTAGGTGCCTCCGGGTGCAAATCGTGAATCGTAATCATCTGTGCTTGCTCCTCGTGAACTACTTTGCTGCGGTGGTGGGCTGAACGGACTGTTGGCCGCTGGGCTCGCCGTCCTAGAACCTCCCCATAGCCGCTGCCTCAACCGGTCTTGAGCGCTTCCGCCGGCTGAACCCCCGGCCGGTGCCTGTAACATGTTTGCGCTCTGATAGCTGCCCGCTCTTTGACTGGGCAGTGGCCGGGCTTGTATGTCATCACGACCACCACCGCCTGAGCCGCTATTAAAAGGATTCATCGGGTTGTTCCTGGGATCGTTGCCTCTCGTGGGGGGTGGCGCTCCCCTGCCTCGTCTCAAGCTCTGACTGTCCTGTGGCTGCGAAACCGGGTTGTTATCCCACAAGCTGCTCAGGCTACCTCCTCCTCCTTGTTGTGTGAGGCCGCCATATCGTGAGCCGACACCGCTATTCTGCGCAAGGACGGGTTGGACCGGGGGCGGCGCCTTGGGGTCGGGCGGTAGCCAGCCTGGAAAGGGCCGCCCTTTCTCCGTGTAGTGTTGGCGCAGAACGCGGCAGACGTGGGTGTCGTCTTCGGTGTCGCCGTCCGTCTCGCCACCGAGGAAGCTACGCTGGAGGTTGTTGATGCGCGAAGTTGTGTTTGTGAGAATGTTTGAGTACCACGACATGCTGGCGGTGGTTGTGAGCAGCGCTACCCGCTGCTGCTGCGACAACTACTCCGTAGGCGGGCAGAAAATAGAGTTTGGCAAAGGAAAAAGAAAAGACTCGGCCGAGACTCGTTGCCACTCTTTGCGGCTCGCAAGGTCTGATCCCCAGGCTTTCTCGACTCGACGTCACCGAGAGTTCTGGTCTGTGTCAGTTCAGGGGCGTTGAAGACCTCGAATCGTACGGTGGGTTGACGACGGGCGTGGTCAGGTCAGGAATTCGAGCGTGGTTCTGAGACTTTTACTGCTGCCAAAGTCAAAGTCTTTTAACTTGCGAGAGTGAAAGAAAGCGAGCCGGAAAGTGGTTAGTTAGGTAGAATGAATTATTATGTGCAGTGTCTGAGCTTGAATGGTTATTGTTTCAAGGTAATCAATGCCGAGTCGATGGTGGGGGTTCGAAGGCGCTAGTTAAGTACTGGGTCACCTAAACCGCAGCCACCAGCATGTACGGTATCCATAATAAAGAGACACTCAAGTCTCGAGCAACTGCATTCATTTATGCTTCATTGGACAACCGCAATTCTAGGCCCTACATGGCAACCGCATCATCAGGGGCATTGATTAGGCGCCACCAAACAAAGAGGAATAAAGAAGCGGCGCATGGGTCCTGACGAATACTTCTTTTTGGGAGCAATGGCAATAGCTGCGCTGCGCAATTGGTATCTTGAGTAAACGCCTGAGATACAATGAAGAAAAAAGTCGCCCAACCTAGGCCAACGTACGGCCTTAGAAGGCCAGCTCGCGGGCACGGGGTTCCATCTCAACCTCGTGCTCAATCTCCCGTCTTCTCTTGACTCCCTTCTTGGGCTTGCGAGCAGGAGCTTCGCGTTTCCTCTTGCCACCAGCATCCGGCTTCTTGGCAGGCTGCTCCTCCTCATCCTCGCTGTCGTCGCTCGCAGACTCTTCATCGTCTTCGGATTCCTGATCGCTGCCGAGCCAGTCTTCAATGTCCTCGAGATCATCGTCGCTTTCCTCAAGATCACTGACGTACTCGACAGCACCGTCCTCTTCCTCCTCTTCTTCCTCGTACTCGTTCTCCTCCTCGTCGTCCGAGGCAATGCCCTTGTCCATGTCCTTGTCTCTTGTTCCCTCACCCTCGCGCTCCATCTCGTTGAGAACCTTCTTCCAGATGTTCTCGCTGACGTTGAGGGGTTGATCGCCATAAGCACCCTCTCGTAATCTCTGCAAAAGTTCTCGCTCGATTGTGCGTTCAAGTTTGGCAGCAGCCTCGGCCTTGCGCTCGCGCGTCGCTTCTCTCTTGCGGATCTTGGGAGCAAGCTTGGGTACAACCTTTTCGCCGAGTCGAGCTTCCTCTTTCGCGATTCGTCGCATGCGTATGGCAACTTGCGTGAGTCGGGTGAGCCTTTGCTTTGCCTTGTGAATCAAGAAGTTGGGCCAGTAGATCAGCCACTCGTCCAGTTGTTTCAAAGCCGTCTGGTAGTTGGCAGAGAGCTTTCTCCTTTCCCAGAGCTTGGAGGGTTGATGCGCTCGCTCACTAGAAGAAAGCAAGTTAGCAGATCGGCCCCGTTTGTACTTTGCAAGCCATGGACAACTCACATGGTCTTCATGTAGAGGTACAGCGTGCCCTTGGTAGGGTGTGCGCGCACAGTTGCATATCTGGAGTTGGCTAGTGGCTAATGATGCCAGTCAGCATTTGTGTATGTGATCATGCCTGTCTACCTGTTCTGGAAGGGACTTACGCATGATTGCCGATTGCACAATCCCGTCACGTTATATTCATTTCTGCAGAAGTTCTGGTTCTTGGTCGTCTTGAGCTTGAAAGAGCACTGTTGTTGCAAAGGTCAGTAGAGGCTACGGCAGACGGGCTTTCGCATATGCGTACGAATTGCTGGTTGATAATCTGCCAGACGATCTCGTCCGACGCCATGTTGGCTGGTGAAGGTCGTAGAGAAAAACTCGAGAGGTACTGGTGGCCGTTTGGACTTGGATGGAATTGAAGAAAAATCACACCAAAGCGTGATGCTGAATTGTACTGAGAAGAAAAATAGAAAATGTTTCCGTGCGATGCATCAGCAGTCTTTTACACGAAAAGTCGAGTGTTGAATTGAAGCAGCCTCGTAGTATGTAGCTTGGGGACTTTTTTTTTCGCCTTTTTGGAGGGGCGCCGCTAGCAACCGCAACATCGCAACAATTCAGAAAAATTTCGAGGAAACAGGCAGATCTGCCCGGGCGGTGAAGCTAGCGGGACCCACACCAGGGGGTCTAGCCATGACCAGCTGCCAATCATCAGTCGCGCGTTTCCTTTAGCTCAAGAGAGGCCGGTATCCATCTGCTGTATTGCTGGGTTGCAGCAACTGCGACTGAGCTCTATAAGCAAGTCAGTAGTACGGTACATACGTACATGTAAAAGATCTAGAATCCAGTGTTGACAAAACTACATACTCTACATTTACTCATCATAGCGTCAAGTGACTTGACATCTTTTGTATTATTACATGAACTCAGGATTTGCCCCTGAACAGGAAAGCTTCAAGTCGGCTTGGATATTGCGCGTCTTTCCTTTGCCAAGGAAGAGAGTTCTGTATCCTTTGAAGCACCGAAGCAGCACTGTGGATTTCTGAATCGCCTCATTTAGTCAATGCTTCGCCGGTACCTTACAAAAAATCGAAGCTCAAGCCGACCGCTCTGCCGTAGCTGGGGCTTGGCTGTCCCTGCCGTCAGGAACGCTTCATTTCAAGCCCGCATACACTGCAAAGAATGGCCTAATAAAACGACATCGACGCCATGCAAGCCGTTTGTTGGATCTCGTAGGACGTTTTTTACTGCTGGTAATCGAAGCGACACAATATATGCCTTGTCCTCGGCCCAAGGCAAAGCTGGCATTGCTGTCATTCGAGTCTCCGGCCCATTATGCAAAAGGGTACCTTGACCATCTTTACTTTGTGGTCTCGCTCGCTATTGTTAACAACGACATCAGATATATGACGGTCTATGCCCAACTAGACCTATCCCAAAACCTAGGTTTGCCGGAGTAAGGACATTGTACCAACCTGACCATGACCAGACCGTCGTGTTGGATTCGGATGCCGTTGTCCTCTACCTCCCAGCGCCAAAAACTGTCACTGGCGAAGACGTGCTCGAACTGCACGTGCATGGAGGAAATGCCACGGTGAAGGCTGTGCTCTCCGCCATTCCGGCATCTTGCCCCGGCACTATTCGTTATGCTGAGCCTGGCGAGTTCACAAAGCGAGCCTTCATTAATGATCGCCTCGACCTTGCTCAGGTGGAGTCTCTGAGTGACACGCTTTCTGCCGAAACCGAACAGCAGCGCCGCGCAGCTGTCCGAGGTTCCTCGGGCTCCTTGGGGAAAACCTACGAGACATGGCGCCAAGAACTGCTTGAGGCCAGAGCCGAGGTCGAGGCCATCATTGACTTTTCGGAAGATCAGCACTTTGACGAGACGCCCATAGATTTGCTCGAAAATGTTACACGACAGGTCCGAGACATACTCGCCAGCATTGATGTGCATGAAAATGCCAGTCAGCGCACAGAGCTTCTCAGAAATGGCATCCGCATTGCTTTGCTTGGTCCTCCAAACGTGGGCAAAAGCTCTCTCATGAATCAAATCGTTGGAAGAGAGGCGTCCATCGTGTCCGGCGAAGCAGGGACCACTCGCGATATTGTTGAAGCTCACCTGGATATCCGCGGCTATCTGTGTACATTTGCCGATACTGCTGGGTTTAGAAGTGCCAGCAACGACGACGCCCCCATTGGCTTGGTCGAGCAAGAGGGGATTCGGCGGGCCAGGGCCAAGGCATTGGAGTCGGATATAGTGGTGGTGTTGGTCTCTGTTGAGCAAGACTCGTCTAGCAAGTTTCATCTCAACTATGACGCGCAAACGCTTGACCTGCTTTCAACTGTTGGAAAGGGCTTTCTTGTAGTCAACAAGCGCGATGTCCTGCCAGAGGAGCAGCTCAAACAACTCCTCGAAAAGTTCCGGTCCTCTGTCTTGGGCGAGCTGAACCAGGATTCAGCTCTAAACCCCGTCTTGGTTTCCTGCAGAGATGCTCAGAACAAGCTCGGCGATGCAAAGGATCCCGGTGGTGTCCATGCGGTAGCTGACCGGCTGAGTTGCCTTTTCAAAGACATGACGACGCTGCCCACTAATCAGCAAGATCTCCACGGCGTTACTGAGCGTCAAAGACAACTATTGGCACAATGCCGTGAACATTTGGAGAATTATATTGCCAATACCACATCAGAAGACGCTTTTGATGAGCTCAACTTTGTGATTGCTGCCGAGGAGCTCCGCTATGCCGCGGGCACCTTGGCTCGCATTACTGGTCGTAGTGAAGCTGGCGATATTGAAGAGGTATTGGGCGTCATCTTTGAAAAGTAAGTTCTATACAATCAACGATGTCAAGTCCTGATGCTAATGGCGATATAGATTTTGTGTAGGAAAATGATTGGATTGTAAAAGTAAAACCGGAACGCCCCGGGGATAATAGTACAGCTAAAACAACAAGCCAATAAAAGTACAATCTATACCCAAAATTGTACAAATGTCTAATCCAGTATATCCTGTATATCCAACCTTTTCGCCAAGCGCCCTCTATATTGCCATGTTGGTGGTACAGTCTATCCCTTTGCCGTTGCCGGAATCCAGTTCTTCTTTCTTGGTGATCGTACACTCATCATACACCAGTCCTATCGTACAGTTTTGAAGACGAAGCCATTCTCCGACGCCGATCTAATGCCACAAAGGAAAAGGGATGTGTTGGTGGTACTTGGTGGTACTGGTGATACAGGTGGTTGGTACAAGAGTTGTGCCGAAATCATATCGTGCTCAACTGTGATGGCCAATGGCGACTAAATGCAAATGCAGGCTCATGTTGGCCGTTTATTGCTCCTCGTCGTCATCGTTCTTGCCGCCCTTGTTGTAGCCGGATCGGCCAAAGTTCTTCTTGTCATCGTCGTCATTGTCGCCATCCTTGTTGTAGCCAGAACGGCCAAACAACTTTTGCTCGTCCTTGTCATCGTCACCGTCCTTGTTGTAACCAGAGCGGCCAAAGACGGCGGCAGTGGGGCAGTTGGTGAAAGCGAAAGCGGCCATTGTGATATTTAAAAGTGAGGTTTGACTTGTTCGATTATGATGAAAGTGTTTTGGAGTAGATTGAGACTTGAGCAAGTATATGTTTCAAGATGGTTGATATATAATGTTTTGGTAGTTGAGCAAATTGCTTGAGAGGAAAGATGATTAGATTGCTGGTGTTGTTGATGTTGATGTAGTTGATGTAGTGTTTGTTGAAGATGGTGAATGATGGTTCTGAGAATGGCCTCAAACATCAGGAACTCTCATGGACTTATATAGACTTGTGTGTCGAACACTGGACTGGGCTGGGCCTTTACATGAATAGGAATATGCCACGCGAGGTCCGGGCCTTCACACCCACCCACCCGCCGACCAGACGGGGTCCTTGATTGCCATGAGAACACAGCGGTGCCTGAGACTTACAGCCTCCCTCTCTCTCTCTTCTCAGCAGCAGGTCCCGTCATCCATGCACCGGCAACTGGAGCCGCAAAACGTGGGCGTAGGGGTGCCTCGAGGGGTGACTATACGAGATGGGCCAATGGGAATGCCTCGAGCGTTCCAAGTAAAGCACAACTTGGAGAAGAGCCAAGGATAGAATGTGGTACCAATTTTGGGGTGTCATATTCTATCTGCATACCCTAGATAGTAGTACATGACAGGTCCTTGGGAAAGGACAGACAGAAAGGAGTATATGGAAAGTAGTCCTGGGCCGCAGCATACCCACCAGTCCAGGACGGACCATACATTTCATGTCTTACAAGAGAGTTGGTAGCGCCGCATGGAAGGACCACGCAGGTGCAGAGAAGGTCTAAATTTGGTTGGGGGCTGCGGGCTCTGCCAGGGATAGGGCTGAGCGTAAGACAGGCGGTGCAATTGTTTTGGGTATGCCGATGACTCTTGTCCCAAAATTCTTACCACCACCAGCCAGCCAACCAACCAACTATTCTCTGCTTCTTGCGCGGGTACAGTGAGTGCGCAGTTGTGGCCGTAACGTAAGATTACGAAATTGTGACTGAAGCTATTTTTCCGCCGTCGTCCGGCATCTGCTCGTTGCTTCCAGAAACCGTTATGCATCACATCTTTGCTCTCTCTCTCTCTACAAACCCGTATGCCATGAGATTTCTAATGCTTGACGCTCACTGGGGTGCATGCTTTTTTCGTGGGGCACTTTTCATTTGTCATATTTACAGGGCCTGTATAGGCAACTCGTCATGCCGATTCTTCGGTCAGTGCCGGGCTTTGGGCTTTCAACACCACCCACCGCTCTTCATTCTCTTCTCTCTTATTCCAAATCCCTCTCTTTTGGAAATGTTGTTGCTATTCCGGCGGCAACCTTTGGCCGCTGCATGTCAGAAATGTGAATCTGCTTAGCAAAAAGGACACAATCATATGCCGCCAAACACGAAGCGAGACATATTCCTAGAACAGAACCAAAATTTGGATGCTACAGTGCGATGGGGTCCCGGGGGCGTTCGGCGTTCTTGGCTCCTTTCACCGGGGGGAGTAATAGGCTTTCAACGGCTCGACCCATGATTTCCCCATCGGTTCTTGGGTCATCATAGCAGCCGATTCATCCTTCTCATGGATGGCTTGGGCCCCCTAATACTCCTACTGCCTATCTAGTTGCCTAGGTGCTATTCATCGGTTGGGGGTTGCCGAATTTGGGGGTCCAGACTACTAAATTCTTCGCTACCGAAAAAGGTTTATTATTATTACAATCTGCCCATTTCGAAATCAGGGTCCCATTTGCAGGCTTTAATCGCTTGGGTTCATGATAGATTGTAGTTATTTCTGGCTCCATTCTCCGCTTCGTGACTGGGCGTTTTTCAACACCCCCAGCGCTGTCGAAGGATCGTACTGCAACATCACTATCAGCATCAAGTCTCAGATAATCGACAAAGGGCCCAAAACAAACCGGGGACCAATGCCAAGCGAAGCCGACCCGTCCACCAGAACCCCGGGATCGTCTGAATGTATGGAATGGACGTTGTATGAACGACGAGGTCGCTAATTAGCGCTTACCTTTTCTCTTTTTTCTTTGAATTGTTTTTGGCTTGCGTCAGGGGTCTTTCTTCCCTACTCTTGGTCTCCAAAAATGATCGCCTGCCTTACCTAATTCATCATCATCAGCACCAACTATTTTTAGCCCCCGAACCCTATTCGCAATTGTTACTCGTCCCCCAGCGGCGCCTGTCACGCAGCACAGCCCACCCCAGAAACCAGCTCTGCTTCTCTTTCTGATGGCCATAGGTATGAATCATATCCAGATGCGTATTGTTCATATTCCGTACCATAATTCTTTCTTTACTCTCGCATCAAACGCCGACCGACCGACCGCACTTTGTACGATACTCATGACCAGAACCAAGCCATACGATAAGATGAGGTCAGCCTCAAACATGTCAGCGTGACTGCGTTTTACTTTTAATTCTTGCTTTTTGTATCTCTTCCTCCGTCTGCTTCTGCTCTTGTCCCGTGTGTCGCTCACCAGCCATAATAGACGTCACAAACGGCCCCCGCAATCATTGGCTCGTTGCCGATACCTGGTCACACTTTTCGCCTAATTGTCCTCGTCTTGTTTTCCGCTTGGCCTGCATGCTTCCTGGATCTCACTCACCAGCTATTAGGCATTCTTGACGAGAATCAGATCATCAGAATTTTCTCTACCCTGAACCTGTCGCTCATGTCGTATACGCGGGAGGATCTCCTTTGCCGTACTCTCGCGTACCAAAAGCCTGTATTCGCAGAATTACCTCAACCCTGCAGTCTGCTTGGCTCCCTACTTGGCAGTTTGCAGTGGAAAGCCACCCCCGGTCCCATGTCGGTCGTATTTGTGTATCCAACTTTGCGTGACCAGCTCATGGTATATTCAAACCCCCAAGACTTGGAAAACAATAATAATACAGCCACCACAGGCGCACATAGGGCGAGTAGAATCATCTTGGCTGCCATCATGTCGCCGTGGCTCTGCCCTGCCCTTCCTTCCAGACCAATATGCACGAATATCCATAACGCCCGGTTGCTGCTGCTGCTGCCTGCTTGTCGCTAACCGAAAGATCACTATGATTAGGTATGAAAATGAAACCTCCCCCCGAGGAAGGGGGCCTGATGCCACGGAAAACCATATCGCCGACTCGTCGACACTCCCGAATTGGATCGAGCAAGGCCCGTTATTGGCTGGTAACGTCGCGTAAGAAATACGTGAAAGGGGCGCCGGTCAGCAACGACTTCACGTCCACCAAAGGGCAGCAAGACGCCTGTCTCACTCTGGAACAGCAGACTTCCCCAAAGTGGGAGGGAATACGTGGGGGGACCGCATCCTCTATCAGGTAAAGGCTACTATGCACCTACCAAAGCCTCCCTGCACAAAGTATGATGCTGCAGCCACAGCTGCCGAGAGTCATCAGCAACGTGTTTTATCAGTAAGATGACAAAACGGGAAACATTAGTGAGATCCCGCGTGCTCGGAATTCTATTCTAGAAGCTGCACGAAGATGACGCATGTAATATATGCAAAATGTCAGGGACAAGTCTTCTTTTTGAGATCCCCGGGAATAGCAGATTTCATCATGCCCCCCGTCGGCCTGCAGCGATTACAGCATCATGTGCTGGTTTGCCTTGCGATGCCTGTAACTTTACAGGATGCGGCAATGACTCAACTCTCTTCCTGCTCTGTAAATCCCGGTAAGAGAAGTAGGATGAACCATTGATGTCACGATGTAAACTATCCTGTGCCGGCCCGATACTTGCTTGCACTATAAACAGATACAAGATCATACGAGAAAAAGAAGCAAGGCGGGCTTGCGTATAGTAGGTAATGGACTAATGGACGACATCAAAAACGCCTTTACGATCCTCGAGGCAGAATGCCACGTGGGTGAAGGATGCTTTTCCAACTACCGGTGCTCGGATTGTGTATCCAATCAAGTTTTATCCCCACAATCTCTTCATGGTTCATCCTGTAGGATTCCTGCAACTGAGCTACCCAAGAAGAAAGGACCCATCTATTTCTATAATAATTTGTCTTGGATAGGGGCCGTGAGGCAGGCAGGCAGCCACTCAGCCAGCCGTAGTCATTGGCCAGAGTAAAGGACAGAGGTCATAGATCTAGACCTACACAGCTTGCCACAGACACACACACACACACACACGCAAAACATACGGACGGTACCTAGATTCGAACGAGCAGAGCCCCTCAGCACGGCACGTATCATCCCAATTTCCAGGCAGCCAGGATCAAGAGCGCCCACCCAGGCGACCGGTGTAAGAAGGGCAAGGTCGATCACCATGCGAGGGTCCTTTAAAAATGGTAGCATTCGGGCTGTCGGTTCTTGATTGGGGGTTTTTTGAAAATCTGGCAGTCACCCCCATGTTGAATCCACATGAACCAAGTTTTAGAAACTATTGTGCAAGTGCCGGGATGATCTGCGAGGTGGTTTTCCAGCCCAGAATATCAAGAAAGAAAAAAAGGCCAAAACACTGCCCAATAGCCAATGGGTGCAAAGAACATAGGAATACGATCGCGATGCCGAGGGTTCTCGGTCCCTCTTTGCTGTCACGTGTCAAGTAAGGCAGACTACTAGGTAGGTTCGAGTCTCGACAATTATCGGCGTGCTGATGTTTTGCCTGCGGAAGGGAAGATATTGTGCTGTATCTTGTGAGCCAAGCACCAAGTCTCCCGTTCAATGGCTACAGAGCTGAAAAAGGAAGACAGCGTGCAGCCTCGAAGCCTCGCTCGCGTGGTGCAGACTTTCAGAGGCGCAGTCTTTTGTCTTGCCTGACCAGCCCAATTTGTGGCGCTGCTGAAAGGACGAAAGGGACAAAAACGATGGACCTATGATCTGGGGATTTCCAAATCCCAGCGCCCCTTAGACATGAGGAATCCTTTCCGACTGAATTTCAGAGACATGTTCAAGATGGCTTGCTCACCTGAATCCTTGGCAGTTGTCCATAAGAGAAATTCAACTAGGATTTTGAACTGAACATTAACCAGAAAATTTCTGATAATTCTACATGGCCAACACTGTACGATTCCATACCGAAGCTAGTAGAGCTGTTAAATAGATGGACGATGGCGGCAAGCCCCGCCAAGGTCCTAAAAATTAGCGAGAAATGTGAAAAAAAAAAAAAAAAAAAAAAAAAAACGACCTCTCCCCATCGATATACGCAGGTACTTGCCCTAGGGAGATATTTAGGGTACCGTTCTGCTGGTAACACAATGGGGAACTTGAACCCGACGACTCGGGCGCAGATCTAAGCCCATCCCATTCCGTCGGGCCCAGGGTGGAACACGGCAAGTGATGACAGAATGCTATAGGAATTAATATTTGCAACTGCACAGCATAGGTAGCATCATGGCTGGGAAAAGAAGAGTAAAAGTAGGAGCAGGAAGGAGAAGAAGAATAACACACAGATGTTCATGACACCAGTCCCGGGCCTTTTTTTTGCTTTGACAGTGCTTTACTCATAAAAGCTCCCGGGACACCAGGCAGGCAAGGCAAGCTTACACATTAATTGATAACACACTGCGAGTTGCTGAATAACTATAGACCCTTCTTCGCGATTTATTGCTCCCCCTCCCCCCTGATCGACAAGACAATGGCAATTATATAATTGCCATCGTGGAATAAGTGTTCCGCGAGCCCATGGCCAGGCGCGGAACCTCTCGAGCTATCTCACTGCCGAAACGTACTGTCATGGACTAGCAGCGTCCCATCTCGTGGGGAAATATGGCCTTTTGATCCACACTGTTCCGGGTTTTGAATGGGAATTACCGTTGCCCTTTTTCTGGGGGTTTCCCCCCCCAATATTTGCATTACGTGAAAGTGATGGGAAAATGATGCAGCAAGGGGACAAAAGATAAGATGAATTGCTGATCAAGACAGCAAAACAAGCTCCTGATGATCTGGAAATGATCTGATGAGAGAAGAAAAAATGCACGACCGTTGAGGCTTGACACCAGACACATGCCGCGCAACCCAAGGTCCCGGAGCAGTTACCCGATTCTTTCAAGGGACCCGGAGATCGCGGGCGGCTAACATCATGACTCGATCGTCGCAGCGCCATCTGCCGCCCAGAAACACCTCGACACTTTGCTGCTGAACCCTCACCAAAAAAGGGCCCCAGAAACCAGTGAGTACTATGCATGCGAACCCCGAGGCAGGTGAATTTGTAATCGTACTTTTCTTGTCTACTCCTAAATGTGGCAAGATGAAACAAAACCCGCATGCTTGGCTAGGCAAAAGACAGACTAGATCATGTTATAATAAAGGGCATGGTGAACTGATTTAGTCCGAATATGTACTATCCAGCCGTGCGTGGTAGCTGGGGAAGGAGGGGGGGGGGGGGGGGGGAATATCTCATCGAAAAAGTCACATCATTCGACTCTCGATCTCTTCTTGTCTGCCAATGTCACCTCCTGGAACTTGCAGATTTTGATCGAGAAATTGTTCCAAGCGTGGGCTTCCTGTTACTTTGTCTCCCTCTGCAGTACAACGCACATACTTCGCAAATTGCAACCTCCACCACCCCCATCTAATAGTACATACGTCCATACATACGCAACGTCTCCAAACAGGCGCGGCCCGGCGCAATCCCCATATAACGCAGCCCCGCTCTCATCGTTCTATCAAGTCGGGATCATCAAGAAACGGGAGACCGCATCCGGTTGAGGCCTTCCCCGGTTTTTTTCTTCTCTCTTCTTTTTGGTCTTGTCTAATTCGTCTGTCAACTCTAAGAGAGAGTGTATATTAGTCTACTCTCTGGTCAAGGTTCCCCCATTGTCCATGTAAACTTTGTTCTTGCCTCAACTCTATTCATTCAATTGGGATACTATCCAAATATTATGTCGACCAATGGCACAGCAGCCACCGAGCTGCCGGTTCTAATCATTGGATCTGGTCAGTATTGATACTTGATTCCGAGTTTGAAAGCAGGAAAATCTAACAATTGATATATCAGGTTGCTGTGGCTTGGCTATAGCAAATGGCCTTACCAGGGTATGATGACCCAAGAAGAACCAGCACTATTCGATTAGCAATATTAGAGTCTCAAAGTTGACAGTGTCTTTTTCGTATAGGCCGGGGTAGCCTGCAAAGTCATTGAAAAGAACTCTGCCATAATGCGCGAGAATGAGCGCGACTGGGGCATAGCCTGTCATGTGAGTTTCCTCCTTTCTCCAACTCTTTGTATACAAAGACTAAACAATTTGCGGAAAACCCGCACAAAAAGTGGTCAGCGCCTATTCTCGCCGAGCTCATGGGGCCCGAAAAGTGGTCGCGGATGCAGAGTGTTCAGTGCGATCCCAACTTCAAGACGCCCGACGTGGATGCGCCCAACGTCTACAACGGGGCGACGGGCGAGGTGGTGAATCAGCTGCACTTCCCCAAGGTGTATCGATTCCTGCGGTCGCGGTTGCGGGCGCTGCTGGCTGAGGGTATCAATGTGTGCTTTGGCAAGCGTCTGACGTCGCTGACATATCACCAACAACGTGCTCATGAAGAAGAAGAAGAAGCAGAAGATGATGGACGGAAACCACAAGCTCCCTCCTACGTGACGGCTCACTATGAAGACGGCACCTCGGAACGAGCGCGCCTCGTCATTGGCGCCGACGGGAGCAACTCAATCACCCGGCACCTGCTCGTGGGCCCGGAGCGCGCCAAGCTCAAGCAGCTGCCCTTTAACGCCGTTTTCATCAATGCGTCGTACACGCGCGAGCAGGCCCAGTTCCTGCGCTCCTTTCACCCCATCACCAGCGTCATTGTGCATCCGGACAACCTCATGGCGGTCTTGATGCTGCTGGACGCGCCCGAGCAGGACAAGCCCGAAGAGTGGCGCTTCACCTTTTACATTTCGTGGCGGACGCCCGTCGAGCAGCAAGAGGCCGAGGCCCAGGTCATGGGCATTCCCGAGCGCCTGCAGCAGGCCCTCGATAAGTCCAAGGCCTATGCCGACCCCATTCGCAGCGCCCACGCATGGCTCCCCGACAATCATGACAAGGTCTATTGGACGCGCAACATGAACTGGGATCCGAGCCTGCCCGAGCACGCCTGGGATAACCACGGCGGCTTGGTCACGCTGGCGGGTGACGCGGCTCACGCCATGACCTATCGTGAGTTCATTTTCTCTTACATTCCGTGAAGGGCTTTTGATGAAACTAACGCACCTGTTCCCTGTATAGACCGCGGACAGGGCTTGAACCATGCTCTAGACGATGCTGGAAAGCTTGTCAAACTCTTGACCGGTTCGAGCGGTAGAAGCCAGAGCGAGATCATTGATGTCTATGAGACGGAGATGCGTGCCCGCGCCGGCGAGGAGGTGCGCCTCAGTGAGATGAACTCGTACATGTTACACGACTGGTCCCAGGTCAAGCAAAGTCCACTGATAACTCGTCAGCTGGCCAAGGGATCGCGCGACGAGCCGCCAGCAGTGACAGACGGGACATGTGAAGCGAACAATTCAACTTAGGACTCATTATGTTGCATGTGAAGCGAGCGATATCAGCGTTGGCATTAATTCTCTATTCATTGTATATAAGCCTGGAATCACGCTGTCTACTTTATCTAGCAATCATTGGACCGCGGTAAACCCCTGAATATTACTCGTCATGCCAGTCGCCATGCATCTAATGCTTACTATATGGTGGCGGCTGACTGCTTGGGGTTGTTGTTAGCGATCGTGCTGCTGGTGATAGAGCATCCGCCTTGAGCATCATCTTTGGAAAATACTGCTGAATGAAGCTCTCGGTATAAAAGCTGTGCTGAGCATTATGCTGCTTCTCGATATTGTGCGCCAGCTCATGAGCAAGAACAACCCACCACCAAATAGCTGCTTCCGCCTGCTTTTGCCCGTCTGTCATGTGCGCTGCGTGTAGTTGGTTGAAATATCGCAGATTGCAGAAGATGCTGCCTCCACTGTTGAAGGCGATCGTCGTGCCCGAATCGTCATAGAACATGTGGAGCGCTTTAGCTTTTACCGAGTAAACTTCGCCAACATGACGAATGAGAACAGCAAACGTATTGATATTCTCATGATTCTGCGAGATGAACTGCTGCGCATTCATGTTGAGATTTCTCATGAGGAAAACTGGCATGCCATTGGCAGCCTCGGCAGCGAGTTCGAGATCCTGCTGGGGTATATTGTCACAGTAGGTGGCCTGTTCCTGGACATCTTGAGTGACAGGCGGGCTGAACAAGGTGGAGGAGCTGAAAGGCCTCGTAGAATTGACAGCCGCCTGCAAATTGTCTTGAACATTTGACAGGCCGCTCTGCTGAATAGAGCTCTTGGTATTTTTCCCTCTTTCCTCGATTTTGCCCCTGTCGTCGACCGATGACCCATCACCACTAGCACGGCCTTCCTCTAATCCCAATCGCTTCTGAATGTTAGAGAACAAATTACGTCCCCATTGAGGAAGGTCAGGGGCGGGAGCTTGGGCCTGTGGCGTAGTACGTTCCTCTGGGCTGTCAAAGGAGCCTGGCATTACTGGCATCCTAGGCCTCTCTTGTGGTGTTGATGGACGCTGAGTCGGTGCCTGCTCTGCAGTTGACTGCGTTCGGGCACGTTGTTGGGCCTCTTCTCGCAATCTTGCTTGTTCAGCCTCCAACGCCTTGCGCTTTTCTTCCTCTGCTATCCTGGCTTCTGCTGCCTTCACGCGGAGAATGCGGTCAACATTGTATCCGCGGGAACGCAGATCAAGCAAATCTAGTTTCAGAAAGGGTTCGAAAAACGTGTAGGCCTGTTGAGATGGACGATGGAGAATATGCTGGCAGATGGCATGGCCAACTTGATACATGTCAGGGCGCGGTCGGTCTGATGCAACATAGAGAACAAGACCCTTGTTTGTCATGGCCGCGGCAGCAGACTTCTTCTCCGTGTTGGGCTGTCCATGGCCCCGGAGAGTGCGACGCAGAGCAAGAGATCTTACGACCTCAACGACCAGGTTCTTCTCGAGCCATCTGATGTCATGCTTGATAGGATCGCGTGCATGCTTGGAATATTCGTGGACAAAGATCTTGGACCTTTCAATAACATGTTTCCGCAGCCAGACTGCACCATCCTGGCTCTCGCTGTGGCCACCAACCCTCAAGTCGTCTGTGACAAGGCTACCAAGGTTTTGAGAGCCGAGTGCAACGTAGAATGCTTCTAGGGCCTCTTCTTCAGGCGCACAAAGAAGGCCATCCTTGAACAGTCGATAGCTTATATAGTCGTCGAGGATCACAATCTGATCCGGCGAGGCCAGCTGATACTGTCTGACAGGTACATCATCCTCGTCCAGGTCGGATGCGTTGCCTTTACCCGTAGGCATTTCCTTGAATGCGAGCAAGAATCGAGACGTCCTCAGCTTTCGCCACAGCTCCTTGTCTCGTTTCAGAGTGTGAGCATCCTCAGCCAAGGACCTCAGCAGATTCAGATACTTCTCCGAGCTCTGGAAAACGCTAAGCAGGCGGGCTGGCTCGCCAGCTGCCATATGAGCAATCTCCAGCTTGGTGGGCTCGCTCTTGGCCCCAAGACTAAACAAGAAAGAGTTTGCCTGCTGGCCGAAATCAACAAAGTCAAAGATATCACCGTACGTAGTCGAACTGCCAAGATAACAATTCCTCGGGCTGATGTGGGAAACAAGACTGTTACTGGATTTTTCTGATACATCCGATTGTAGCTTCCGACGGACCACTGGCACTATCGGCGTTTCCTGCAAACGAGAAATGATGCTTCTATCCAATTCATTGACGCGTGTCGCAAAGTAGTTGAAAACCGTGATGGCTGCTTGCGACGTCTGAGGGATGTTTCTGAGCAGGCGGTTCACGCAATCTTGAATCGGCGGATCTCTCTTGACGCCAAATTTGAGCGCATGCTCATGCAAATCTCTTCTTAGGATATTGAAGCCCAGGACCGCTGCAGCTTCATTGGTGTAGCAGCTCCCTGGAGAGACAAGATTCCCATCTTTCCCTTCCAATGGAAGAAAGCCTTTCCCGCAGGAGCCAATGTCAAACAACCCATATCTATTGGTGACATGGTTGGAGACAAAATACTGCATGGCGTGATTGCGGAGTTCTTTGTCAGATGAACACATCAGCTCAACTAGTTCAGGAGCCGAAGGATATGCTCTCAAGCCCAGTGCCGTAAGGAATTTGCCTTCTGCAGAGCTGGCACGGTATAGCCCAGGCCACTGTAGGATCTTGACACCGAGCGGCCTCAACGCTGCATTGGGTTCAAGTAATTCAGACACGCTATAAAGTTGGCTGCTTGGCTTTGAGAACTCAAGCCCTGGCGGGCCAGCCTCGGCTGGGCAGATTCGTGAACTTTTGAGTTTCTTGAGATCATCATTGGGTATGTCTGCACGGACTGAAGCCAAGTACTTGATCAGTTCAACATGACTCCACTGCGCCTGTCCCTCTGACGGGTTGAGCAAACGCTGGAAGATTATCTCAAGTGCAACTGTCTTTCGAACGCCCAAAGCCGTCAGGAATTTGTCCCGGAGTCCAGAACATTGCTGAGATATTGTTGGCAGGTCGTCAAATAGTTTCACAGTAGGGAAGAAGGAGTCGGCAGGCTTCCTCATGCCAAGTTTGGTTGGCATGACAGTATTTGCTTTCAGCAGAGATACGACTGTGTCCTTTGAGCTGGGACTAAGACCATCCCAGCCTTTGGAAAGAACTGTCAAAACTTGCACTGCAAAGTCGGGAGTTTTGGTAAAGTCTTCGCTGTCTGGCCGACTGGATCTTGTTTCCAGTAAGAATCGAAGCCATGGGACAATCTCCAAAGACTCCCAACCCAGAGCTCGAAGATCATTGATGTTGATCTGCTTGGTGAACTCGAAAGGAATCGTCGTTGGTGGTACTGGCAGACCTGCGGGGATTTTGCTGGGGATGATAAAGGTCTTGATGCTTCCCAGAGTCAGAATCCCACCCTGGTTGCTTTGGTCGCCTAGAGTCGCGATTGCTGCGTCAAGAAGACGATCTCTGTCGGTAGGACTGAGCTCCTCTCGGGCAGCTTTTCTGCTTGCCCATTGAAGGAACGCCATCAGTTGGTCTTTATTCATCGGATATTCTGACAGCTCCTGTCTGACATCATCGACGGTTATTTCTGAAAGCAAATCATAGTAGATCAGTTTCCTTACGAAGGAGATATCCTTCAGCTCTGGTGGGATAACCGGAACGCCAGGAACAAATTTGGTAAGCTCCTCGGAACCAAGACGAACTTGAGTAGTCATACGCACCCCGCGAGTGCTGTAAATTTCGACATGAGCTTTCTTGTATGATGTCCAAAAAGCCTCCTCAATAATCTGCGAGACCTGGGCGCTTGGTGTAGATTCACCAAAGGCGAACGAATTCAGAATGTGCAAGGCTTCGGGCATGTGCTTAGCCACCACCCCCTGGCTGATCTTTGCTCCTGGTTGTTCCATAGACCTTTGAAGCTTTTTCTGAAGCTCGTCCATTTCATTGGCAAAGGCCAGCCTCGTCATGATACCCGCTGCTCGCAGCATCTCAATATTCCAGCTCCTCACCCAGCGCGCGTTCAGATCAATGGCCTCACGTTCTACGGTGGGGATAACAGAGGGAGCAGATATGTGCATACCCGCACCAGTGGTCTGTGTAGTTGGAAACCCAATGAAGATACGACCGCCAGGTTTCTTACTAGGTAACACTGAAGCAAACACATCAATGGCCTTCGAGAGTGCGCCGGACTGTGTCGAGCTTTCAGACGCTTGTAGTTCATCGTATGAAGAAGTCAAAATTGCAAGTCTCGTGACCTTGGGGGGAGGTTTCTTGGTAGCTCGCTCCAGTTCGGCGGAGAAGCTGGCCGTAACCGAGGTCTTGATACTTGCTGTAGTAACTCTGAGGAAGATACTCGAGTTGGAGACTGCAGTGATATCTTCCGATATGGCATCCTGGACAGCCTTCTCCTCCTTGGCAACTTTCCTGGCCTTGGATGTTGCTGTGTTGGCCGTCAGCCTAGAGAAAAAGCTCCTCAAGGATGGAACCTCGGTATTTCCCATGCCATAGGACTCGTTCGATCTAGAGGCAACCGGAGGCTTCCATCCAAGGGCACTCATGTACGAAGCATCGATCTGGGCACTGGCCCTCTCAACCTTCTGAATCTTCATAAGCCGATCCTTGGTGGTTGTTTCAATATCTCTATGCAGAGTGACGTCGACACTTGGGCTTGTCTTCTTATGCAGGGAAAGGACTTGGTAGTCATCGATCCAGAATTCTATGTGTTGAAGAGCGACGAATGTCAGACTTGTCGCAAGAAACTGACCGACAGACAGTAGGTTCGGCAGCGTTGTTGTTGAGTTTCTATAGTCGAGGACAAATGCAGTATCATTGGTCTTTTGGTCCTCGTCAAGCAGTAGCTTTCTTGTGAATAGAGCGTTTCCTTTCCAGTAAAATGCCATGGCCTCACTCCCCGAGCTGATAAATGGTTCCTCGCAGTCGGCGAATACACTGTAGAATCCAACACCGAACGCACCAATCTTGGTCTCGTCTGGGTTTCCCTCGGCGATCCTCTTCAGTCTTCCCCAGTCGGTCTTTGTAAAGGGCTGGCCATTATTCGAGACTACCAGCCGCCGCAGAGTATGATGTTGCAATACATGCTTCAGTATTTCGGACCGGTCAGGACTCGTCGGAAGAGGCACCTGTGTCGAGGGCAGTGTCTCCCATTTGATCTTGACAGTAGTTGCTTGTGCATCGGCGGCGTTTTGGATGAGCTCTCTCAACGTTGTCCACTCTCCAGAGTATCTTGCAAGCACCTTGTCTATCAAGGCTCTGGTATCCACCGTGACAGCTTCCTCGTCCTCGCCATGGCTGAGTGCGGCAGCTCGAAGCTTACCATAATCCATGTCTATGCGTCTGTCTATTGTGTAAGTGTGGGTGGCGGGGTCTTTCGCAGGTACTGCCTCGAGGGATTCTCGGATTTGAATCCACGATCTAGGAACGACGGCTGGAGCTTTGGGAGCCCCGTGACGAGCTGGCACGACCTCTATATGCGTTTGCGGTAGTGGATCGAAGGTATGAACACAGAGTCGTTGAGACGCCCGTGTTGTCAATGAGCAGTCGGTAACGGATTAAGCTAGAACAACTGCCCCGATATGCGCCAAACGCCACAAGATGTTCGGAACTGTTTATCGTGTTTTGGGTACATGCATACAGATGAAAGACGTAGAGAAACGAAAGTGCCCCAAAAAAATAAGCACGTGTGATCCCAAAGAAGGCTTACAAAGGCATCAACATCTTTGCGTGGCTCCTCGAGACTGCCTTAAGAATGACGGTATGGAACAGTTGCCCCCCAGGCGCTGAAACAATGCCCGATGAATGTACCTAGACTCATGCTGGTTTTCAGGGGTCTCCCCAGGCGTATTCTTATCGCTTAATTCCACTAAAGCCGATACCCCAGTCGCCACTACCTTGCTTCCAGTTCGATGGCATAGCCAAAGATGAAAGTGTTCATGTTGAAAGGATTAATGTCTGGAATAAGTCAAATTCAAGGGCATATATACATTATATAAAGGTGAATATTTTGACACAAGTAAAGTGTCAGTATTTGTATCTTATTCTGGAGCCTCGGATTATCCTCGCTTAAAGAAAGTCATTTGGCCTTTATTACTCTTTACGATATCATGCTAGAACCTGCTTTCCGTCGTTTATTTTGGACGAGTGCAATTCATATCATAAATCTGGTATTCAGCCAATTATTCCGCTATAATACGAAATCATGGTGAGGGACTTCTTCGACGCTTTCGATCGTCAACGCTACGGCTCCGTCGTCTATCCCTCGAGTGTGGTCGGCGCCGTTCCTGCTTATGAGAGCCCTCTGGCCTTGGGCTCCGAGAGCGTTCCCTTCTAGAGCTATGATGCGACTTCTCGTGGCCGCGATCTCGGCTGTATGTTTTCCTCCGTCCGTGGTCCTCCCGTCGGCGGTCATCGTCGTACCGCCTGTGTTGTCGTCTATCAGAGCCACGGTCTTCGCTGGGAGCTCTTCGACCTGCCGCGCCACGATCGTCCCTCGCTCTGCGACCCTCGTCTTCTCTTCTTCTCGGCGACCTGTCAGATCGTGTGTGCCTATCACGACTGTGACTCCTATGTCTCCTACGATGCCGTCTTTCTGAGTCGTCGTGCCGTCTGTGTCGCTTGCGCTCGGGCGCTTCTTGCTGTTTGGTGTCGCTGCTAGGTGCTTCTTGCGGACCAATACGGGACTTTCCAATTTCTATAGCGTTTGCGCCAGTCTGATCTCTCTGTTTAACTGGCAAACCTAGGGCACGGGCAAGAGCGTCCTCCTCTGCCTCCTTGACCCTTTTGATCTCCTCCCGTCGCTCCCTAGCAGCTCTTTCTTCCGGTGTTTCGTCCGATGGGCCGGCATCTGCATCCTTGTTCTTTGCGTACCATTCCAAGTCACGCCCTTGCTGCCATCTTCCGACCGGTGCTTTTAAACTATGTCCCAAATAGTTTTCGCGATGTGCTGAATTTGCGACCTCGTCCCAGCTGAAGTTGACGCCACCGCGAGAACCTGACTTGCGGATACTGGATACAAGATCCATTTTCTCTGCTCAAGCAATAGAATGGGGTTGGCCCAATTATTCGGAGTTTCTTGGTGGAGTAGGACTGGTGCTGTGGTAATGAGGATTCGCAAGTGTCTTTGGTGATTTGGTGTTGCTGCCAAAAAGTAGTTGTTTGGTTGTAATGGGCTGCTTCTGTAATTTGGAAGATGGGCGCGGGAGCTAAGGTAAGCTGGGCGCTATTGTTTATCGCTCGGCATGCTTTGGCGCATCTGTCAAGCACAAGCTTCATACATCAAGGTACCTCGAGTTGCCCCGCCAGCCCTGGCAGCGATCAACCGGCTGACCTTGCTGGGCCCTTCGGTTACCTAAAAGTGTGAGCAGCTCAGATTGATGGAAAGCTACCCAAGTACCAAGCTACACTTTATCGTCACTTTGACCCATTCCAATTCCGCACTGCAACTCAATCACACAACACAACAATACAGCATATCACACACAATTGATACAAAACTCGGTTCTACAAACCAGCGACTGGTCAACCAACAAGCAAGATGGGGTCTACGGATATCCCTCTGGACGAGATCCAGTGGCACCATCCCCAGCTTGCCGACTCGATGCAGGGCATTCATAGCAACAGCGTCCTGTTCTACTTTGCCGAATCACCCTTCTTTGACAAGACGTCCAACAACGCAGTCATTGCAAACCAAGCCATGTTCAACCCTGCCATGTATCAATACATTCAGACGCGCGAGGCCTTCGAGGGCCGCCTCAAGACCATGAGCGGCGTCGAGTTCATTGTCGCGGAGCAGCCTGCGCAGATGGCGCCTGGCACAGGTACCGGTGTCTGGGTCATTCGCAAGCAGACACGGCGAAAGCGGCCCGGCGAGGAGGACGAAATCATTGTTCACTCTAGCTACTATGTCGTCGGTTACAACATCTACATGGCCCCGACACTAGCCGACATTCTCAGCTTTCGCATGGCCACCATCACCAACTCGCTACGCAAGTGCTTCCCGGCCGCCGACGAAGCCAGAACGTGGTCGCCTGCCCAAGGTCACGCTTACAAACCCCAACCGGCCACTACCAACTCTCGCGAACGGCAATTGGCAGCATCCAAGGAAGCTACACCTCTCCCCGACAGCCAAGCCGCTGCTGGCAAACCATCCGAACCAAAGAAGTCGGCCCAGTCTTCAATACTTGACGCGCGCCTGGCCGAGCATTCTTTCGCCGTCCAGATGCAATATGGCGGCGAGTACATGGACGAGAACCCAATCACCGGCCACCCAGGCAGCTTCCATCTCTCCTCGACTGGACGGAAGGAAAGACCGCGGGCACCTACGCTCAACCCTTTGACCACTAACCTAAAGAATCCAGTTTCCACCAAAGCGGTAGACAAGAAAGATGGCACAAAAGAGGCCAAGACGCCAAAGACACCAAACAGCGGCATCTCGAAGCCAAAGCGCAAGAAGACCAAGACAGGACTGACACCCGGGGCTACGCCTTCATAGGAGAAGGAGTCCCCGCGTCAAAAATCCCCCAAGAAGAAGAAGCCGGCAGCATTAAAGATCTGAAGGACGTCGCTACAGCACATACCGGGGGAAAAGGAAAACCACCCCTCTTGGCTGGTTGGTCACGAAAGTTGTCGACTGGACTATTACTTTGTATCACCATGAATTTGCATTTGCTATGGCGTTGGAAGGCACAAAATCTTTTTCGGGCAGGACGGGAAAACGAGCATTTGATACCCCTTAAGAGGCACGCGGGGCATAGATATTGAATGCATTTACAATGATTTGTACTTGCTTGCATTTTTCACAGACAAGAAAGTGGTTTTGGAACTGATCATCATTCAAAAATGCCCTTGAGGGGCCGATGCTTGTCTATAGATATCCCGTGAAATTTTCAACTCCATGATTTGAAACAACGGTCGCGAACTGTCCCTTATTGTGCGACCCATCCTTTTCCGGGAACCTTTTTCTGTATAACCTTCTTGACCGGCAATGGCCAGCCTTGACCACCGGCGCTCTCAGCCCTGAGGTATGGCACTACGAAACTCTCCCTCACGTTGGGATCATTCGTCTTGACCTCCTTGATTGGCTTTCCATACGTGAGCAGCGGCGTACCCTTGGCCAGGGCAGCAAGCTGTGCGCCCGTCACGTTGGTCAAGGCAATCATCCTCGTTTTGGGTATCTTGACGGCATCCACGCCTGGGGATGCCCGCTGGAGGTGCGAGTACACAATATACTCGGGGCACTCCTGAGGACTATAGTGCGAGAGAGACGACGAGGGATGAATGTAGACACACTTTTCAACGTCGTCGGCGCTCAGTGAGTCAATCGGGTGCAGTGGCACATATGGCACGTCAATGGCACGCCGAGGCTTTCTGCCCATCTCGGGCGGGTTGGGAGCCAGATCGCCGCGGATGGCGACTTGGTCAATGAAGCCGGCGGCTACCATCTGCTTGAGGGCGCTGATTTGCTTGGGAGAAGGTCGATCGAGCTTGTCCTGGTATGTCAAATTGGCAAAGGCGGGAATATCCTTTTGCAGGAGACTGGTGATTTGCTTGCGGAGCTTCTGCGCCTCCTGAAGAGCCTTGAAGCGGACGAAATGGTTCTCGCACCACTGCTCGCTAGGGTCATGCGCAAACTCTCCAACAACTTGCAGCAGCTTGATGGCGTCGGACGCGTCGTCGAGGGAGCGGAAGTTTTGGTGGATCTTGTTGTACTTTTGCCTTGCGCGTGCTGCTTGTGTTTCTGCCAGGACATCCTCATTTGTGCGGAAGGTTCCCTCTTCCCTGTCTGAGATTGCAGGTATCGCGACACCCTCGGGGATGAATATTTCCTGGACGGACAGTCCGGCCACAAGTGCGACGGTATATGGTATACAGTCATGGAGATGACCGATGAGCAGAATACGGGCAAACCGTGGCGGCAGAGGAAATTTGGCCATGGTTGTACCAATATCTGTTGCTTGACCTTCTGGCGTGATTGCCGAAAGGTATGTCAACAGCTTCTCGGCCTTTGCCAGACTCAATCTGTTCGGCGGCGTCGGGAATGGGAAGTTTACAACGTGCTGGAGTCTCATTGCTTTGAGTTGTAGCACGATGCCCTCGATGGGCATCTTGAGAAGCTCTGGATCAGCAAACTCAACGAAATCTCTCTCATACACGGCTGAAGAGTAGAGTCGATAGCAGTGTCCTGGACCTGTTCGACCAGCACGACCAGATCTCTGGTTTGCACTCGCTTTGCTGATCCAACCAATCTCATAACTTTGCACGCCACTTTCCTTGTCGAATCGCCGCTCTTTGGCTCTTCCGCAGTCAAAGACATAACGCGTGCCTGGGATGGTCAAACTCGTCTCGGCTACGTTGGTGGCTATGACAATCTGTCGGTGTCCTTCGGGCGGAGGCTCAAAAACTCGCATCTGCTCTCGGGTGGGGAGGAGCGAGTAAAGAGGCAAGATGTGCATTTTCAGCGGACCGGTTCCTCCCTCCTCATCGGGTATATCAAACTCCTTGTCATCCTCCTCCTCTTCGTCTTCATCAATAAAATTCAGCTCATCAAAGTCGTCCTGGGTCGTATCGTTTGTTTGACCGAATTCGATATCTTCAATCTCCAAAGGCGCATCGTTGGCAGACATCCTCACTTTGGGCAAAGCCGCCGAAGTCCATCCTCCGGAAGCTTGCTTCAATTTCTTGCTCAACCGTGAAATCTCGTCGTGGCCTGTCAAGAACACGAGCATGCCTCCTGGTGGTAGCTTCTTGTGGCCCCTGGTGATCTTTTTGAATACTTCATCCACGTAATCGTGCTTGGTTTGGCGGGCAAAGTGAATAGTGACTGGGAATTGTCTTCCCTCGATATCGAGTACCGGAGGTGGTGTAGAAAACAGTGTGGGGTTCTTGACAAGATCATCTATCCTCAGAGTTGCAGACATGATTATGAGCTTCAAGGGCTTCACGGTCGAGTCCTCGTCTGCTAATTCTTGACGCAACTTGACGACACGGCTGAGCATACCAATGAGAATATCCGTGTTGACACTTCTCTCGTGAGCCTCGTCGATAATGACGGCCGAGTACTTTCTCAGGGCAATATCACTTGAAACCTCACGCAGAAGCACACCATCAGTCATGAACTTTATGGCCGTCTTCTCATCAGCTGTGCCCTCGAACCGGATTTGGTAAGCCACCTTTTCCGAGTGGTTTCCTAATTCCTGCCCTACTCTTTTTGACATACTGACGGCAGCGACCTTTCTTGGTTGAGTGACACCTATCAAACCAGGTGTTGGAGAATCAGGTGATCCATATCCAGCTTCGAAAAGGAATTGTGGAACTTGCGTCGTCTTTCCGGAACCCGTGGCACCACAGATTACAACGATATTGTTGTTGTGGATGGCTTCCATAATCTTTTGTTCCTCTGCCACAACTGGCAAGTTCATTCTTGCTTCTTGAATCTCCGTTGATCGTATCACAGGCACACTGTAGGCTTTCCGGTCGTCGTCTGCCGTTGCTTGTAATTCCAGAGGTAATGGATCCTGTTCCATGGGTCTCGGCTTGAAATTCTCCGGTTTTGGTATATCCAATAATGCAGCAGTTGGCTCAATGGGTTGGTATCCAAGTGCCTCATTCCTCTGCTGGTGAGCCCAAGCCTTGAAAGCAGAGGAGCGCTGTTTCGTATTTTCCTGCTGTTCGTTGGCATCCTCGTCGCTGTCGTCATCCGACATGTCTTCGTCATCTGATTCAGAGTCGGATTCGGAGGATTCATCCTCTTGCATATCTGCGTCCTTAGAGTCTTCGTCGTCGTGGTCTTCATCCCCTGAACTGAGACCACTCCATTCATCTTCTCCCGATTCTGAAACAGACTCGCTTTCTGGCTCAGGTAGCTTTGGTGCTGACAATTTGGATGCGACGCCACCGCGCTTCTGGCGCTTTTGGATTACAGGGCGACCATCTTCGCCGAGGTCCAGCGGACGCTTTAAGCCGGAACCAATCTGTGCTGGCTTTTGTATTGATGCACTTGAGGCGGTAGCAGCAGGCTGAGGTTCCTCCTGGATCGGCTCTGACTTTTCCTGAGGCTTGGGAGCTGCCACTTTCAGTGTGGGTTGTGCTACGGGTTTCGTTGCTGGCTTGATTGCTTGTTGAATGGCTTCCAACGAGTCAGACTCGTCATCAGAGTCTTTTCTTTGCTCAAATAGCTCTTCATCTTCATCATCGCGCAGGCCAGCCTTGTGTTCCTGTAGAGCTCTCTTCAGAGCCTGCTTCTTGGTCTCCTTGCCTTGACCCAGAGTGCGAGTGCTGAAGAACAAGCTAGTATCGACCTTGTTGTTGGCCAGCTTTGCCAGCAGCGCCTTGTTCTCGTCATTTTGGAGCTTGTTGTCGATGTACTTTTCGAGTCTCTTGGCCTTCTTGCCACTGACTTTGACACCCTGATCCTTTAGCTCTTCGCGCATTTTCTTGGTTTCAACATCCTTTTTGCTAGGGATAATTTCCAGCGCATTGCTGTCGGCAATGGGAACCTCTGCGCCATCATCCTGTCCTGATCCGCTGGCCTTCTGCCGCGCCAGGACCTTGTGCTTCCTCTGCCGAGGCACGAATTTCTTGACCATCTTGCCGACTAGGATTCAAGGGCCCTTTCAAGAAGCTGAGATGAAATGGCGGCAATGCCGGGCACTTTCACCCAATGTGCTGAGTCCAGAGTTCTTCGGCGCTCAATACAGACCCTTCCCGGCCCATAAGCTCATGGTAGGAAAGAAAATGCGAAAATGTGATCTTGCCGTCCACTGAAATCATGGATGATCTACCAGCATCACTCCCAGAGTATGCGATTTTGAAAAATTTGACCGCCCGGCAGAAAAGCCCCACGATGCTAAACTGACGGGTAGTGGGGCGGGCACATCATCCCTGTCGAGGCAGTTTGGCTGCAGAACCCCACTACACTACAGTGAGCGAGGGGCTGTTGCTCCATCCTCACGACAACCAAGAATTGGCGACAAGTAGGATATAAAATAGCAGCACTTGAGGTCACCCATAATTCGCCTTTCTCAGCAATAACAATTTCTCTAACAATACGCAAACAATACCCATCAGCCTCAAGGATAGAACTTCATCTGGGAACGAACAGCTAGACATCCAGTTCAAGATCTCTGATTGGTATTCCCGTCCTTCAAACATACGAAAGGACGAAATCCAAAACAGCGTGATCCGCAGTGATGGAAGAAACAGACATTCGAGAGGACGCTTTTCCGGCCCCGTCCAAAGAGGCAGTCGGCCAAGTTGATGGCGTCGAGACGCAGGCCACATCGACCTTTTTCTCGGACAAGATCATGGTCACCTTGTCACAAGAAGGCCGTTTGTCACAGTGGGTAAGTAGCCGCCGGTATTCACCTCGGGGTTGACTTGTGGCATGGTTAACCCGCGATCTTCAGATTCAAGTGTCGTTATCTGCGCCGTCAGCAGCCAGTGTTGATATGGCTCTGCCCGATACAAGCTTACTGCCTCTCCTGCACCTGACCCCCAAAACTCTGTTGGGTGGTGGAGGCGAGGAGAGGGAATCCTCTGGCCAGCTCTACGCCGTGCAAATCGCCAGCCACATTTCCCGAAGGAACCCTGATGAAAAGCGAATGCTCATTGTCGGTCTTGGTCTGCTGAAGCCAAAGCCAGACAGGGAGTCTTTCTTTGATGTCATTGAATTGGTTCAGCAGATCCTATAGACAGCAGAATGAAACAACCTATTCACAAATGCAGTTTTTTCTGCTATGCTATCCCGAATATATCTGCTCAATGTCAACCAATCCTTCCGGAGAGCATGTCCGTCACAACTCCGACAAAATTGCATAATCTGGCAGATCTTTACGCTGTGGCCGCGAATTGTTTTCAATCAGGACACTTCCACAGACAACGTATTGCTGGATGTCACAGATAAACGTGCATACTTGCGCCAGCGGACTTATTCTTCACATATGGCACCAAAAGTGTACTCCACGTGAGAAATCATATCACATTTATCGAACAGATGCGACAAATACCTGGACAGACACGATCGAAACCCAGGGGCGAGGCTAGGGTTACGGCAGCGTAGGGTGCAGTTGAGAGTGGAGCATGATTAAGAACCAATACAAAAGGCTAAGCCTGAGCCTGAACAACCACTGCACTTGGAGCCAACGAAGGTGCAGATGCTTGTTTCTTGTCAAAAGACTCTCTTTCAATCTTGAACCTCATCTGACACCCTATCAATATTATTAGCAGCAACCTCAATCTGTCATCTAGTCACCACACTTACAGTCCCCGCAAGATATCGGTTCGTACTTTGCTGGATTCGTTTCTGATACGCAACTTGGGATTACACTCTCAATGCAGTTGAAATTCAGACCTATTCATATCAGCTAAGTTTGCATTGATTGAACCTACGTGACCCACTTACCGAAGAAGAAAGGCATCGAGACACGTTCCAATGGTGATTCATTCGTCACGCGATGGACGGTCGACTTGTAAGTGTCGTTGGACAGACGCATCATGTAGTCTCCAATATTGACAACAATCGTGCCTTCAATCGGTGGAGCCTATCGATTTATCAGTCATATAATCTCATTCAACAAATCGAGTTTTTGCACCTTGATCCATTGCCCTTCCTTGGTAAGTACTTGCAAGCCACCAATAGTATCCTGCCACAGGAGAGTGAAGAGCTGCAAGTCGGTATGACTACCAAGCCCGACAAACCCTCCCTTGACTTCCTGCTCGCTGCGTGGCCGATAATAGTTGAAGACAAAATCCGCGCCCGGGTGCGTGACCTTGTCGTCCCAGTAATCCTCGGCCAAGTCCAGCGAGAGCGCAAACGCCCTGACTAGCTTCCTCGCGAGCTGCAGGCAGCTCGCCCAGTACGCCACGCAGTCCGTCTTAAAGTCGGGCAGGTGTGCCGTGCCCTCCCACACAAAGTCCTCGCCTCTGATCCACGGCCGCACTTCCGGCGGAATCTCTGACATGGCCGTCGGGTGGTCGGGATCCAGTTCGGGCGAGTATCGGAAAGAGAAGCTCTCTCTGATATCTACGCTCTCGCTAGGCGAGATGTTGGTTGTGGCTGCTCCGGAATAGCCGTTGAAGTACTTGCTATACTTTCTAGATGATATCAGCTCCTTTTGCTCCAGAGACTGTCTCATGAAGTCGAGCCCCTGTCGTTTGGCTTTGGAGATGACGTCTTGTGAGATGCCGTGGTTCTTGATGTAGAAGAACCCCGTGTTCACGGCGGCCGATCTGATCGCTTGAGCCACGTCCCTCCTCTCGGCGATATCTGCGGCGCATAGATGCTCAAGATCAATGACCGGTATTTCATCAGGGGTGCAATTTCGCGGAGGAGTGAGAAGAACATCGCGATAGACTGGACCGAGAGCTGTTCGAAGCTCGAGCTTTGCGGTGGTCATGTTGAGCAGATGTTGATGACCGGGGATTAGATATGGTGAACACTATGAACATGAATGTTGACTTTTCAGCTTTGGAGAAGAATCAAGGAAGAGAAGTCTGCGTGAACCCGTAAAATGGTAGAATTGAGCGTAGAACTATTCGAGTTGTTCCTGTTATTTTTCTGCTTTCAGCAACTATATTACTTAGGTATCTTCATGGCGGATGGACCCGATAGCGGTCCGGTATTGTATAACCTTTGGCGAAAATCCAAGGCCGTCGTAAATCGGTGGAACCGAACGAATGCCATCCGGCGGTCGCCGGTGGCTCCTCCTAAATCGCCGTGAACAACGTGCCAGCGAATTACGTAGGACGACACTACCAGGACCGTGTCATGATCATATTACGAATAGTGCCATTATGAGACAAGCTTTTTGAAATTAAAGAGAATCCGATGTGATACTATAGCTTTGATCGTAATTCCAAAAAAAAAAAAAAAAGAAATTTGTACTCAAATGAACCAATATGTAACCTTTGCATCTGGAGACATTTCCAGAAAGCCGCCTTTCTGCTCTGCTTGCGTCTGCACGAAGAAACCAACACCAAACAGTACCTGGCGCCTATGTATCATAGTTGTCGAGCCAATACATAATAGGCATATAGGACAACTTGTCGAAAGACCATGTTGTGACTGTGAGGGCCATAAAGTTCACAAAATTGTCACCAAAGTGCCGGCGCTTGTGGCACAGCTCAATGTGGATGGCGAGCTCAACAAGAAGAATCAAAATGAGAAGCCTTTGGATTTTCCGAAGCAATTTTGAGATGTTGGCGTTTCTGTAGTTTAGGAAGACGGCCGTTCTTCGAGACTTAATTCATCGAGCCCTCCTTGTATTCTGAACTCAATTAGAGGAATAGAAATATAGCACATCCAAGCTGACCGCGGCCATTCCACGTTCCAGGAGTGAGACACAAACCCCCTTCTCCCTTTTTCTTCCCTCTACAACCCATTTTTTTGTCTCCCTCTCTCAATTTTCCTTTTTTTCCTTCCCCTTTCTACTTTTCTCTCTTTCTTTACTTACTCTTTTTTTTACTTTTCTTTTTAGGAAATAGCATATAGTAAGTGAATCATTTGAGTTACGACGTAAATAATATACCTTGCCACTTACTTTATGGTGCTATAAAGAAGACCACCAATACCGCTGACGCAAACCCGCTTACATTACAGGCATAAATGTCCTTTTTTTTTTCCTAGTTTCTCATATAAATTTCTCGAATCCTATAAACGATGGAGGTCCATAGGTCGCCTGGGAATCCCAATCTCCGACTTCAGATCACAATTGTGATCCAAAGTCAGACCAGACTTTTAGTATCGCGCGAAAAGAACCAAGCCTTGGTTCTATCTTGCATGACATACCTTTTTTTGCATACAGTGAGGTTGTAGATAATCTCGGTTGTGTTCTTTGAATTGCAGAATTGTCAATATGTTGACATGTTTCGTGGTTGCAAGTTCAGGGCGCATACATACATGATGGACTTGGAATTGTGCAGAAACTGGAACAGACTGCAACCACGATGAGGCTTTCTCGGATATACGCAGAAAATCAAAAAAATCAAAGACTATTCATGCACTAATCCAGCCAGTAGCATTTTGTCGGATTTGTTTATACACAATCAAGAGCGGGGAAACCGTGCATTGAACGACCTTATAACGTCACAGTTGGAGCTATTCGCAGATGGAGAAGCAGCCAATAATTCTGGGACCTCGGTATAATGACCGTAAGAAGTTTATAATCCCCAACACTGATGCGGGGGCTTATAAAGCAAAGTTTGTGGAAGGAAATGAACCTGCTCGAACAGGACTCAACTTCATTCTCGCCATTTTTGACTGGAAACTCGTCGACCATTTTTATCCTTGATGCCATTGTTAGCAAAGATCAAGAACCAAGACGTCATGGCTGCCGAGATCAAGTACAACAAGAACGGCATCCCCGAGTTTGAGGACCTCCCGCTGGGAAAGACGGACCCTCGTCGTTCCGCCTGGGGCCTCTATGGTGATAAAGACGAGTTGGGATTTCTGAACCGACTGACCGACGAACGCGTCGCCGCCGCCGCCAAGTCGGAGATTCAGACAGGTCATCGGTAGGTTACTCCCACGGGGCTGATCGAGTAATTCTCATGTTTTCATGAAAAGTTTATATTGACGCTTCGCAACCCAGAGTCTCGCTCAACTGGCCACTCGACGCCCAGGCCTCGCAGGGCGGCACCGCCTTCTTTGGACGGGGCGCATTCCACAAGGAGCTCCTGGGCAAGGCGCCGTTCACGGGCAACGACGACGTCTGGACGTTCAACTCGCAGATATCGACGCAGTGGGACGGTCTCCGCCATTTCGGCTACCAAAAGGAAGGGCTCTTTTACAATGGCGTGACCATGGAGCAGATTCACGCCTCGGACGACAAGGGCAAGAGTACCGTCAATGGTATCCAGGGTATGTATTGCACAGCTATATGGCTCCCAAGATTTGCGAGAGCTCTCGGCTAATAGAGATGTGGCAGCTTGGTCTGAGCAAGGTGTCGTTGGTCGAGGTGTCCTGGTTGATCTGCACAGCTGGAGAGAAGCAAACAGCGAGCTTGGCGCATACAATGCTTTCGATTCGACCAATATTCCGTTGACTGATCTCAAGGCATGTCTCGAGGCTCAAGGGACAGAGCTACGCTTTGGTGACATTCTCATCATCCGTTCTGGTATGTTGACTTTGATATCAATCGTTCATGGCTCACAACATCTCCAGGTTTCATGGCCCAGCACGCACAAAAGACACAAGAGGAGATCAAGGCCCATCAGGAAATCCACCGCTTTGTGGGTTTGGAGCAGAGCGAGGAAATTCTGAGATGGATCTGGGACAACTTTTCTGCCGTTGCCGGCGATCAACCGGCGCTCGAGTGCTGGCCGACAAAAAAGGACTGGTTTCTCCACGAAGTCCTGTTGGGCGGCTGGGGATGCCCGATTGGCGAGCTCTTCAACCTTGAGAAACTGGCTGCGCACTGCCAAAAGGAAAAGCGATGGAGTTTCTTTGTCACGAGTGAGCCATGCAATGTACCAGGCGGTGTTGCCAGGTAAGTAACAGAGTCCATTACCAAGGAGCCCAGTACTGATAAGAAAGCCCGCCAAATATTCTAGCCATATTCTAAGTTTGTGTGTCGCGAGGTAGCATGAGACAATGTCTGGGCAAAGAGTAAAGTCAATTCACTGTCGAGGCTGAAATCATTGGCAAAACGCGCAAGTATTATACTGTGCATAGTTCGGAATACCATGTTGGCCTATTTACATCTTGAATCAATGACGAGAGGTCCTTCTTGCTCGTATGTCGAGTTCCTGACCAATGCGGCCACTTGTGTATATTGACCTTACTTGTTTTCGAATATGGGGAAAAGAAAACATCAGCTACCAAGAAACTGTAGTGCAGCAAGAATCGCAAACTTGACGGAACCAAAGAGCATATATTTCAGAACGAGATCAGTGCTTATTTCTTGACCTCCTGTCCCGTCTATCAGCTGTACCATGAACCAAACCAATTGCTCTTTAGCATATGGAAGCCGTGAATTTAAATCCTATTTCGATGCCTCAATTTGGATTGAGCGCTGTACCTCCTTCCACACCTCATGAATAACAACAGCATGTCCTTCTGCAGTTACCGGCCGCCATGACGCCTTATTTTCCAATCATGCCCTCCAAGAATGCTCGCGCATCTCCAGGGAATATCTTCCGGATACAAATTGGTAACCGCTCTCAAATTGGGAAATCTTCTTCAGCCAGCCGTGGCTGGCTAGAGTTCCGCGAATCACCTTTGCGACATACGCATATTTATCGCTTGCGATCACTTGGATTGAGAGTCAGCATCTTGACCAATTCAAAGCTTTGATTCATATCACTTACGTGCTTAGTCTCCGCGAGAGTGACTGCAGCTTCTTGTCGTTATCAGCTTCACGCTTAGCCCTCTCCATGGCAGCTTCGTGTTGTTCGGTTGCAGCCTTTTGGACCTCCTCATGTGTTGGCGGAAGTCGTTCGTTTTGCAGATCAACTTTTCTGGCATCCTCGAAACTGCTAATTGCGTTCTTAATTCCCTCGGCACCCAGCATAAGGGTTCCGGCAGGCAACCTTCCGCCAGACACAGTCTTGAGTTCTGTAACCTTCTCCGACTCCTCACGGAGCACCTGGAATACACGCGACAGTCTGCCAATGGCAAGAATTTTGTTCTTGATCGCCCGTCTCTTGTACTCGATGGACTCTGGGTCGTTCAGTGGATCATTCAGTGGCGGCGACGCAGGTCCCGGCGAGTTGGTGAGTGGCGTCTCCTCCTTGAGTTCCTCTTCCGAGCAAGTGTGCAGGATAGCGATCAACATGTCTGTGATCTTCTCTCCGACAAAGGGCAAGGACCAAGTAAAGACATCCATGAAGTTTGGTAGCCAGTACGGGTGAGGCGTGCAGTTAAACTGGCGAATGTTCATAACATTGTTCTCGTACTTCAACACGGCTGCCTTGTTGTTATAGACATCCAGATAGTTGGGTGCGGAGAAGATGGTCATGACGCTTGGGAAACCAGTAGTGCGCGTCTTACGATACATTCGGTATCCGGCATCCTGTGCCTCGTGCGCCCGAATGACCGATAAAAGGTTGTTCTTTTCCAAAAAGGCACATGCTGCAGGGTAGGAGAAGAAGTAGGAGCATCCTCGTACGTGGTTGTGCATGAAGAACTCGCTCGACTTCTCCTGGCCAAAGTCCTCGAGGGGATCAGCCCAGAGGATATCGCACATTAGCCCCTGTGTAGGGGGCTCGCGGAAGCGGTCAATGTTTCTAATATCGTCGAGTGTGTGCAGCTCGGGACTCAATCCTCCGTGGATACACAAGAACTGCTTGTTCATGACAGCAGCCAGAGGCAGGCAGCAGAAGGATTCCATGCAGGCCTCGTACACGTTCTCTGAGTACTTGTGCTTGCATTCGAGCTTGAACGTGAAGTAGTCGGTCAAATGCCGGCATTCGTGGTTACCTCGCAGCAACCAGAGCGTCTTTGGGTAGTGAATCTTGAGGCACCACAAGTACAGGACACACTCGATACTGAAATAACCACGGTCGACGTAGTCGCCCAGGAAGAGATACCTTGTCTCTGCCGGGTCGCCACCAACTTCGAACAGCTTCATGAGATCATAGTACTGGCCGTGAACGTCACCACAGACGGTGATGGGGGCATCCATCTCCAGCAGGTTGGGTTCCTCGCGAAGTAGCTCGGTACCCTTCTTGATGATCCACAGCGCCTGCTCCTCGGTCAGGCGACCTTCGCGGTAGAAGTGTTGCTTGAGGAAAGTGATGTTGGGCTTTGTGTGGGTTTCATCTTCAAAGAATTGCTCGTCGCTAGGGGTAAAGGTTGCGGGTGCCTGTACATCTGCATGGTCGCAAAGTCAGTCATTGCAATGGGCAGGCGAGTGTGCACTGTGTTTGTGTGATAGGGCAAGGTGGTGATGCGACAAGAGGCTGAAGCCGCGGCGGGGTAGCATGTGTCTATGTCGTAGGTAGGACAAAGGGGGGGAGGGGGGAAATCGGGCGGGATGGGCAATAGACAGATACCTTTGCAGACTCGCTCCTGTGTGTTGACCTGACTGCCATCTTCCATGGAGTGGATGGTGAAGTCGATTTCGGGGACGGGCTTCTTCTCTCGAATGGCGCGAATGGCATTGTCAACCTGCATGTTGCGCTGCTGCTCCTCCACGATGGAGGGCGGCTGGCCGTCTTCCTCCATTTCGAAGCCTCGTGAGGGACCGCGCCGGGGGGGTTGCAGGAGGAGGGGCGGGGGGGTTCAAGACGGGTGAGCGCTGGCGACAAAGAGGCGATTACGGAGCAGAGAGGCGGTTGCAGCTGGAGAGGGATCTGATTAGATCTCGAGGTGAGGTTTTCGTAGGTTAGCTCAGTTGGTGAGCGTGATGAAGGAATGGGTAGCAAAAGGAATGGGAGGGTTTGGGAGTAAGTAGTACTAGTAGTAGTAGTGGTGGTACTGGATGGGGGGCCCAGAGCTGAAGGGGAGCGAGTGGGTTGGGCGACTAGAATGGCGGGCAATTGGAGGTATGTTACTCCAAAAAAGGGTCTGCCCACAGATCGGGAGCGGGAACAGGGAGGGGAGTGGGAGTGGGAGTGAGAATTGTATTGAGAGCGTCGGCGGCACCAAAGTTCGGATAATGCCAGCGGTGAAAGGGACAAAGCTTCGTAATGGTTTACATGTCAAGTTATCTTGATTATCAAGCCCATGAACTACATATTGAGACCTCTAAACATATCTCGAACAGACACTGACAGTACGCAAGGACATGGCAGAAGTATGCCTTGTCTGACTGATGACACAAGCGACGAGGCAAGGCACATTTTGGACCCTGCCGCCAATAAAAGGGACAAGGCTATTAGAAGCATGCCAACCACTTTTGTTACGTCGCCGCCCAGGCAAGAGGTTTCCTCCGATAAGGGACTATTAGGTGCAGCTTGTCAAAACCCAATTTCTCGAGTGTTTTTGATCTGGCTGAAATTGATTCCCTCACCCTGGGTTTGTTTTTTTCTCTCTCCATCATCCCCTATTGTGTGCAATAAGTAGTACATCAATAGCACACTAAAATATACGAGCCATGTACTGCCATCGATACCCATGTGTAATGTACCCAAAAATATACGAATTCCTCATCATTGGACTGGTCTGGGGTTATTATTTAGCACCGAATTTCCACAGAACAATTCCCGATAAGGGAAAGAAGGCAGGTAATCTGGGGGTTTTCATTCGGGCCTTGAGCACTTGAACCCCACCATTCGCTTACACTCACAAAACTCGCCGCTCTCCCTTGATTCCCATTACACAATATCGACGTCGCCTGGTCTAGGATGGGAGCTTGGGAGCAGTTTCACAACAAAAAGCAGGAGGCAGCCACATGTATTGAGCACCAGGCTGCCAGAGACCATGGGGATGCTCACCGAGAATAATTAGGCGCAAGTAGGACTTTGTGACGAACCAGAGCAATTCTCGGCACACCACACAACAGTCAATTGCTTGGAATCACCCAAGCCCACGTATCGGCTTGGCAATGCCTCCGTGCCGTGAGCCGCCGCCTCTTGTTAGAGTCCTGACATCAGGATCGACTCGTGCTAATACGCCTTTGCCATCTCCAACCTGATTGGCAACATTTCGACGTCCTCTGAGGTGCCCTGCAGAAGCGATACTTGACAGACTTCCCTCACAGGCGCAATGAGCATTTTGTCCAGTCAGCTCAATTCTAGTTAGCTGCAGTTCCGTGCATCGCGTGACACAAACCAATACCTCCGTAGGTACGCGCTATATACTGCGACTCCAACTCCGACCTCATGTCCTTGTAGCATGCAGTTTTAAAATCAGCCAACACGCCAAACCCGCGTGCTCAAAGAGAGGTATCCAAACAAAGCCACGACCGTATAACATGTCAACATCTCGGTCAACGTGACCGAATCTTTTCTTTTTTCCATAGCAAATCTATCTCAGTCGAATTTCCAATCTTTATTCAGGCATAGAGGGGGCTTGTATATGAAGTACCATTTCTCCCATGATTTCGCTACTACCAAAAGTTGTCAGCCATGTATAGCCGGCTTGTGTGTACCTCTGTTGGCTGCCATTCACAAGTCGCATCTAGCCAATTGAGGTTGCAATGGACTGCTCTGCGACCATCCTCCCGCCGAGAACTGGAGTCGAATACACCAGGCTGTATTGAAACTGCATTCTGTCACCTGAGAGGCATGGCAAACAATGGTTCCACTGCTGCAACTTAAATTTTTCTCTTTGAAGGGGTCCAACGCTGGCTAACCGACAACCCTGCGCATAATCTCCTCCCGGGGGAAGTTTGTGTTTCTCCAGCGCGAGATGTAATCATCCCGGTTGACTGCGGCACCATTAGCTTTCTCATGTCTCCTCTCTGCGAATATACTGCTTACTGTAACCACCACAGATCCGTCTGATGCCAGTAAAGGCGCTTCGGCCGTGGAGGACTCTCCAATTGTCAAAGACTACAAAATGTTTGTTAGTCAATAATGCAACGCCGTTATCGAACATTCACGGCTCAGGCCCGAGCTCACCCAAAAGATTGCCTGGTGTCAACTGAAACCAGTACTCAACAGATTCGCGCTTCAGTATAGCCTCCCATTTCCTAGCAGCATCGTACCACTCTTCAGGAGAGTATTCGTTGTGGAATGGCACGACACCTCGATCATCATTGTTCCATCGAACTCGTTGCAGCTCTCCAGTCGTCTCATCCACCTCGAGAACGGGGTAGAGCTTGTCAGGGGAGATTGTGATGCCCTCGTTTCCGCTGGCATGCCACGGCAGCTTGACCCGGCTCAGGACATTCCAGGCCTTGGGGTCCTCGTCCTTGAGCAAGGCGGCCGCCCAAAACCCATCCACCAGTAGCGATTGTCCGCCTAGAGAGGCCTGGCCGTTTTCGGCAGACTTGTCAACGTGGGATAGTAGGTGAAAGGCCTGTAGTCCAGCTGGGTCGGAAAAGTAAGTATTGTCTGTATGCGCTGCCAGGGCAATGTTGGTGTAGGCTGTGTCGGCTAGTGCCAGATCTGGCACAAAGTCATAGAAGCCGCCGTAGTGAGTTTGTCTTATGAATGCAATCTTTTCTAGAAGCTTTTGGCTGGGCTCGGCGGTATCATATGGCACCTCGGTAATGAAGCCAAATCCGAATTTTCTCTGCAAGACTCATCAGCACCGTTCGCAGTGCAAATCCTGGAAAGGATGCGCTTAGTAGTTGCTGACGATGTAGTTTGTCAAGGTGCCAATTGCCTTGGTCTCATCCTTCTCGATGTCTTTGCTGCTGACTGATGGGGGCCACTTTTCGGCCAGAGCATTGCCTTTGGAGGTAAAGGTGTTGATCCTTGGAGGGTCAGCAGAGAAAATCATAGATGCGATGGGACGACTCACGTTACTTCCTCGGGAATAGGCTGATCTTCTTCAAGATAGTAGTCGATGAAATCCCAAGGATAAAAACTCTCATGCGCATCATCGGACCCTACAGTACTGTTACTGGCTGCCAGATAAAGATTATCCAGAGGACTTTACATACAGCGGACTTTAACACCTCCCTCCTTGCTCTCAACACTCAGTGCATGAACATCTCGTGGGATCTGATGAGGTATTAGCACTGGCATAGGATGCGAGCATCAAGATAAGTCTTACATCGAATGTGTTGAAGCCCCTTTGCATCGTGTCCTGATTGACGCAAGACTGGCACCGGCAGTTATCCCTGGCGATGGGTCAACGGTCGTGTTCTTTCTCTCGGGCAATTCGTGCCTACCGTAGCCATATATTGGGCCTATCAAGTATGTCAGTATATGTAGCATGCAAGATAATCACTGCTGCAGACGATACTCACAAGGACGTCCGCTTTAAATCATTTGCAACACCTTTAATAGCAAAGTTGAGACCTCGATCGCTTGCAATGACACTGCGCAATGGTGTCTTGCTTCGCCCGGACAATTGCCTGATAACATTATGACCAGCTCTCACTGTTCTGATGCCATGCCTAGATTTTTGTCTTGTAAGTTTGTGTGGTGGTAATTTGGCTGGGGGCCGAGTATAGCCTCAACTCACCTTAGGAGGGGCACTCCGTGCGCCACACGTGGTATCATCTCGCGTGTTTGTTGGCAGGCTGCTGTGCGACCACGGTGACGAATCGGATCGTATCAGCTTTGAAGCAATCAATATCTTCAGATTTAGCCAGTCCGCTTACCGCAGAAGCGGGCAAAAAAAGTACGATCAGCAAAATAGTCCGGCTTGGTGGGAGTAACATACGATCATAAGTCACGCTTGAGCGGACAGAATTACAGATTACAGCAACCGAGGTACAAGCGAGAGTTGACTGCAAACAAAGAAGCGACTTAATCCATTTGGTGGCTGTGGCGCAGTTTGATCCACGCGCCACAGCGGCAATCACTACAGAGTAGGTACACTTGAATAATTGTAACTCAAAGCATCGAGACCCGAATCTATCTAGGTAACCGTATTCATATCATCAGTACATCTGGAGCATTGAAGACTTGGCAAGACGCACTGAGATTGAGCTTGGTTGATTGCAATTGACCAAGTAGAAAAATAGCAGTTGTCATGTTGAGCTTTAAGAAACCTCCGGCTCCCAATACAGACAAGGGGCCCCGTCGATATTATGTAAGCATGCCCTGCGCGCTGGCATTAGTATTAAAAATAAAAGTAATTTAAACCATTTTCGCATTGCAATTATTTTCGCATTACAATTATCTTTGCATTATAATTATCTTCGTATTATAATTTTTTTCTTTTTCGCATTATAATTATTTTATAATTATTATTTGTGGCCATTAAAAAGGAAACGCCAAAGCCTATAATAAAGGCATAAATTCCTATCGCTGCTATATATAACGCTATAAAGCGCTGTAAAAAGTGGCAGAACGCTGTAAAGCGCTGTAAAATAACGCTTATATAATATCGACGGGTCCGTCGATATTAAATCGACGGGGCCCCGTGTCTGTATTGGGAGCCGAAACCTCCATGGTGCCGACCAATCACCATTGTTGCTAGAAGCCTCAAATACTATTGCGAAGAAAGAGCACTTCATGACACTTGTCGCTGCGTCTTGGGGCGCTGGGGGGTTTTTCCAGTTTGATTGACCAGTCAAGCATCACTCAATCTGGCCAGCGTTTTCAACCTGTAATCTGACCAAAGTGTATGGGGTGCTGCGGGGTAGTACTCACTGCTTACAGCCTCGCCAGTGATTTATATACTGGGCCACCTAGCACGACTGCCGGGCATCTGTTGAATGTTGTATTTGTCTTCATCGTTACATTATGAAAGTCGCCATGGATTGTTTTCGTTCTGCTCATGTGAGATGGACTCTGCTCATGGAGAGACGCGGACACAGATCATTCAACACTTGTCCAACCTGTGGTGGTAGCCTTTCAGCTGAGTGGCCATGTCTAGATCCTACAACGATCAAGATGCACGATCACCCTAAAGCAAGTTGGAAATCCGGCCAAGCTGCTGGCTGCGACTTCTGTAACCTTGTGACGCTCGTGATTCAGCATGCGAGTACTCAGCACCGACTGAAATCCATAGATATGCCCACATTCAACGAGCATGGCGACAAGATTGATACAAACATCAGTGTATGGTGGGGCAGAAAGTTTGATCGTTTTGTCTTGACAATCGGTTACTTTACACCTATCAAGAAGGGCGAAAATACCACATACACGATTACGGCCTGTCCCGAAAGTAAGAAATTTCTAGGTAGTTTTGTTCCGGTACCTTCATGAATGATTTGTAACTCGTGTGGCGTTCCGTTGACCTTGTGCTTACGTAGAGAAAACCTGGCTCCTTGAAGCACAAAGTGCCAAATTGACGGATAGGTCATCACCAGCAGCGATAAATTTGATCCAATGGTGGCTGGAAGACTGCAAGAAGAGACACACTTCCTGCACAAGAGCAACCGATGGCTTCATGCCGAGTCGATTATTAAAGATCTCAGACGGCATGGTCAAATTGGAGCTTGACATCCAAACAACAGAACCATACGTTGCCCTCAGCCATTGTTGGGGACCCACCAAGCCGATCAAACTGTTGGAAAATAACCTACAGGCATTCCAACAAGGAATATCCGAAACAAATCTCCCTCGGACCTTTAGAGAAGCCGTGAAAACATCACAAAGACTTGGTTATGAGTATATATGGATAGACTCGTTGTGTATTATACAGGTACGTCATCAGTGTTTTCACATCGTGTAGTAGAAGGATCTTTGGATGTTTGAAAGGCAGGATTTTCTGCTCTCTGATCGACGCATCAAATCTCAAGTTCTTATTATGCAGTCAGCATAAATCAAATACTCACATATCTTTGCGAACCAGGATAGCGATTTGGATTGGAAACAGCAGTCCAGTTTCATGGCTTCTGTCTATGGCAATGCCGCTCTTGTGCTTGCGGCTTCTTCTTCTAGATCGTCTGAAGATGGATTCCTGCGGAGAACTAAGGACAACTCTGCTCTTGATCACTTACCAGGCATTACTGAGACTTGTATCAAGTTGCGGAGAAGGGGACGGAGCAGACGTATTGAACGCTCCGTACAGTTGCGGCTGGAGATATTACGCTCGCATCGCGGCCCTCTGGACGATCGCGCTTGGGCGTATCAGGAAGAAGCAGTGGCGAAGCGATATCTATCATTTGGAAATCTCGAAATGATGTGGTGTTGCACAGAGGCCATACATTCAGAGTTTGGCAGTCACTCTTCGCAGCATGTGGAAGCGTACATGCGAATGAAATTAACAACATTGTTTACTTCTATAACCGATCCTCGAAGTCTGGGAACCTACTGGCGACGAACCATCGTTTTCATGTACAGCTGTCGAAAATTGACGTATCAGTGCGATATTCTTGTAGCGCTATCGGCTATTGCACAAGCGTTTCATTTCAAGGCGAATTTAACTTATCTCGCTGGACTATGGAAGGAGGATCTGCTCCGAGGACTTTCTTGGTACAATAAACGCAGGTCTGCTTCACAACAGCAGTACTGTCCGTCTTGGAGTTGGACTTCTGTTGGCGGAACGTCTCAGTACTATGATTACTTTGGTAGTCTAAATGATGATTCTGAGCCATGCGCCGTGGTTGTTCAAGCTGGTACAAGTCCTGCAACAACCAACATATTTGGGCCCGTCTCCGATGGTCTGGTTGTCCTACGAGGGCCATCAGCGATGGCGACTCTGAAACTCAATACGACAGGCGAAATACTTCAAGCAACGTCAGAGACATTCAACGGGGTATGGTCGCAATTCTATAAGCTATCGTTGCAAGGGGGGGTATACCAAGACACGCCACTGGTAAAAACAAGTGTCTTGCTTCGTGACGGCACACGGGAAATATCAGCCAGAAGACTTGCTTTCGGGGAGAGTATCCAAGCACAAGACGATCTGCAAACTCTTGAAAATCAAACGACAAATGTCTGGATTCTACCATTACACTTTGTGAGTGACGGCTCTGAAATACGTTTACAAATTCTTGTGTTGGGTCGCGACGAGATGGATCCAGACCGTTTCCAGAGACTTGGTCTTATCAGTCAGCGTGTGCGCATTGAGGGAAAAGACAAAATCGATACATTTCATAAGGTTATGCAACGGGAGATGGTCTGCCGTGAGTTTACGATAGTTTAGGACATCGGTCACCGCGATATTATACCCAACCAGAAACAACAATATCACTTGAAATTATCTGCCTGCACTATGCGCCGCACCCTGATCCGTCGTAACCTATAAGCCGTTTAAAAAAGAGTAATGCTGACAAGGCATTATCTCCCAAGCTATCAGGGCATTAGGCCAAGTATATTTTCAAATATTTACGTAAGCTTACTATTTAAAAAGAATAAATGGAAAGAAATTGCTTTTTATAATTTATTAGCTTAAAAAAGATTATAATATATTTTTTTTTCTTAAAAAAAGTGAATTATACGGAATCGGGCTACGGTATCAAACTGTAGTATCAATTTCTACCTTATAGCAATACCTCGGCATACGTCTTCTACCCAAACCAATCCAAAATTATACAAAAACTTGCGAATACCAAAATAAATAAATAAAAAATAAAAATTACTGCGAAAAAATTCCGTATGCCAAATCTGGGCCAAATAGAATTAGATATTGATGGTTGTGTGTTGAAATATACTTGGACTAATGCCCCGATCACCGTGGGGGTAATGCCCTGTTAGCATTACTCTTAAAAAAAGAACATGACAACAATCTGACTGAAGTAACGCTTTGTGATTGATACAGAACTAAATCACATAATGTTGCCATGATAAACCCCCCCTGCTAAAAGCCAACTGTAACTCATTGGTCGTTGCTTAGTGTAGTTTGATCCTTCCAACCAACCGACCACTCCAAATGTGTGATTAGTCGCCGTCCCAGTCTGTCGGGTCACCACCAACGCAAGGGATCATCACTAAACTAAATTCTAGGTTCATGCATGCCAACTCATCATAAAATTCAAACAGTGAATCAACAATGAACTTCATTCCTGAAGCAGACGATCTATTATCGTGCGTCATTCACTCATGTAGACTTGCCCTTGATTGAGGATGAGTACAACTGCCTCTAAAACACAAGACTCTGGACGCTTTTGGAAGGCTCAGTACACTGTTCGCTACAACTTGATAACAGCAGGTCCTTTAATGGTCAACCAGCATGAGGCTCTGTTGTTGACCTACATGAGTCGGAGACACTGTTGCAGCATCTCGGAACGTCATGTCTCCTCTCCCAGGCCACAACGCGGGCCACATGGTATTTTGGACCAAAATCTGCCCAACAGCACTCAGACTTTCAGTCACCCAGCCACTTGGAACTGCCTTGCCAGGGCGAGGCTGGCTTGATCCCACGTTTTACATGGTCTTACTCCTGCATAGAAAAACGTGGCGTTGGTTGTCATCGCGGCAAATATCCCATCTCTATTGGATCACTAGTCGATGAACCGCCAGCACAGGCCCCGGTTGTGGGGAAATATCCACAGACAACGACGTGTAAGTGAATAACAAACACGGCCCGAGCCAGTCACCAGGCAGATTCCGCCTCCCGTGCCGGTCGGTATTTATGATATGTTGTCTCTATGAGAACCATGGACTTTCTTTTTTGCTTGAATCTTTCTTTCAAGCTTGACGCTCATATTCTCTTCTCACCATGGCTCTGGCAGCAGTCTTTATGCTCCTGGCGTGCCTTTTCTACTTGCCAACCACATTTTGTAGTATTGTGCCACAGTCACGGTACTCTTTACTTTCTTCATCAGTGGACTCCTCATCAGATACATGTCAACTCGATGGCTACGTGTCCTGCGGCAGTAATGCTCCTGCCAACTTTTGCTGTTCGTCTGCAGATACGTGCATGATCCTCTCGTCAAACACTACCGTCGTGTGCTGCCCCGAAGGCGAAAGCTGCGATTTAATTGAACCCATCCTCTGCAATATCCGGCTGCAGAATGTGACCGCATTTCCCGACTCTGGTGTCTACACGACGAGACTTGGAGATGCGCTCCCAACCTGTGGTGACGGCTGTTGCCCCTTTGGCTACAGATGTAACTCGGACAGCAACTGTGAGCTTGAAGATAAAAACGGCACATCAGAATCCGACAATTTGACGGCAACAACAACTACGGCAGCTCTGGAGGATCCAGTCACAACAGAGTCGTCATCATCATCGACCCACAAAGCATCGCATACCAAGACATCGACCGCAGAATCAGTTCTACCGCAAACAACTATAGGGGATGATCAGGTATCCGCGAGTCCAAATGAAGACATGTCACAAGGAACAAGGACTGGCTTGATTATTGGCTGCACTATTACTGCCGCTCTTGTCATGATTATCCTTGTCTGTATACTGTTTTGCTACACACGGCGTGGGAGGAACAAGAAACGACAAGACTCAATGAAAAACACGATGATCTTTGAAAAACCATACATGGAATCGCCTCGTCCTCGAGAACGTCGCCAGCATGATCCGACCCTGACCAAGTTTCGCACCTGGCGGGGACAGAGCTACTACGCCAGAGCGGACGACAAGATGAGCAAAGTGTCGCCACGAACGAAAATTCCAGAACCCATCATTGAATACGCCGAACTGCCGGCCACACCGCCGCCGCGCTTAATGTCATTCGATTCTGGGCCCGACATACTTGCACTTCCCCCTCCGATCCGCGCTAAGACCACGCGTCAACGATTTGAGGGCACCAGGCCTGGGAAATCGCAGGATAGATGGAGTCTACGGTGACTTGTTATAAAGGGCTTATGTTATACGATGTTACGATGTCATGACTTTTAGACAATACATTCTTCTACTCAATCAACAAATAGACTCAATCGTTATTTCTCATATTCTTTCTACACACCGCCTGTGGCATGTTGTGTGAAGACCGTCCCCAAGAGTTTCATTCATGATTACTGAGTTAAAGAATGACGGCCACATTATGAAACAGTCGACTTGATTGTTCTTTGCGGTTCCCGACTGCGCTATACATGACTGTGCATATCCATGGATCAAAATGAGACAACATGATCAAAGAAAGCTGTCTCTAGCATGGTCAAGGGCCTGCAGTTTTTACAGGTCAAAACACTCACCATCTTGCTGAGCTCATACTGCCCAGGGATAGCCTTTCGGACTATCCGAATGAAGACAAAATAAATATCGCACCATATGCCGTGGAGGAAGATTTCTTGAAGTCAAACAATCAAGCCCAGTCGTCAAAACCGACCATGAACAAAATGGCAAATACACAACCAACCAGCAGTTCCAAGGCCACCAGCGAGCTGAACGACCTCGAGGCCAATAAGAAGGTGGACAAGAACAGCAGCCTCTCCAAACTCCGAGCCATTACCTTTCGTTTCATACCCATTTGCGGCGCCATCCTCGTCGTCTTTTCCCTGGGCGGCGGCATCGGCTACGCCTTCAACGGAAAGCCGCTACCACGAGACGCCGTGGTCGGAATCTCCGTGACATTTTTGATTCTCGGCATCTTGTTTGGCCTTGGTTGTCTCAAGTTGTATCACCGCCGCTCGTCACAACCTCCATTAGCAGCCAGACCCGAGTCGGGCCCGGACGTGGCGCGGCAAGAATCCAGCAGATTAAAGAGCCACATGACACGAGTCTTTACTTCAAAGTCGGACCTGGAGCAAGGCGAGGCTGAAAATGTCGAGGAATTTCTCGAGCGAGGGAGACGGGACAAGAGAAAGCCTCAGCGAGGCACTATCGTCGAGGTTGCCGCAACCGAGGCAGATGAGACGGGGGAAGGATTGAGACCAGACAGATCTCGCATACCCAGACAGCCTACGCAACAAGCAGCGCCTAGGACGGGCGGCGCACCGCAAGTGCCTTCATCCATGGCCCAGCCAATGCTCAAACCCCAGACATTGGTGCCCGAATCCCAGGAACCAAGGTACAGCTGGGAAATCCACGACGGCATACAAGTCCATACGGCCCAAGCGGCCAACCGTAACATCGTTGCCACCCAAGATACCCCAAAACAGGTGATCCACATAGGTCTGGGTAACCACGCCGGACAACACAAGACGGCCTCGTCGGGAAGGGATGAGAGCGCCAAGAACCTCCCCAAGAGAACCCAAGCCACAAGACGGCGCGACACTCCTCACCCACAAACAAATGCCGTCACCTTGCCCCAGAGACTCAACCCCCTCCCGGGCCCAGGAAATGAGGACCCAGATCGGCTGGCCTATGACATTGTCAAAATGTCGGGAATGGCAAGGACGCAGGCTGACCTCCGCGGTGACGGCGAACCAATTCTTCCCCGCTCGTCGAGCAAGAAGAAGACGGAACCTGTACAACATAACCAGATCCCTGGGTCAGAGACTGCTGGCATGACGAGGCCCAATAATCACATGGGGGTCAATCACATCTTGGGTGTAGGTCCTGTCGCTTCACGTCTGAGACCATCTTATTCTCAACCTGCTTTCATTCAGGATCCGTTTGCCAATAATGATGGCGGCGAGCAAGGGACTGAAGCCATTCACAAACTACAGCAGCCCAAACAGGAGTATGGCCGATCTCTCACAACAGTTGATGAGTGGCAGGTGCGCAACAACGTGATGAACTCAGCCCCAGAATGGATTTAGAGTCATGATGACTTGCAAGAAATGGAGAGGTAATGATGAAAACCCAGAAATATCCTTTCATGATGCTAGGTCTTTTTAAACATTCAACGTCGGATTCCGCGTGACATCTAGGTACTCGTGTAATTGATTGAACCTTGCCTTTAACGCCTTTGATGAGACAACTTGGTAAGCATTTAGATCTTGCCCGACACGGCTCCCCGGACTCTATCCCAGAATGAAACGGTGGGCTTAACACCGTCGACAAGCTCTGGTGTGACGACAACAGTATTCCACTTTTCCTCTCCATCAATGTATAGTCTGTAGAAGAGACTGCTTCGCTCCCCATCAGCGCGGTTCTCAATTGTCAAGGCTCCAAATTTAGAGTTGCCAGTGTTGATGTATCTGCGCTGGAATTAGACAATTTTCTCATCAAATAAATTCAAATTTTGACTTACTTCAACTCAACGTCCTCGTCGTCTGTTTGCTTGTAAGTCGGAATAGGAGAGTAGAACTGGTTCAGGGGACTGGCCGAAAACTCATGCACTGTTACACTCTCGGGCCACTTACTCTCCCTGGGCGGAGGGAAGGCCGTTGCGCCAAACTCGTGGCGGTCGCCAGAAAGCACCACAACTCCGTATCCAGCTACACCGGCATCCCACATGGCTTCCAGCACTGTTCGGCGCTCATGGAGGAAACCACCCCATGTGTCCTTGGTGTTGACGCGCCAGTTCTTGGTGAGTGGGACAGAGCTAGCAATAATCTTCCACTTTACACCAACGGGCTCCGGGCGACGGAGCCAGTAGAGGAAATCGTCTAGCTGCTCCTCACCGAGCATAGTCTTGTTGGTACTCTCGAATGGCTCATTGTTCTTGGAGCGGTAGCTGCGAGTGTCAAGCATGAAGAAGCTGGCTGGTCCTTGGGTAAAGGAAAAGTAGGTCGCATCAGATCGACTGAGGGTGCCTCCGGTCGCGGCAGTCTTGGCGCGAGGAGGATTCACCTCGGTCTGATAGTGGTGCCAAGGGTCGACAGCGGTCTTGTAGACTCCTGCTGATTTCGAGTCCCAATCATTGCGGATCTCATGGTCGTCAAGAACGTGAATCCAGCTCAGGTTCTGGCCGATGGGAGCCCAGTCGGGAGAAGCATAAGCCTGTCGGTATTTCTGTCGATAGTCCTCGACAGTACTGCCAAACAGATTCGGAACATCAATGTAGATGAAGTCGCCCATGAAGAGCATAAACTGCGCGCCCAGACTAGGAAGGACCTTGGCCATGTGCCTCATGCCGGGGATCGCCAAGGGATGATCCAAGGGGTTATATGGCAGTCTTGGCAGGATACATGAAGTAGCCAGAAAAGTGAATTTTCCATCGTACAAATCTGGCATCCTTCCAGCTTTGGGAGCACTTGTGAACTCTCCAGAGTGGTTGTTCGATGTGGTCCATTCGTAAGTGTGTTGCTTGCCATGGGTCAGAGGGATGGTCACCACAGCTGTATAGTCGGTCTCGTTGCTCGTCCACTTGACACCACCAGCTGTCTGCCACAGCGGGTTGTCAAAGGGTGGCTGAGCATCCTTGAGGTGTACCTGAACAGTAATGGGCATTTTTGACTGATCGGGCTCTCGGATAAGGAGCTTTGCCTCGGTGTCAGAGACATAGCCGACTCTGGCAAAGGACAGGTCATGACTGGGATACTGCCAGCGCGGTCTGTAGACGACGTCTGTGATCATGGCCACACAAGCCGCGTTGATGAGCAATGTAATCAGCGAGGGCAATTTGCTTGCAGGATTCGGTAGACCACTGAGAAGGGTCCACAGAGGTGTCGGCTGACGGTCGACAAGAGCAACCTTTTCGACAATTTCGACATCTTCTTCTATGACGGGTTCCCCATCCTCATTGACTAGTTTGTCCGTGACGGCAACATCGACCTCGTCGACAAGTGCAACTTCAGGTTCACGTCTCCATTGGGAGATGAAGGTCGGCACGTAGATGGCAAACAATGTGTACACGACGTAAATGGCGGGCTACAACAACAAGTTTAGTTGGTTGCGAATCCAGGCAAAAATGACTGGGAGAAGCTAATGCAAAGAACACATACTGGTAAGGCTGCCTGCACTCTGTACATTAGTGGATATGTCTACAAGACTTGAACACATGTATAAACAAACTCACCCAGCGCAAAAAGAAATATGAAGCAATTCTAATGCCGGCAGACGCGACTGCCACGGTACGCCTTTGGAGATCCATGACGGAATTGGCTGAATCGCCGGAATGCACGGCGCGAACTGGAGTTATTTTGGATTCAAGAGAGCTCCCAGTGTGAACTCCCCAGCACCAAGAGCTACGTGAAGAAGAATGTATATGATGCGCCAAATTCTGGCGGCCACCAATGATGGCAGTTGAGGGCTTCCAAGAAAAAGAGTTGAAAAAGAAAAGGAAGTTTTCTAGAAGAGAAAAAGAGGTTTCCCTCGATAAATCTTGACAGTTTACACCAAAGAAGCTATGGGTCGAGGGAGAGAAACACTCTAGAATCTGGAGCATAAGGAGCGTCACAGATGACGACAGGGTACAGGATGGGGAACTCTCTGGATAGAGCTCCCCTGTAATCAGCAGCTTTGGTGGAGTAGAGAGCACTGATTGGTAGGATAAAACCAAGCTTCAATGCATTGCACTTCATTGGAGACGCTAAAGTGGCGCCCGAGTCGGTCAAGCACTGGGCTTGTTCCCGGGTGTCTTTGGGCGCCCCTTGCGCCCCTGACAGCGAACCCCCGGCCGCTTTTCCCGCGTTGCCTTTCAGGTCGAGTAAGGTTCCATTGCGCATCTGGCCAGCTGGCTCCGAGCTTTTGGAGGATTTACCATTTTCCACGTGCCGAATCGACTCGCGTGGCAGCTTGATTCCCAACCAAGGCCGTTTCTACATTCCCCGGCTTCGCGACAGCGTGCTTTAGACGAGTCGACAGCTTGCATTGCGACAATCAACAAGATGAAGTCCACTCTGATGTCGGTCGGCCTTTTGGCCTGGCTGATTTCCCTGGTCTCTGCGACTGCCTTGACCTACAAGCTCGGTGCCAACGAGCAGGCCTGCTTTTACGCCATCTCCCCCAAAGAGAACACCAAGATGGCCTTTTACTTTGCTGTAAGGATTCAATGAATGACTTGATCTAGAGTTGCACTGACATTCTTTTGCCCGTGCAGGTCCAATCTGGTGGTTCTTTCGATCTCGATTACGAAGTGACCGGCCCCGAAGAGAAGATCATCCTCTCTGGTGAAAAGGAGCGCCAGGGTGACTTTGTCTTCACTGCGCAACGAGCTGGAGACTACAAGTTCTGCTTCAACAATGACATGAGCACATACACTGAGAAGATTGTCGATTTCGAGATTGCTGTAAGAAAGAGCTGGCCCAAACACGATAGTGGCAAGCACGGCTAACAAAAGGAATCGCAGGTCGAGGATGAAGTTCGCGCCCAACTTCCCGCCAAGCAGGGCACAAGCCCCGAGCAGACTTCGGCATTGGAAGAATCCATCTACAAGGTCTCTGGACAGCTTTCGACCATTACCCGAAACCAGAAGTACTTTAGAACAAGAGAGAACCGCAACTTCAGCACTGTCCGCAGCACGGAGAAGAGAATCGCCAACTTCAGCATGATCCAATGCGCCATGGTCATCTGCATGGGTGGTCTGCAGGTCTTTGTTGTTCGATTCTTCTTCCAGGTATGTGTGCTGGCGTTCTTTGTTTGGCTATTTATTAACAGATTTGTAGGGCGCAAGAAAGGGATACGTATGAACGATCAAGATTCGAGAACCAGAAGATATGATCAACAGGTGTTGGAGTATAGAACGACTTGCTCACGGAAAAGGCTTTTTGGTAAAACAGTGTGTATCATACAAGCTGCTTTCGGGAGGACGAGACTCAGGCGTTTGCGGCTGTTCTTAGAAAATTTACATGATGTGCTTATGATAACGAAGCCAGCATTTGCATTGCATCTAGTACACAATTGTGACTATATATCCATGAGCTTTCTGAACTAGCCAATATGCGGATTGTTTACCACGTTTACATATGTACTCATTGAGTCAAGATCATGGACCGCTATTAGTACCGAGCTTCTACGTCATATACATTTCAAAACCACATTCCCATTTCCTACGGTACGTGCTTTCACTGAGCATGTCTCAAGGCTGCAGGGCGGTTGAATTAGTACCATTTGCCCGGAATCTACATTGGTAGGATTGATAGAGAAAGTAGCACTTGTAATGCATCGCAAGTGAGAGATAGGGGGTTCGTGTAGCTAGGATAGGCGACTGGCGATAGAGCGCATAGCCCGTCCAAACTGCAATAAAGTGGAGAATGCAAGCACCCATCATTTTGAGGCGGCTGCCTTTGCACTAGCCACTTTTTACCCTGCTGCACGTTCCATTGTCCAGCCACGCCTCAAAAATAAGTGCAGCTCGAAGTCACGTCGAAAGCTACAGGCAGAGGCAGGCTGCAAACTCTCAAGAGGCTACGACCCGATTGCTGCATCCGATTTTGCTGCATCACAACACAAAACCTTCGACCACCGCCATGGCATCGATAGCGGCCTCGCTGGCGCAAGCTCTTCCGAAGCCAAAATACACTGGCGAAGATGAAGAAATCCCCGCTCACGCACAACAGCGCGGACCTAGAGTCGTCGGCCCCGGCCAGATAGACGAGTCGCAAATCGTGCTGCGAAGGACCGGCCCGCCAGCATATGGTCAGCGGTCAGGATGGCGCCCGCGGGGACAGGAAGATTTTGGCGATGGTGGCGCGTTCCCCGAGATACCCGTCGCTCAGTATCCCCTAGGTATGGGACAGAAGGGCTCGTCGACGAGTAACGCGCTTGCGATTCAGGTCAACGCCGACGGCAAAGTCAAGTATGATGCCATTGCTCAACAGGTACGAAGGACTTCTTCTCACTGTGAACTATCCCATACTAATTGTGTCGCTTTGCAGGGCCACCGTGAAGGCAGAATCGTGCATTCTTCCTTCAAGGACCTGATCCCCCTTCGGCAGCGCGCAGATGCCGGCGAGATTGATCTGGCAAAGCCAAGCGAGGAAGAAATCAAGGCAACGACGGAACGAACTCAGAATGCTCTGGCAGCTCTAATCAGCGGCGCTGTGGCCGCGCAAAAGCCCAAGAATGTCAACATTGGTGGCAAGAGGGACGCGACATTTGTCAAATATACGCCCGCGAACCAGATGGGCGACAACTCCAAGAAACAGGACCGTATAATGAAGATTGTGGAGAGACAGCGGGATCCCATGGAACCACCAAAATTCAAACACAAGAAGATTCCAAGAGGACCACCGAGCCCGCCTCCACCGATTATGCGGTCGCCGCCGCGCAAGTTGACAGCACAAGATCAGGAAGATTGGAAGATCCCACCTCCTATCAGTAACTGGAAGAACCCCAAGGGATTCACGGTTCCGCTGGACAAGCGTTTGGCCGCAGATGGCCGTGGTCTACAGGATGTCTCGATCAACGACAAATTTGCACAATTCTCAGAGGCGCTCTTCATGGCAGACCGACATGCTCGCGAAGAGGTTAGACAGAGAGCCGTAATGCAACAACGCCTTGCCGAAAAGGAAAAGGCACAAAAGGAGGACAATCTACGCATGCTTGCGCAAAAGGCAAGAGACGACCGTGCTGGCGCCGGCAGGAGGCGAGATTCTAGTGGCTCTCGAGACTCGCGGTCCCGATCGCGCAGCTACAGCTATTCAGACTCGGGCTCTGATAGCGAAGACTCAGAGATCCGAGCCAGAGAAAAGGCGCGACGGGAGAGACAAAAGGAGGAGGAACGGAAGCTCCGCCAGTCTCGCATGGGTGCCGAGAGGAGAGTGCAAGTCATGGCTCGTGAGCAAAATCGTGATATTTCAGAAAAGATTGCTCTCGGTCTTGCAAAGCCGACACAACAGGCCGAGACCATGTACGACTCCCGCCTGTTCAACCAAACAAGTGGATTTGACAGCGGTATCAATGAGGATAACCCATATGACAAGCCACTGTTTGCCGCACAGGACGCCATTAGCAGCATTTACAGACCCCGTCAAAATGCAGAGGACTACGAGGATGAGGCGGCCGGTGACCGGGAAATGGCAAAGATTCAAAAGTCTAGCCGGTTTGGAGAAGTTTTGGGCAAGGGCACATTCAAGGGCTCGGGCGATGCCGAGGCTCGTGAGGGACCGGTACAATTTGAAAAGGACGGTGGCGATCCCTTCAGCGTGGACAAGTTTCTAGAGCAGGTGGACCAGAGCTCGACTTCCAAGAGAGGATACGGACTGCAGGAGGACGAGTCGAGGCAATCGAAGCGCGCCAAAATGGACGATGACGACGAATAAACGGCTGCTTATACAGCAGACGTCCGTGTTATATGATATATTATTTTGGGCTGATGAGACTTGTTTTTGGAAAACGGGTGCATGGCCAAAACTAGATTGACAGCTACACAAGCATCCCTTTAGCTCAGCTCGGCGCAAAGATAGTAATGGCACGCAAGGCTCATTGGAAGTTGGTAAAAATGCAAATATCCAGGATTCTTGCGCAAAACCGTTTGGACATGCTTGAAAAAAAGAAACATCAATATTCCAACCCGTCTGTTTCTTTTACTGGGTACACTTGACAGGTAAGAAGCAACTTATGGTGCATATCGGACAGGATATGCCGAACCCTTTTTTGCATGAGCACGTGGTTATCTGCAACCCGAACGTTCCATGTTGGTCTGATTGTCGATGAAACGTGGTGACTTGAGACGGGAACAAGCGCACCAGGGTCTCTCACCAGGGTCTCTCACCATGTCGCGATTCAATCAATGGGGAGAGAGAAAATGGCATCGGATGAGCCAGCTTCCCGGTTCCCAATCGTGTTTGATTATCTTGGGGCACACGCATTCGTTTCCACAGACTTTCATTTCAAGAATGTCGGCTCGTCTCCTCATTACCAGCCCTCAACTCAGCCTCAGCCCCCCTCAACAACTTTTTTTTGGTTGTAAACATCCGATGAAATGAAGTTGAAGAGACGTTAAAAGTTTTTGGTCGTGTGCATACGAATACCATTACGGCAGCATGACGACGACCGTCTACCCAGTAGGTGGGGATCTTTCGAGTAGCGGCGGGAAAGAAGGGTTTAAATCATGTTAGTGCCCGGGCTTTTACACTATCTTGGATCTGAAATGGGCTGATGGGCTGGGCTGTCAAGAGAGTAAAAGGGCTGTGTCCCATGTTTTTGGTTTGAGAATTGCGCGCACACAAGTGAGCTACCGCTGATGATGAATGTATGTCTTGTCTGGAAAGGCTAAAGATGCGGCTCGTCATGTAGATAAAAAGCAACTAGGTGTTGAGCAAGGATGTCGGTGGTCAAGTTTGCAACTTTATGCATACGTATCGTCGATCATGGGTTTGTTGCTGGTTCACGTTCTAGAGCGTCCCCTCAGCGGAAAGAGAGAGACGGAGAGAAAAAGAGCTTACCTAGGCGCTTGCGAAAGAAAAAAAAAATTGGATGCTCCATACCCAGGTATTCGATTGGAGCCAGAGAGACTGGACTTTTCTCATCTCCAAAGGCCTCGTCACCTCGGTGTTTGTATGAAGTTTTTTGGGATCCGCTGGATACTTTTCTAGTACGAAGCCACTTTTTGTGCTCGGCAACTCGCAAGGTCCGCTTGAATCTACGAAGTAAACAGAGAGCACAGGATAGATCAGGGTCTAACAGTTGTATTCTGTAGTTTTGTATCAATCTTTTGCTCAAGGTTTAGTGGATTTAAAGCAAAGCGATTAAGCTTGTCTTGCATTATTGATACAGCAAGAGACGACCAAGAAAGAGAAGTCTGGATGGAGCACGTAACATAGCTTAGAGAAGGAATCCACAAGAAATACGCAACGTGCTGTGTGAGTGTGAGTGGAGTATGGGTTTTATGGGCGATCCGGGGACTTGTTTAGTGTAGTGTGACTTGGTATCATATTCCCAGACAGAGAAGAGTTTGGAGTTTGTAGTAGTGAGTGAAGATCAGTTCAGAGTATAAGCGCTCGGGGGAGGGTATCATCAATGCCGTTTTCCAAGTACAAGGACGAGTTTCAAGACCAGGAACCATCTTTTTTGATCTGATATATTCTGGTCTATATCCGCGTTGATCTTATCCGTCTCATGTATATTGACTGGTCATCATTTTCTTCTCTATTTTTACTCTTTACCTACAATTGGAAATCAGACAACAAAGAGCTCACATTAACAACCTAGCAACTACGTACTCCTCTACTCCCTGTCATTCTCTGCAACTCATAACGCGTCAGCCTTTGGCTCCATTTTTTGTCCAAGACAAGCGCCATCCACCAACTAAGAAGCCTACACTAGATTTCCCAGGGCATTGGGAAAGAAGAAGGCAGTGCAAGCTTTTGAGAAACTGGCTAATAGGAGCAAGGACGAGTGTAAAGCTGTTTAATTAAGCTTCGGAAAAGAGTGGGAAAGAAAGAGGAGAACAAAGGGAAACAAAGTAATACCTAACCTTGCAGCTTGTTTGGTGGTGTGGTCTTGCTCCATCATCCCATCCCCATTCAATGATCTAGGTACATGGACCTTCAGGAAAAGCGCAACAATTAAAAGTCGGGCATCCCTCCATTGGGATCTGCTCTCTTCTTGATCGTGATGCCCTTGACCGATGAAGAATCTCAGAACAATAATCACATCAGAAGGACCAAGACCTCGTACCAGGCAGCAGCATTTGGTACTTCAGCATTGAACCTGCAGCGTGAGCATCTCGGTTATACCCCGTTCGAATATTGGAAAGGTCCCAAACCGGTAATACCAGGGTCGTCACAGCGGACGACAGGCCCGATTGCCAGCCATAGAACCACCACAATTGCGGTTAGGGAGCTCAATACTAGCAGCGGCCCAGGGGCACAGGCTGCACAGCAACAACAGCAGCACTTGTCAGGTACTACGGCTGCAGCTACTACAGTGGCATTAGTGGCGCATCTAGAAGGCAACGAAGAAAAGACGACAGGGTGGTGGGACTCTGAGAAAACCCAGAACAACGAGAAGCTTGACTGGGCTAGAGCAGGATCGACGATAACACTGGGTCCAGGTGCTCCAGCGACAACAGCGAAAAATATGGGCTGGACTGACGCATATAACAATGGGGGTAACAACCACTTCCGGTCGGCTGGCCCGACCAGCTTTCATGTCCACGATCGCCAAGGTTCTGTTGAATTACTTACACAACGACCTCCCTCATACGCCAGTGCAAAGCTGCCACCGAGACCAACTGCAGACATGAAGCGAGACGCTGCCTCGAGATGGGACCCTCGTGGTTGGCGCAAGAGGACATGGGCCGGCGTTGCACTAGTCTTGATCGTCGCCATTATTGTCGGAGTCGTTACCGGAGTATTGGTCGCCAAGGCCAATCGGTATCCCGACTATAGCAAGCTGACTTACGCATTGGAGGATTCCTGTAAGTTGAATCATTTTACATTGTTGCGCCTGTAACAAAACATGACCAAAATTACTAACATTCCGACTCACCATACAGATTCTGGAACTGATTTCTTTGACAACTTTGATTACTTTGAAGGATATGACCCAACGTCGGGTTTCGTGCATTATGTCCCTCAAGCGCGGGCCGAGTCACTTGTAAGTGCCTGTCAGATGGTTCAAAATTAGCAATGATACTAACATGATTGTCCATTACAGAACCTCACATATGCCTCCTCAAGCACGGCCGTTCTGAGGGTCGACACTTCAGTCGGCAACACATCAAGTCCCGACGCCTCAACGGGCCGCTTCTCGGTGCGCGTCACGTCCAAGACGCAGTACGACAGCGGCCTCTTCATCTTTGACGTGAAGCACACGCCCTACGGATGCGGCACCTGGCCGGCGCTCTGGCTCAGCGACCCCAGCAACTGGCCGACCAATGGCGAAATCGACGTCATGGAGGCCGTCAACAAGGCCACCGACGGCAACCAAATGACGCTGCACACCGACGACGGCTGCGACATGAAGGTCAAGCGCAAGATGACGGGCACGGTCCAGTACAAGACGTGCAGCAACAACACCAACGATAATGCCGGCTGCGGCGTCCTGGGCGACGCCGACTCGAGCTACGGCTCCGGCTTCAACTCGGGCGGCGGCGGCGTCATGGCCGTCGAGTGGCGCGATGCCGGTATTCGCATGTGGCAGTTTGCCCGTGACAGCATCCCCGACGACATCACGGCCGGCGACAGCCCCGACCCGAGCTCGTGGGGTACCGCCTCTGCCGATTTCCCCAATACTGATTGCTCCATCTCGAGCCATTTCAAAAACCAGAGCATCATTGCTAATATCGATCTGTGCGGTGATTGGGCAGGCAACGTCTATGCCGACAGTGGCTGTCCCAGCAGTTGCGAAGACTATGTCGCCAACTATCCATCGGCCTTTAAGAATGCCTACTGGGAATTCGGGAGTTTCTCAGTCTACAAGGCGTCGTGAGCAAATCTTGCATATGTTGTTTGATGGAAGTTATAAAAAGCAAGAATGGTCACACCAAGGATGACCAGCGAGTCGGAATTATAATCTTGTTCCACAAGACCCCCTGGTGTGACCACCAACCATGTTGTATCCTTTAGCGAGGCGTTTTATTCATTTTTTCGGTCATGATGGAGAAGAGAGAAGCCATATACCACTTATAGATTCTTAGTCTAATGACGAATGAAATTAGCCATTACATGGAAACGATCGATTAGATTGGCAACTTCCGGGCCTTGTGTTCATAACATTATACTAAGTTGATCGGGTTCCCGTGTCGTCAGGCGTAACCTCTGGACAATGGCAGTGTCAACGAAACATGAAGCAGAAAGTATTAACATGCCATCTTGCTGGAATGAGTATATTCTCTCATGATCAAGATAGTCATACCCTGGCTACCACAAAAAGTAGACCTAAATCTAGTGGAGATGTCGCTAAACTCCTTCTATATCTTTGTGTTTCCCCAAAAACGCCACGATGCTATGCATAAGTCCCTTCATTTTATACAGTCCAGCCGCGCTGTTAAAATCCGTCCATTATCAAACAGAAAACCTGCAAGCTGGCCAGATCATCCAAAAGGGGTATTCTCTTTCATCGTACAAGCTCATCGTACACCGGCTCTAGTCGTAAATGTTGTGTCGAGCCACGTCTTTGCGATAATTTCGAAACGTCGTAAAGGGTATGAACCCAACTGAAACTATTCGTTGTTCTTTTTCTTTCTTCGTTCCTTTTGCCGAGTACCCCTCGTTTACTCCTCGCCCGGACTCCTCATGTAGGCATCAATAGCCGCCGAAAAAGCCGCGAAAGCGGCGCATCCGCCGCCAACAGCCATGGGACCGCCGCCCCGGGCAAGGATGCCGCCCGTAAGGCAGCCCGCGGCGACGCCGTTGGCGAGATCGTTCTTGGCCCGGAAGCCCTCGATGCCGCACTCGATACCGGCAAACATGGCGCCGACCTTGCCAAAGTTCTTGGCCATGCTGTAGGATCGCGTGCCCATGTCCTTGAAGCCGGTGGCGAGCTGTTGGCGAAGAGGCAGGGAGGCGAGTTCTTTTGGTGCGGCGCCCGGCGCGCCCGGGACATGGTATGGCGTGTCGTAGGACATCTGCAATGGGAAGTATATACCGTCAGTATCACGTTCCGGCTAGTCTTGCAAAGTGGGCATCGTAGTATAGGAGGCAGGAGAAAATGTATTGTCGCAAGGACGGCAATGGTGACTTACAGAAGCCATAAACATTCCAAACAGACCACCCATACCGAAACCCATCACTCCGGACATGGCAGTCTTGCCAAAGCACGACTCCATCATGGCGTTAATCTACAGTGAGTTTGCAAGTCAGCTACGATGGCGTTCCTAGCATAGGGAAAGTCAGGAAGTTGAGAATGTTGCCGTACTCGCTTAATGTTTGGGTCATTGGGATCATAACCCCCGCCGCCCGCAGCACCAACGTTGCCTGGTAGTGAATTCATTGTCGCGATGGTCTAAAAGAGGTGACTGAGCGAGTGGGTGACACTGGGGATGTCGCTTGCGCCGTACGGTCGTCTGCGATCGATTGAATGGGGACCCTAGGACGGTAAGCTCCCTTATCGGACTGGGTCGCGAAGGCGATAAAGGAATTTATCTTGCCACTTGTCACCGCCTTGACTATGTAGCTGCTAGTCAAGCTAGTCTCGCAGTCGATTCCACTTTTATAAACCTGGCTTGTTGCCTTGGCTGTGAAGTAGGTACCTACTTTATTGACCAGTGTATTCCATGTGCCTAGTTCAAGTAGAAAGTAAACCAGTCATGATACATAATGCTCAACTGAATCTTTCTTGGTACAAGATGTGTATATTAATAGGGTAAATGACATATCCTCTACTGTGTCACGGATCAATGTGCTTTCGAAACTTCCACCAAAACTGTTTGATCAAGTATCTAGCTATCTTAATCGGTGGCTTTCGTTCCACAGTCGTCTACCTATACTAAAAGCTCTCATGGTAGGTTTCAGCGCACGACATTCGCCTGGACGATTCTCAAATGCGGCAGGAGCCGAGAATGAGGTGTAAAATATATACAATGTACTAATGAGCGTCAGTAGCCACATGTTCTATGGGACTAAATGTCTTGTTCCCAATGAATATTATTGTCATGTTGGTGCTTTGAGTACAATCATCCCGGTCTACTGCCGACGCCCCTGTTGTACAAGTTCGCTCGCGCTCTTTAGACCACAGCCTCTTGCCACATCCAGGAGCAAAGATCAAACTCTATGCCGTCATGAGATCGCTCCCGTGTCTCAACCCATTTCATCTAAGACTTATTGTCTCGAAAAGCTCTCGGGTACTACGGGAGCCCAATATCGAGAATAGCCAGATGCATGAGTAGGCCTAATGGGCTAGGAATACTTCAGTCGTGTGTAGAAGCGGATTTTGTAAAAAAAATCACAATGCGAGATACTTGTGGGTTCTGATAATCCTAAACACCAGCCACGGATCGCTGCCGTGAAAGCGAGGTCAGTGCAATGCGGTCCCAACCCGCACTTTGTCCGTCTATTTGAGGAACATTTCTGAGCCGTTCCGTATACTCCTTGTTCTGTCAACGTGATCCAGGCCAAGTGAGATATCTTCTTCAAGGCCACCTTCTTGATGGAGGATATCGTCTATGATTCATTAGCAGCGTGGTCAACGAAGCGAGCAGGCGCATAGCCAACTTCTGGCAGACTTACCATCAACGAGATATGTGAGTTTACCATATCGGCGAATCAAAGCAAACTTGATCTTTTCGAATGCTTTGCCTTTGATACCTGTGCGCTTTTCGAGACGTTTCTTTGTCTCCGAGAATTCCTCTCCCTGCTTCGTGATTAGTACTGCAATCATTGGCACAGGACAAGATGTACCCGGTTCCACTTACATCTTTCAGTAGAAACTTGAAGGGAATTCCGTGGACTCGACTGCTGTCCTGCTGGAAGTGCAAGACCTTGATAAAATCTCTTTCATCCGCATCAAGCTCCTCCTCAGGGATTCGTTCTGCCACCACATCCGTGTATTCATTGATACTAAGGACCGGATAGCTTGGTGGGAGCTCCCGGAAGACTTTGTTGTGATGTATCTCGTATACTCGGATGCGACCGCCTGTCTGCTCGTCGTCTATCCCGGCCTTTTTGACCAAAGCCTGCACCAAATCCTCAATGTGGCCAGCCTTGTTGACAAGCACGTCATAGGTATCCTATTCATAGTTAGCATGGTTACACCTATTTGACAAAATTTGCGTGGCTTACCGCTTTGGAAATGCCCTCGGACAACCAAATGACCTTGACACTCTTCTTTGTGTCAAGCTCTGCGAGACTCATGTCCAACACTTCGAAGAAGAGCGAATCGCTCTTGGCTTGTGCATTGGCGGGGTGGTTCCTATCCGAGCTGAGGATTTGACCCAGATTTTGTTGAGCTGTGCGCCTGAGAGGAGCCTTTGGATTGCCAGTGCTTGCATTGACGGTGAAGAACCGAATGTGTGTGGGATCGACATCGAGGCTGTCCCCAACACGCTCGGCAATCTGATCATAGGTGAGTCTTTCAGGCATGGTGAGGCTGAAGCTTTCGTATCCTTTCTCGCAGCGGGGGTGAGGCCAGAATCGGACGTCCCTCTTGTGAACAAGGAAATCATAGTATTCGCGAGCATCCTCAAAATGATCCCATTTCCGCGGAGCGCCATTTGTGGGTTTCTCGCTCAAGCGAGGAATCTTAGCCAAGCTCGCTAAGCCATCGCCAGCCTTGCGCTCGGGCACGCGCTGGAAGCAAATGATGTCTCCATCTTGAAGTTCAGCCGCCTTCAAAGTTTGCCTAGACTTTAATGACTCGATCATCTGTGGTTTGATCTCCTCCCACATGGCCACTTGCTCTCCAGCAGGCAGCTTCTCGCCCCAACCCATCTTTTTGGAGATAATGGGAACGAGATCCTCAATCTTCTTCTCCTTGCTGACATAGACATGACCGACGCCCTCCAGAGCCTGCTTGTCCTGATCAAAGAATTTGAGAAAGAGCAGAATGAGATCGGTTTTAACGACAACACCATTAGCGCCACCTTGGTAGGTTGGCCAGACAGCCTCGCCTTGCTCGTTGGTCTCCTCAGCGACTTCGACCCAGACTCGCAGCGATGCATCGCGGCTAGTACTGACTGATCTGGCATACGTTTCTTCAATGGTGGGTTTCAAGTCCATGATTGGTTGATCAGGTCGTGTGGTCTTGTTCTGGCGATTAACCATTATCCAAAGTCGAAGCTTGCGTGGGTCCTCCTTCATGTCCTCGGCAATAGTCGCCACGAGGGACTCCATCGAATCCTTTCTCTTGACCTTGAAGAGCCTCGGTGCGGCAGGATCTTCCTTCGGGTCCGTGTCAAAGTTTGTAAGGTCGGTGGATCCATGATGCTTGAACGTTTCGCCGGTGACGGCCTTAACTGTCAGGTACAGGTGTTGCTCCTCACGTTCCTTGCGTTTCGCTTCTCTCTCAGCAGCCTCCTCCTCTAGTCTTAGCCGGAGATGAGCCGGTGTGTCTTCCCGAGTGACTGGCATCAAAACCTGGTCGAGGCGAGGCTCACGAATGTACACCAACATGTATGCATTGGCCGAACGCATAATCGGCTTTTTGGAAATCGAGGTGCGGTAAGGGCCCTGCGATGTACGCAACTCGCCACCGTAGTTTTCTTCAAGGGTTTCCCGGATGGTAGCTTTGGTCACCTTGTCATCGTCGAACTTGTAGAACCATCCGTCCTTGTTCGGCTTCAAGAAAGCATAGTAGTGGCCAGCATTGAGATCTCCACTATGTACCAGGACACCATGAAGCTTGTACACCCAGGGCTCCGACATGTCGGCACTCTTTTCGAGGAACGGCGCGGCATCGAAAACTTCTGGAAACTCAAATCGATCATTGACCTTCATCATGGCGTCCCGCTGGATATCGTACTCAAATCTCTTCAGGTGCAAGTGGAGAACCTCTGGGAAGCTCTGGAAGATGACACCCTTGTTTGCATCTTGGTACTTGAATTCGTCACCAGCCCAGTACTTATTGTCGCCGTCCAGAGTCTCTTGTTGGATGTAGTCCTTGAAGCTGTCTTCTAGTGTTGGGAAGCCGCGGACGTTCAACTGAATATCCCAGAAGTCTTCTATACGACTCGATTCGTAGTCCACATTGATGCAAGAGACATACGTCTTGACCTTGCCACTGAGCATCCGAGGCAGAGCGTCTTCAGCAGCGGTGCCCTTCATCCGCTCCTCCATGCGCTCGATCAGTTTGCGTGAAAGCTCTTGAACGTCCTGTTGCTCGAAAATATGGCGAGTATCCCAACCGAAAGATTTGGTAAGCTCATTTGTTCCAACAGCATTGTTCGAAGTCTGGAGTTGGTAGAATAGTCTCTGCAAGGCATATACGCTGTTGGTAGGACTGTCGTCGTTGTCGGTAGGTATCTGATATACGGCCTTTCGGAAGGCGTTGGTAAAGTACAGAGACTGGAGAAGAGAATTCAAATAGCACGTGGCGCCCTGGTTCTTGAGACCGACGTAGCCAGTCTCTTTCTTCGAGTCGTAATTATTGAAGTTGTGCCAAAGCACACCGGTCTCGTCCTCGACAATTCGAACATAAGCTGTCAACAGAACAGAGTCGTTCTCAGCCAGAGGACGACCAGAGCCCTCAAAGTCGGAATTGAACATGCGCCGGAACTCGAGGAATCTTGTGAAACCCCAATCGCTCTCCTCCTTGGTGAAGCGGTGGTGTGCCTGGTGGTGCACAAAGAGAGATGGGTCGTTGATGTTGGACATGACCAGGCCGAAATGCACACAGCAACTCCAGTCCTCTGGTATTGTGCTTGGATCCTCGAAACCATGCTCGAGATAGAGTGAACATTGGTCTACATTGTTGCCGTAGGGGAAAAGGAGAATACGCCTTCGAAGTCCAAGTCAGCCAGGCCACTCAAATTTGTATCGTTCTGTGTTCACGCACCAGGGAAAACCACCAGCCATGAATATGGGACCATGTTCCTTTTTACTCTGAAAGGCTCTCCAGTTCTCGATCTTCCATGTAGAGACGGCATCTTCCAGGATCTTGGGTTCTTCGAGCAAGGGAGGAAGGACCAGATCTCTCATAGCCTCGACTGAAATGGTTGATGGTCAGTTTTGTGTATAGATTGACAGGAGTAGGGCTTGGGACATGGGTAATCTTGCAACATACAATCAGTTGCTAGGATGGCGTTCTCCTTGGCATCGGGGCCATTTTCTAAGCTTTCTGGGTTTATGTCGACAACCTGTTCCTTCTCGTTCTCGGCAGAAGCGAGCTCGTCCGGGGTATCAATAACCATCTCGTTTGGAGAATGGAATTCTGAATCGTAGCTCTGCGAATTGTTTTGACGGTTAACTTTCGAATCTGGGCTTGTTTTCCCGAGACGGGGTGGAAGGGGGGTATTTTCTTTATCGTCATCCATGGTCAAAGGAAGTTGGGTGCAGTACGGATTGCTTGGTTGTTCAATAGCGCACAATCAAACCCAGCATGCGCAATGGTTTGTACAGGTCTGTTGCTGCAAGTGTATATGCACGAATCCGGAACAAAAAGTATGTGTTTGTGTGTGTACTTGCGCTTGCGTAATCAGGAAGAACAAGAATTACAGGAAAAGATGCAAGGAATTGGGGTGGTGGTTGATGTAGTTGGTGAGCTGGACAAGGCCGCGGTGCTCACATGCGAAGGAAGTAGGAAGTATGGGGCAGTCTCACCATTGTGACTGGTTTCCTCAAAGTGTCATGACAAAGTGCGTATGGCGAAGGCTGGAAGGTTCAATGTCTGTACGACCCGTGGGATCGCGTGCGACTGTCCGCTGCGCTGGGCTGCTCAGTCGGGTCGTGGTTGACGACGATTTTGTTGGTCGGCGGGGTCGGATGACGCTTTTTTTGTAACTGACAGAAAGGCAAGAGCTTCCTTTCTGCTACTGCCTACCGTAAACTGCGGCGGCGGCGGCGGTTTTCCCCAGAGTGTTAGTAGGTACAGTACCTAGATGTGGGAAATCTCAAAGCACTGGTGGGTAAATAGGTAGGTGCTGGCGACGAGAGTAAAGATGGACCTCGAAGCAAAATAAGAATGCGAGGAATAAACAAACCGCCTCCGCGTCTGATGATGGAGGGGGAAGTTACAATTCTGGACAACGGGTTAGGTTGGTGTAGGTGATGTCGTCAGGTGCAGGTGTACGAAAGAGAGCTTTCTTCGTTTTTTGGGGGAAACACACAGGCTGCGCGCTGTGCTCTGTGCAGGTGCTAGGCTTTGGAGCGATTCACAGCCAAGGTGGGCTGTCCCAGACCTTGGCGCAAGGTCTAGCAGGCAAGCACTTGAGGTCGAAGGAGAGGCTTGAGTACTAGTGCGGGCAGGGGTGAGCACAGCCGCGGAGACTGTTGCCAGCCATGATTCAATGTGTGCGTGCTGCTTACCTTGTACATGCTAGATCAATAAGGTGCCTACACATTTACTTGCCGGTCCGACTTACTGCACATAGCATTCAGTTCTTGCCCTCCTCACTAAAGGTTTCCACCAAGTCCCAATGCTGACTTAGAGTGCAGACGCCTCAGAGGCAACACTGTTGTGCGTACCTTGTTGCAATCGCGCGCCGAGGCTTCAACATCACCGCCAGAAAGGCACATGGAACAGTGATGAAGAGCAAGCTGTTGCAGAACTCGGCATGAACGGCTTACTGCAAGTTCTCTTTGGTTCTCCAGGTGGGGAATTATTGGAAAAGCTCCGGGCTGTGTATTAAAATATGATACTTGTACATTGCTTGTCGTATGTACATGATGAAGGTCTTGATTTCGACACTTGTCCCAATAGTCAAGATTTATCCAAAATATCACTTTAAATATCCTTCGGGGACTATTCGACCGTTATCGTACATGTATGGAGCCCCGATTGAGGCAGTAAGTTTCCTGATAAAGCCGTGAGATGGGCGTACACAGTATCTGCATCCGGCCAAAACTACACGTCCAAGTAGGTACCCGCCTAGAACGCAAATATCTGTCGGCCTATACTTACTGTACTCGCAGCCACTAGGGCCCCACCAGACTGCCAGGGCCCTATGTGCTACTGAATGACGTCTGTATAAAGTCATCTCGGTAGGTAGGGCTTGGTCAACTATAACCATCCTCACATACCATTTGTTGCAGAGCTGACGGGCGATGTTTATTCCCATGAACTGTCCTGGACCTTTATACGAATGGATCCTCTTTATTGTTCGTCTTGTGCGATGCCACAAGCTTCTTCCACCCTTTACTCCCAAGTTATAGGGAATATTCATGACTCTGAGCACTCCATAATATTGAACTCGTCCATAGAATCAGCGTCATATGCGCAGCACGCGTAGTGTAGATCAAGGTAGCTATCCCTGTTTGCATGGATGGTTTGGCCATATAAATGTAATCTTTTGGGATTCAGCTTCAAATGTGTAGGTTGCATCGTCTCCAATGCCGCATGTCGTAGGGCATCTTCGACCAAAGCCACATTGAAAAAGGCGAGAGACTTTTATTCTTTTACGATGTGATGGTATTGCTTTGGTCCGCTTTCAATTCATCATGAAGGCCCTGGGGTGCCCACAGTTGGACCTCGCCGTCTTTGGCCATGTTTTATAAAGAAGCTTTTCAATCTACCCAAACCTAGAGATCGCCTTGGCGTTGCTGGTGTCCAGACAGGTAGTAGTAGTAGTAGCTAGGCCAAGCCCAGTTGTTCCGCTGCGAGCATATCAGCCATTGGACAAGCGCGCCAATACACCCATCCCCACGTTCGACGCGTCCGATAATATATATTATATATCTAAATGGGTTGGCCTTTACACGTGAAGGGTTCGCTTCGAGTCTATACTGTACTTTCAGAGATTCCTGTCCACGCAGTACGGATCTCTTAAAGCTCCTGCGACCGCAGGTTGTTACTCGCTACTGTTCAGCCCGAAGGTGCGAATAGCAATTTGCCAGGTGCTCTATTGTATTATGCTGCCGAGTCCATCGACTTGCCGTTGCAATCACCCCCCATTTGTATGCAGAGCTGCAGAGTCGCAACCCACTAGAGGTAGAGAGGCGCCAGTCAATGTGGGGTAAAATTCCTCAGACCTCGCTCCAGTCCCCTCCTCACTTGCCCACTCATTCATTCACTCACTCACATGTCGCTGCGCTAGGGACCATCCGGTCTGCCTTTTCTTTTTGAGTCCTGGTCTGGTGCCACACCGGTCCAAAATCCCAGAGCTACAACTCTCGAGCTCTCTTACGATTCATATATGCAGAGAGTCATACGTTGCGACACCGGCAGTAACCAATACCTTTCTCCGGCTGGTTCACTTGCAGCTAAATGCGAATTCACTCCCGCCCCAATCTTCAACTTTTAACGTAGTGACTCTTATTCATAAACATCAGCAACTGGGCAGTTTCCATCTCTTCGAATCTACCGGTGGGGAAAGTCGTGCGCACATATGGACTTGTCACAATGCTGTCGTCACTCGCGGTGCAAAATGCCACCAGGGCCTTGCGGTTGACAGCCAGGCCCGCAAACATTGCCGCCAAACAGTTTCACACAGGACAAACCAGCAGCACCAGCAATAATAGCAATAGCACCACCGCTGTCGGCAGCACTACGACGACTACAACGACGAATGACTGGCAAGCTCGTGGTATACAAACCACCACGAAATGGCGCCCCGTTCAAGTGCTCGACGAGTGCGTATACCCAGCTCCTCCAGCTATATACACATATATACCAGGCTTAACCAAAATACTTTGTTATTATTCCTGGCTTGATTCAGATTGCTAATATTCATGTTTTCATTGCAGTTGGGTTGCAAAAGAGGCACGCCCAATATCATTGCGTCAGCTCATGGTGTTTGGCCGCTCGTTAACCGAGTCGCGCCTAATCTCCTCGGCCAACTACGTGCGAACTGAGCTTCCCACCCGCATAGCACATCGGATTCGGGACATGCAGCGCCTGCCCTATGTCGTAGTCACGAACCCCCACATTAGCGACGTCTACGAGCTTTACTACAATGCATTCGATACGTTTCGGCGAGTCAAGGAGATCAAGACTCTCGAGGATAATGAGGCCTTCTGCCAAGACATTGCCAGGATGCTGCGGGCGCATCTGTCCGTCATTCCCAAGCTGGCAATGGGAATCCTGCAGTGCAATGGACTGATGGAGAAGGAGGAGCTGGACACCTTTATGAACACTATATTAAGATCGGTACGTCCAAATCATTGCTGCGTCCCGTCGATTAGGAGACTGACATGTATCATCTCTGCAGCGCATATCCCGCCGCGTAATAGCAGAGCAACACCTTGCCCTGACCGAGACCTTCAACTCCCCCTGGTTCTCACCTGGTGCTAAACTCTCAGAGTCCGACTTTATTGGCGAAGTCTTCATTAAATGTGTGGCCAATGACGTAGTGCAGCGTTGCGGAGAGGCCGTTCAGGCCCTGGCCAGGGTTGCCAATGGCCCTGATGTGCAAATTCCAGAAATCAAGATCACGGGGCATCTCGAGTCGACATTCCCCTACATTCTCTCACATTTGGAGTACATTATCGGGGAGCTGCTGAGGAACAGCGTCCAGGCAGTAATTGATCACCACGCCAAAAGCAAAAACAAACACCTACCTCCGCCGCCAATAGAAGTTACACTCTGCGAAGCACAGCAACACGTCATTATTCGTGTTTCGGATCAGGGCGGCGGGATACCGCGTGATATCTTACCGTATCTATGGTCCTTTAGCAAAGGGCCACGGAGCAGACAACGCCTCGAGAACCTGACCAAGGTTCCGCTCATGGCAGCGACTCTACAGGAACTGCGCGTCGATGGCAACTTCAGCGGCCTCCAGGACGGTCAAGTTGGCCAGCCCGCCCACGACGGATCTCTGACTTCGCTCTCGGCACGGCCACCGCACCTAAGACTGGGTGTCGGTCTGCCGCTCAGTAGAGTGTATGCCGAGTACTGGGCCGGCAAGCTGGAGATGCACAGCCTCGAGGGCTACGGCGTCGATGCGTTTCTCCAGATATCCAAGCTCGGCAATAAGAACGAGCAGCTATCAACACGGGCAGCGATGGATTCTCTATAGGTGGACTGAATCTAAATCACCAGCAGCCAAGTTTTGCATGGCATGAGCTGTCAATCATCAGTGTAACAGAAATCATGGGGGCGATATATATTTTGTCATGAAGACAGCGGCAAAGAGCATTTACATGGGAGTAGGATGCCAAATTTTTTGGGAACGGATTAGGGCAGGAAAATACGCTGGGTATGGGCTTGTTATTTGCTCAAGAGGCAATGTACTTTTGGGGTATTTCGTCAATTGTAGGACCGGAGGATTCAGGTTCCATCAGTTCTCATCATAGCGTCTGTTTATAGGAAAGAGAACATGAGCGTCTCGTGTTGTTTTGTTTGTACCACACACGCGCGCGCGTCACACATGATAGAAAGGATATGAAATGTAGGAGTAATAGAATCAGTCTTGGCTGGTATCATAAGAAACTCGAAATTACATCGTTCACTAAAAGGCCTAACTTGTCGCATGAAAGGTGAAAGAAGTGGGTGTGACTGATAAGCACACCCTATAAAAGCAAGAAATATTTTGGTCCCTCGTCATCGTCTCCATTCAGATCCACGAGCTGCTCTGCTCTGCTCTTTGCTGCACAGGACAGTGTTTTCGTCCACGTCTACGCAGTTTCGTGCATCAAACAAGTCGGATGCTGCCACTGACCCGCGTAAAAAGAGATTATCAGCTTGGAAGCATGTCTAACCATACCGAACCCCGCTGGACAGAAAGGGTGGCGCTTTTTTCAATCAGTACGCCGTAATTTTGATTGTAATCGAAAAACCCGGGCTTCGTGGATTTTGGTGCTCTAAAGAAAATGCCCGGTGTGAAAAGGCTCGAGGGGGACACGAAATGCAAAGAGCGCTGATTAACGACGACCGCTGCGAGCAGCGCTGCCCTGCATTTGCTCGAGCTCGCCCTCGAGCTGCTTGATCTGGGCGTGAGTCTGCTCGAGATCCTTGTTGAGACGGTCTCTCTCGGCGATGAGCTTCTGTTCCCACTGGCGGAAACGCTGCTCTTCGACCTTGACCTGCTCGGTGAAACGCTTGCGCAGCGCCTCCTCTTCCTCCTTGTACTTGGGGTTGTCGAGCTTGCGTGGCCTGGCCTCGCCGAACTTGCGGGTCTCCATTTGCTGGGCACGGTAGGCCTCGTAGTGCAGCTCCTCGGTGGTGTGGATGAGATCCAGCATGTGGGTTCGGATCAGGATCGATCGGAGCTTCTTGAAGTCGCAGTGATCCTCGTTCTCAACCTCGGCCACACCCCACGAGTACTGACGGCCCTTGACGATTCTTCCGTCGCCAGTCTTGACATCTCTCTCGGAACCGATGACAGCAAATGGCATGGCAGCCATCAGGGCGCGGGCGTGTTGAGCGGCAGCCTCATCATCCTCCTCAACTGGGGGCTGGTAGATCTTGATGTTCTGGGCCTCGATGACAGCTTGGATCTGTAGTCTTGTGAGTTTTACATGCCTGGATGTGCGCTCTGGTTGGTTGCTCATACCGTGGCCTTGAACTTGGCAAGGTCGGCCGGGCTCATGGTGTCGGCCTTGGCGATAACGGGAATGAGGTTGACTCTCGAGCACAGCCTCTTCATGACCTCAATGTCGAGAGGCTTCAGGGTGTGACCGGTGGGTCTGATAAAGTACAAGCATGCGTGTACACGAAGATCGATCTTGTCATTTCGGCGGGGTTGTTGCTCCTGGAGCATGTACGACTCGTGCTGGTCATCAAGGAACTCGATAATGGGCATCCATGAATCTCTGTTGTTGACATAGTCGCCGAAACCCGGGGTGTCGATGACGGTCAACCGGACTAGTAATCTTGAAGTTAGGGGGCCAATTCTGCTTCAACACGGTATGTGCCGCCAAGTCTGGCGGTTTGAATAATTTATGCGTACCCTTGAAGAACTTCTCCTCCAGCTCGGCCTTTGTGATCTCAATCTCGACGGTCTTGTCGACCTGCTTCTGGTGTCGTCGCTTGTGGTCGGCGTAGTTCTTGATGGTGGTGGAGAAGAGGGTGTTGATAAAGGTGGTCTTGCCCAGACCGGACTCGCCAGCCACCTGGAAATCACGAATCGTCAGCAAGTGCAATGAATTGGGCGGTAATACTGGGCGCAAAAGCATACCATAATGGTGAAGGCAGCACCTCTCTTCGCGACAATCTTGTGGCGCTCTATTATAGGAGGTTAGCCAAGGGGGGAAGGCCCAGCTCTCGGAGGGGAGGTAGACGTGCGGTTAGGCAGATTGGCAATGCCAATCGCGGTTGCGGTTCCTTGCTGAGCAGACGCCATTGTGTCGATCGAGCCGTCGGTGGGTGAGATGGGAATTCGGACGCTGGAAATGGTCGTGATGCGTAAGGGAAAAAAGAAAGACTGACGACGATGCAAAGAGTCTATGGGATGTTGTCCAATGTCCAACGTGTTTGGGGAAATGGGCTTGCCAGAGTTTAGGGGATCAAAGTGGACCCTCGATATGGGCGTCCAGTCCAAGAGACGCAAGATGGGCCGCTAGGAAACACTGCTGGAGTGGGCGCCTCTGATGGGCCCGAGCTCCATGGGGAAATTTGGCTTGAGATTCTGCCAACCGCGACCGCCTCTTGTTCAAAACCCCCTGGCTGGAACTTGTTATTAGCCGTTGCAGCAACAGCCAGCAGCCAGCAGCCAGCAAACCTAGTACTGTGTAGGTAATGTAAGCACCTTTCCGTGCTAGTAATAAAATGTAGAGGCCCAATGGCACAGTCGGGGCCACTCAACTGTCAGGATGAACACTAACAAGGGCAACCCCTGAAAGCAGCCAATGATAGCCCGAATGTACCTACATTCATGGGTCTCCGTTGGTACATAGGTACGTTAAATAGGTAAGATAATGTACATATTCAGGCACGGTCATGAGTATCACACAATTCGGCAGCTACCTCTTTACATAACCTACCCTATTTCCGTAACTTGTGTTGTCCAAGATACATAGAGCGTCAATTTGACATGCCTCAACTCGCCCAAGTACCATTGTCGCAGCAGTCTTTACTTTTAGTTGGCCATGTTCGACTCTCTTCTCTGGACCAGACATGAGGAAATCGATGTCTGGTGTCCTTTGTACTTGAATCTAGATCTAGGTATCAGGACATCCCAGCAAGGTCTGCACCAAGAGATCTGGGCCTGTCTCTTTCTCTCCGTAAAGGTTCCTTCTTCAGAATTGACCTCTTTGGCTATATTACATCAACAGCGCCTTCACATAGCGAGACGAGTGCTCCGATGTTCTGATCATGGTAGGCTTTCAATGACTCCCGAGGCTGACCTCTCGACAGAGTACCTCGCAAGCCACTTGGGTCAGCGCCGTCATCTTCATACCACAGTTCATCTTTTCGACCTGAAATGAATGGATGCTTCCACTAGCGCAACACATGGAGGTACATCTTTACGGAATCATGCTAAGATATATATGTTATTTTCATGTCCCGGCAGACCCTTGAGCTTGCTACTGTAGTACGACCGGTTCACCAAGTTGATACCTACATAGACTGCCCTTGGTATGATGAACACCAGATGCCGATGAACCTACACCATTGTATCCTTCGGACAACGCCCAAACCGTACTCAAGCAGAGATATATACATTCTTGCCACCCGCAAACAATATTGAACTATCGCGACTGCGTACCACCTTATTTCAAAGGCAGTCAGCTGTACAGAGCCAAGCCCATTCGCCTTTGTCCGAAAGTCAAACGCGAATGTTTCTTTTTCATTCGTTACAGATCGAGCCATACTAACGGCCTTCGAACATGACTTCGGAGTTCAGCGAACCATGATCATGGTGTACAGTCAAACTAGCCTGTGAAAAGCCATATCGGCCCGTTGCTGTGTAAAGGTTTGGATAACATCAGTTCGAGTTTAGGTATTAGATAGCTTCTGCCAATGGAACCAGACGACGACCTACCTGGATGGCTGTCTGGCAACGTATAAATGTTCTTCTGCCCCCAAGAACGGCAGCAGAAAGCTCCCATATCCTACCCTAAGTCTTGACCTTAGTCGCCTCCTGGTATCATTGCACCGTTTCGTCCTTTATAGTCACTCAACCCATCATCTTCCTACACAACGATCACAGCAATGGCATCAATACACAGTATTCCGATTGAGGTTCTCGACTTAATTTACAGGAAACTCGACGTCAAGGACAGCGTCAGACTTGGGCGCTGCTGCAAGTCTCTCTATGCGTCTTTGATTCCTGAGATTTACAAGAGCGTCAAAGACGACGTGAGGGTCATGCTCTGGGCTGCCCACTGGGGAGAATTGGGCACACTCAAGAAACTCGAGGGCGCCAACTTCGAGAAGACCTGGAATAAAGAATTGGTGCATGACCATACTGGGCTGACGAATATTTCCAGCCATTATTCCCAGTCTAGTGAGCCCACTGTTCAAAACAGCGTACAAGTAAGAAGACTACAAGATTCAATCGCCGTACTGCTGACTCAACATTCACAGCAGGTTGCCCGAGTAACACGCCCGCGTATCTTTCCCGAAAAGGTATACGCAGAAATCACTTGCACCACGCTCCATGTGGCTGCTAGCAAGGGCCATCTTGAAGTCATCAACTTTCTTTTAGACAAGCATATTGATATCAATGCATTGGGCGAGGACTCTAATTGGGCCAATAGTCAGATTGACATTGTGCACAGCAGTCTATTGCCACACAATCTCAGCGAATACAATAAGACTGGTAAATGGACACCGCTTCACTTTGCCATCTGTAATCGCCATCTGGAGCCGGCGAAGCAGCTCATGTCTCAGGGGTCTTCAATTCGCGTCGGTAAACGATCTATCACTTCCGATAGACGACGATATCCAACAGCTCTGCACAGCGCTGCGGCGGCTGGCTGTCGATTAGTTCTTTCTGCAGTAGTTGGCCACTTCTTGCCCGAGATTGGGGACATTGACCTGGTTGATGACAAGGGGTATACAGCCCTTATTTGGGCGTTCAAGTACAGAAATTGGGACGCATTTGAATTCCTGCTTGGCTACGGCGCCAACATGGCTCGTGCTGTTGATATGGGGACATCAATGATTCAAATCTCATGCAAATCATTAGATGTCGATGCAGTTCTCTTGTAAGTAACTACACATTTCTGGTCATCATTCTTGGAGTTGCACAGATGGGCAAGAACAGAGGAGGAAGGGCGAGGAAGAACGATAGAGGCTACCGCTCATTCTGGTCCACTATCCCTAACAACCAAGTACTGACTCGAATATACACATTAGCTTGCTTAGAGTAGGTAAGGGTGAGGCCCTACCAATCCGACATATCACGCTGGCTTTGCATAACCTCATCCGCTCGTTTTGCGCAGTGTGGCATCCAGGCGGGGGAGATCTCATCCCAGAGCGCGAGGCGAAGGTTGAATCCATTATCAGGATCCTCTTGACACGAGGAGCCCAGATCCAGCCTCCAATGGATCCTTTCACCTCTTTCCAACTTCCCTTGGTTGCCATGGCGAGGTGCTGTCGGTCTGGTATTATCAGGATATTGCTCAATCACGGTGCAAACATTAACGCCCATCAGATTGATGGTTTGACGGCACTCCACGCGGCGTGTTCTGCAATCGCCCAGGAGCCAATGTCACGAGTGTTGGCGACTGTCAAATTTCTCCTGCAGCGAGGAGCCTCGCTCCAAAACACAAGTCCCGGCCCAACAGTATTTGATCATCTCTTTCAAGCCCTATACTGGTGCTACTCTAATCAACGCGATCCTGGTGGGGGTGTTGCATACTTGCTCCATATATTGTTGGATTACGGTCTCAAACGTGGTACTGTACGGCCCAGCTGTCTGGATCAATTTTTGGACTACTTTCGAATCAATCGGTTCGATTGTTGTAGAATCCTGGCCAGGCACGGGGCTATAGTACCCAAGCCGACACTCGAATTCATGATTATGCACGCCATCCAGGATGGTGATGCCGGGGTATTAAGGTTCGTCTTTTCCCTGGATGGCGCCGACGGTAGTCTCGTAACGGACGCCGTGATGAACGCCGTGATGGAGCAGGCTTCCAGCTGGAGGAGAAACGAGATGATTGCCTTCTTGCGAGGCATTGACACAAGACGTGCTAGGTAGTGGCTCTGCCGCTGCTCTATGTACCTCGGAGTCATGATCTTGGGGACAAAACATGGAGACTAAAAATGGAGACTACACGTTCCATACTCAAGGGCACGTCATATAAAAATATGTTGGATGCAATCCGTGGAGCCAACGCTCGGCCTTGCGGCTTGAGATCAAAACCTCCCACACTCTTGGATCAAAGGCGAATAACGAGACACCAAAGCATGTTACTCTATGGAGGACTTTAGGATGGTGAGATTGGTATAAGTAGGTATATTGCTAGATATTCATCAACAGCCGGGTTTGATGTGCTAGTTCTTTGCGATCTGGGAGTGGTTTTCGCGGAGATTAAACCAGGTTCGACGGTCGTTGAGTCGCTTTCCACACGTCTCTTGGACTTTGTGCGATGGAAGCAGACCATGCGTGACATGGACGAAGAAAATATGGACGAGGTCTCGAGTCCGGTCGATCTCAACGAGCGGAAAGGGAAACGATGTTGTCGGAGTAATAATGATGATTGTTGCTGGTGAATGTGAATGAGAAGGGCTCTTTACATGAATATATATATAGCACAATTTACTTACAAATTGTCATACTCTAATGTTTAATCCTTCTTATGAATCACTGTTTACTCCCCTCCCTCTCACAATCCCATGTCCCACCCCCCCTACTGCTTTTTGTAGTGTTTGATCTCCCTCATGCTGTGAATAAATGTATAATGTTCCCTATGTCAAGTATCTTCTAATAGCTCATCAGGGGAAAATATGAATCATTGCACATTGTCAACTTGTGGCTCAAGATGCAGGGTCTCTTGCAAATGTCTTTAGTAAGACTCCGATTGAAACGATCGGTTGCCTTTGTAATTATGAGATCAAATAAGAGATAGCAGGTGCCTGGTGATTATGCGCATTACACGCACAAGGCTATGAACAGCTCACGTCTGGCGACTGACAGCATAGGCTTAGGAAGCAGTGCAATTCCTGCGCACTCTAGTCATCCGAGATCAACATTGGGGAGGCTGTGCCGAGTGCACACGTTCACGACTCCATAGACACATTGTCGTAATAATCATTGCGTTTCAGGCGTCGCAAGAGCAGATGAGACTCTTGAGGCGGACAAGAATCCACTGATTGCGACAACCGACCCCTGAAGAAGCACCGCCGCAGACTTGTGCGCATCGTCGATGCCGATCCGCAAACCCACACCCACTCGCGCGCGGTAAGAGGAGCTGGGTAGTGTACATAGTCCATCCAGCCAGTAGGGGAAACGATTCATGGCAGCAACGAAACAATGGCCAACTGTAAAATAAAATACCACAGGCACAAGATAAGAATAAATTAGGAAGAGCGCATGCAAATACCAACGACTTGCATGTATAGCCGTCGCCCAACGCTTTTGCACATCGCAATCTCCCTCTTTCCCCCCTCTTTCTGGCGGAGTTGTGGTCTGAAAGGTCGCCCGCCTTCTTGTTCGGGCTTGGGGCCGGCTCTTGCTCTTTTTTCTTTCTGTGCTCCTCTCTGCGGCTCCATCGTCGCGCGCCCGTCGATCCGTCTTGGCATTTCTCTATTTCGACCTCATACGGTCTTGGCATTTTCCATATCAACGTGACCCTTTTGAAATGTTTCTTTTGCTGTTCTCTTATTTGGTTGTATTTGAAATGGATTGGGACAAAATTATTCGCAAGCCAAATGATTACACTTTAGAAATATGCAATGCACAAATTAGTTGGATTGCACAATTGAGCAACTTTTTTCCCCTTCTCAGTTTCCCTTGACGTGTCAGAATCAAACAGTCCACGCACCTCTCCCTGTCGCGAAATGTCTTTGAACATAAACTTGTATACAAAAAGGGTTTGAAACAATAAAAAACTCTAGAACCATCCAGACAGACCATTTTCATCCGTTCATACGGCCCGGAGCGTCTAGCCCACCCGCCATCAGAAAAAGACCCTTAAACCCGCCCGCCCTTCCCGTTGTTTGGGTGAAACCACCAAAAAGTTGAGACGATCTAGTACATTCCTTGCACACCCTGTGCACGCATTCGACAATGTCACCTTGAATGACCAGGGGAAAAACGGATGAGTCTCAGACAGTACAAGCTTATTTCAATGCTCGTCCTGCTATTCAGGGTGATCACCTAGGCGCCAACGATGTGAAAGACCAAGAATTTGTAAATGACTGTTTGTCTAGTATGTCACGATGCAACTCAAGTTTTCTAGCAGAGCAGGGTCAAGAATATTGTAGGTGATAAGTGTGTATTGTGTTGCCAAGTATATACAAAAAGATTAAGAAGATAACTAAGGGTTCCTTAATGATAGTCAAGAATATGGTATGAAAAGTCCCCGTAGGGAAAAAGACAAAAGGCCACACTTGTTTGAACGCCGAGAGGCCTTTTTGGGCTCTCATCTTCCCTTCTCTTGCCAAAGCAATATTGCTTTGCCTGGAACACCGATATTCCCTCCCAGTTCTATGTTGTAATGATTTTTAATTTGTTCCGTAAACACCGTACCATGGTATAAAGACCGTGCCCAGGCGCACTAGGCGGGGTGATGAATGGATGATACGGGGGGGTATCTTTTTTGTTTTGTTCGCTCAGGAAACCAGAATTGTTCGTCATAATCGTCATCGTTTGCAGCGCTCTGCGCGCAGTACGTCAAAAGCCAGGACGAGAGCTCGATGATTGGTTGGTACCTTAGAACTTGCCGAGCACAAAGTTGCGGCCGACGACCTTGGCAACATCACGCTTGGAGGTCGAGTTGGTCTGGCTGCCCAGGGAGCAGTACAGCTCGGTCTCCGTGGTGGCAACGGTCTGGACATCGTCGGCGAGGTAGTAGGCAGTGTTGCAAGGGAAGATGGAGCAGCCAGACATCAGAGTCTTGATGGCGATTGTGTTCTCGCTGGCAGGCCACATCTCGTGGACACCATCGTGGTCATCAGCGTTGACAATGGCCGAGACATCAAAGTAGGTAATGTCGTCCCAGCCTTGGAAGGTAACCTCACCCAGCATACCGCTGGTGTTGTCAGCGCCCTCGGAAACAGAGTACCAGTTGCCAACCCAGCCATCAGGGAAAGAGACAGTCTCGGTGGCGAGGCCGGCGACTTCGATCGAGTCGATTTCGGAGTAGCCAGAGCTAGGGGTGAAGATGACCTTGCGGGTGGTGCTGTCCTGGCTCACAAAGGTGACGGTGTTGGTAGCACTGGCAACGGCACTGGCAGCAGCGACCATGGCGGCGATCTTGGCGAAGAAACCCATCTTGACTATTTGTTGTGTTTATGGATAAGTGAGAGATAGGGAAGTCGGTATGTCTAAGTGAGACGGGAAGTGTCCAAGTATGTATGGCTTAAAGTATCGATATGCTTGTTGTTTGAGATGGGCTGCTGAATAGCTTGTGTGACTGAGTGGCACCAGGCTGACAGTTTTTTGAGTGTATACTCGTGGTATTGAAAGATTGTGTGAAGCAAAAAATATGCTTTTGTTCAAGGAATGAATCACTTAGTCAAATGAGGGAGACTATAGTGAGTAGTGGTGTCAAGGAAGGACTGGATACGTAGAAACGATTGCAAGAAACTACACTCGTAGAACAAGGAGGGCAACACGCAAGATTTATACAGACGAGTGAACAAAAAAGGAAAGACGAACGAGAGGAAAACACAAGCCCACCTGGCTAGCCAAGGAACAGGATCCATCCCAGCAGTCTCGAATAACCAAGATGTGGATGGTATAGTGGACACGCCGGCAGGGACCACATACCGCAAAGGTAGCACGAGCATGTGGTCCATGTGGACGGCGGTGCCCAACAATGATTACTATGGATGTACCATAGTGTGTGTACAAGGAGGGAGGCGTTGCTGACTGACTGGAATGACTATGGCCCGACTCAGGGCAGCGGGTAGGTAGTCAGGGGTTGGTGTTGAATCAGAGCTGAAGCCACTACGGCCCTCCTCCCAAACCTCCTCACTCACCTACCTACACTAATACGTACACGCACGACACGACACCACCGGGCACTACACAGGTCCCACACCTTCCGCTCTGGCCCACGACCAAGGATGGCGCTGGAAGGTCTGGAAGCTATCCGATCCGGAAATGGAAAGTTGATGCACTGCCTCGCTGTCTAATGTTTCCCCTCACCAGGATGACTTGCAAGAAACTTGCCAGGAACCATAAAAACCGATGACATATAGTGCTGCAACGCTAGACGGGTCAATTTAGTCGAGCAAGTTTGGGCCAGGCTCCAGCTGCTGCAAAGAGGATGGAAACAATGTACATAATGGCCGAAGCGTGCATCGGAGATCGATCGATTGTGCTTCAAGGCTGAAGGTTATTGGAAAAAGGGCAGCCAGCCCTGTTGCGATTATGGAGGAGGAGAATATTTCCGCAAGCCAGAGGGCCGGGACAGGATAGGTCAGGTACATTACCGGCAGTGGGCACATCACACAGGTTTCTGCTGGGCCTAGATTTAGAAGGGCTCGTGGCCAAGAAACGCCCGCCCCTCAACTTGGCCCAGGGGCCCACACAACCCAAAATGACCGGTCGGGATCTAATGGGTAAAGGAACTTCTAGCGGCAGCCAGGGAGGCGTGCGTATAGGTCAGGGCAGTGACCTCATTGGCCAAACAAACTTGTTCCTGACATACCTAGCGGTCCGGGTACCTGATCAGACAATTCCGCAGGCCTGGGTTTGCCCCTCCAGCAGCAGCCCATTTGATGGCAGTTGTGGCCTGGCGCTGGCGCCTGCGGAGGCCCGGCGAGCAGCGCAAAATGTCGTTGCGGGCCAATGGCACACTGACACCCTCACAAAAGCGTCCCGCCGCTGAAGCAATACGCGCGTCCGCAAAGGCGCAAAGGGCACAAAGGGGGGCCCTAGCTGACGCTGCCTGCTGTCGTCGTCCGGCCTGTCCGCTATTATTATTCGCTTCTCGCTGACCGTCGTTGAGCTTTCGACACGTATCACCGACAACCAAATTGCACAATAAAATGATTGATGAGGTTTTTGCTATTCCTGACAGGGATCATGTGCGGTGAACATTAGAAGGAATGCGAGTTGTTTGTAATTTCATCAGTCGCTTTCGTTTTTTTTTTTTTTTTTTTTTTTTTTTTTTTTTGACGATGATGGAATCCTGCCGTGAGATCAGGTCTGTATGTTAGGGTCGCTGAGAGGGAGAAAAGTCGCTGCAACAATAAGCTCACGTCAGGCAAGAAGCTCCCGCTGTTCAGTCCTTCTGTCAGTCCAAGTGGCGTTGGCGCCCCCCTCCCTGGTTTCAATCTGCATCAAGGAATCAAAAACTGGATTTTCTTAGTTTCGTTTCTTCTTTTGTTTTCTGTTTCTTCTTGCTGCAGGTGAGGGAAAATTCTCTCAAGCAGCAGCAATGTGGTACCAAAGGTAACATCCTGCAGCTCAGTGCGACACGTAACTAGTCGATTCTTGGAAAGACCTTGGCAATCACCTGCGGCGCTTGTGCAAAAATGTACACTTATGAACAAATCAAGTAGCAGTGAGATGGATGCAGGAGCATAAAAGCAGCGACAACCAGGAGCCACTCTGGTATGTACTTATGACAATGTTGTGCGACTTGTAGTGTATGTGCGTGTGTTGCTGTTCAATGAGAACACAGAGGATGGGATGAAGAGGGGTTTTTTACTGGGATGAAAGCTGTGCAGAATTTTTTTTTTTTTTTTTTTTCCCTCCCACCTTTACAATTACTAGTGTTGTTCAGGCACAACGTTACCCGACTGGTCCGGTTTTGCTGGCAAGTTGAGCCGGCGCAACGCCAATGCGGGAGAAGTCACCGGCGTCAGCAACTTCAGGCCCTCGAACACTGGTTCCAGGTCACAGGCAGAGATCGACAGGCACAATCGCCTTAGCACCCGACAGAGCGTGTCAATGTGTGCCAGCGCAGCAGCTTGGCAGCCAGCAGTCGCTCTTGTGCCTGACATATCGACCAGACAAACCACCAATAGAGAACGGCTCCTGCTTTCTGGTATGCCCCTTTTGATAGCTTGCACGCATGTACGATTTGATGCACTATAGTAATGTTTGACTCGAGCCAAGGCCACATGAGCAGCTGTCAAACACCGAACAGCGCAACGTTATTTCAGGCTGAGAATTGGAATCAGTTGACCTACCAGTGGCTGCCCCATATTGCGTGAATATACTATGTACACTAGACACCGGCTATGATACAGAGTATAAGATGGAGTAGTGGTGGGGGGCTCCGACATCCAGTGTCCGGAGTCCCGGGTCATATTTCAGAGTCCCACAGCCAGGATCTGAAATGGTCAGCATACTTTTTCTTTACTTCCACAAATGGATCGTGTAAAAAAGACTCAACACAGAGTCTAGAACTGGTCGCTTCAGGTGTAAGCGTCAGTGCCAAGTCAATGTGTGCCTCAGAATTTTGAAGAAATTTTTTTCTCTTACAGCCTGCTCAGGCTGATGCATCGGTCCGAACGTCATTCTTCCCCGCCTCTCGGATGTCGATCGGTGGTACATGGCAAGTGGACAGGCCTGAGACTTGGCACACAGAGTATTTCATGTGAATAAGTAGTATTTCCAAGGCACCCTATCATAGGTTGAACCAGAGAATATGCCATGGTACATTGTCAATAGTGTCTGCTGTGGAACTAGCATGCATATATGATTTGGCCAGATGGCAGTGATGGCTGATGGCAGCATCATAATCCCTGTGTGCGGTTTTTTTCCTTGTCCCTTTCACCGTTACTATGATTCATCGCCTTCATCGGCTCTATGGATTGACGGTAGCTTCGGCTATAAAATATACTGCGTGGTGTAATGGTAGTGTAGTAGCAAACAATCGCTGACGAACCACTCTGGCAGACCGGTCGTTACTGGCATATGTAATCCGGCACTTCCAGTCAAATTAAACTCATATCTAATCCGTACTCTTCAAGATCTTCGAGACTATATATAAGGTTATCTTATCAAAATCGCCATCATGGGTTGTACGAATGGTAATACGTGTAGTACATCAACTATAGTCAGTAGTCATTGATTCGGTAGGTACACTTGTACATTACCTTGGACAAGCGGCGGATGAAGGAATACTTTGCCCGACCAAAGAGCGGCAAGCGGTTCGAGGCCTTTTCTTTCGGCTGAACTTCCATGAAAACCATTCCAAGTACACCAGCCATGCAGTAGTGTATGAAGTATTTTGCGGCGTTTTCCTCGGCGGCTGCTGGTTGCGGAATGTCTCCCAGCAGCTCAGCAGCGTGAGTGGCAAAATTGTCAAATCTGTGGACTACGCTAATAGAGAAGACGTTAAGCACTTGACAAGCTTGAGGTAGTCGTGAACCATCAATAGCCGTAGTACTCTGTGGGATACGCCACAGGCAAAGATGCAGGCTGAAGCCCCTCTCAATGTGCTGTTCAATTGGCGAACCGAGGCTGTTGGTCAACAACAAATTTGTCAAATATGGAATCCATCACGAATTGCTCGGTGCCTAATCGGACTGAAATTTTCAGATGCATGGTAGTACGCCGACTTTGGTTGCTACGAGACGAGTCTTCTAGTGTTTTTCCGGCCGATGCAATTTTTAGCCCACGGACTGACTCCTTGGCTCGCCCATGCCGTAGACCCACACCTCCATCACAGCTTACCTACTCTCTGGCAATCTGGGTGCCTACTCCCAACTGGCCCGTCAAACCCGTTCGGCTGGCCTCGCGATGTGGGATTTCCTGTCAAAGAAGCACAAATTTTCTTTTTTAGAGTTGTTTGAGTTTGGGCGAACACAAGACCGTCGTGCCTAATCTGCTCAATTAGATGGATCTCATGGTCCCTATCGTCTATGCTTGGAATCTTCTATGCGCAAAGCTGCTCCAGGAGGTTTAGAGTTTGGGGTTCCCGTTGTTAGTAAGGAGTAGTACCAACAACTCTTTTTCGAGTCCGCATCCTAGATTCATGGCCCCTTAATGATAGACTTGGTAAACACATCCGCGATCCCCTTGTTCTTTTTCTTGGCATCGGGGCCGCAGAAATGACCAAAGTTTCCGCCGTTTCCATTGAATACGAGCGACAAGGTGTGGTCTAAGCGGCCTATAGGTGGTCTCTGCTTCTTTCCTCCGCCTGTTTGTTCTAGATGGTATTGCCATAAATATCATGTGAATGAAGCAGTCGACCGTTCTATCGGATTAACTGTATTGTTCGTCCATCTTGAAGGATTGGGTACCTGCACGTTAGAGACATAACGTGGTAGGTGAAGCAGACAAGATCAAGTCAGCGTCAGCAACAAAAAGCTCAACCATGATTCGCAGAAAACAGAGGCCAGTATAAAACCCGTATTACGAGGCCACAATGCCCAAGATAAATCTTACGTCACCAGGCAGCGAGGAAACTTTCATAGGCACTGCCCATCGATGGCTGACAAAGCCTTTCTATATCCCGTTCATTTGAGGCTCAACTATTCAAAGTGGACTTAAGTCAACTCCAGACACGAACGGAGATATCCAGAGTGACTAAGATACAACATTTCCGGCAATGAGCCATATGTCACGTCGCATTTGGAGTCAAGCGGCCCAAAGCTCACCCCATTTGTCATGTTTCTGGGACTGAATATGGAATTGTGGTTGGCATCATGGCCATGATGGGAGGGAAGTCGCTTCTCAATCGCGCCTTCCCAGGCTTCTTATTGGAAAGTCACCGCCTTGAGAGCGCACAAACCTCAAGAATAAAAAGTGCTCAGCCTGCTGGTCTATCCTCTCCACTACAACAATCTCGTCTTGACATCAACTCGAAAAGGTCCTTCGCTCACTCGTTCGCGTAGTGATCCATCATAGCGCAAAACCCTTCACGAATCAATCAACTCATCAGCCATCAATCAAGAGAACCATCTTGAAATTTGATACCATGCAACTGATCCAGACTCTGCTGCCTATCGCCGGCCTGCTCGCCATGGCCAGTGCATGGGGTGAGACAGGCACTTACTGGACTACTGTCGTCACGACTGCATACACTACATATTGTCCGGTAAGTGACTGGCTGGTATTGAAATGAATATGGAACTTGATATTAATCACATTCTAGTCTCCTACAACCTTTGCACTTTCTAATGTGACGTACACTGCCACTGAGGAGACGACCCTGACCATTACCAGTAAGAAGCAGTCCACTGGGAGCACTGCATACCTTGCTAGCAAGGGTAACCAACTGACCAATTCTATAGATTGTCCTTGCACCATCTCTGTCTCGCAGCCGGCTCCCGTAACTACCACCGAGTATTGTGACGAGGACCCCATCGACTACTATACTGGCACGGGCGGAAGTGGATCGACCCTCCCGAGCACGGGTACTAAGGCGTTCCCGACTCACGGTAACTCCAGCACCGTCATTACCTACACACCTCCGGCCACAACCTATATCTCCGGTACCACACCCATTACCCCCAATCACTCGCCCACTTTCTTTGGCACTGGGTCGTACTCGAGCCGCTCTCCAACCAAGACCCCGATCGGACCCAGCACCTCGCACCCAGTCACCGTTCCCACTGCTGCTGCCGCCAGGGTTGGACCGGTTGGTTTTGTTCTGGCTGCTGGCATCGCTGCGATGGCTCTGTAGGTCAGGACCTTGGCTGCCTAGTCTTTGCGGATACGATAGCCACGATGCATACCAGGGCGGTGTGCTCCAAGTCAATGACCTGTAATATTTTGAGGAGAGAACAATCTTTGGGCGGACATGTTTTACAGCCAATTTTGCACGATCATTTGGAGTTCTGGCGGAAGGCGCTATATTACGACACTCTTTTTTACTGACTGAACGAGGCTGATGAGAATGTTACAAGATGGACTTATATGATTGCAAGTCGGAAAGCATAATGTTATCAAATTAATCAATCCGACCTTGGTCGGTACACACACTCCTTTTTCATGGCATATATAGAAACCCAAACGCCTAGATAATATATTAATACCTACTCGGCATCTGATATCTGAAAGAAATAACTGTGACCCTTCGTTTACAGTTGTTCTAGTATATGATCAATCCCCGCTGCCCTCGGGAAAGCATCAACATGGTATGTACTATGGTTTACCAGGGACAAAATTCTTACACAGTATGATAATTTGGTATATCAAAAATTGACATCACTAAAACCATCCTAAAAATAAGCTTCACGTTGCCTCGCTCAAATTATGTATTGTCACAATGTCACGCAAACGGACCCTTGTCCTGGCATCTCGTATTTTGTTTTCATTCATGCGGCGGGGCCGTGACCAGGATCTTGTTACCTATACACAGTAACGAGATTTTTCTCTCCCTTTTCGATTACGAGCCGTAAGTGTCGATCTCAATTGAGCGCTGTAAACGAGGCGTTTACTTGACCATTGATGTCATACAAACATGAAAATGTGAGGAGTAATTGCTACCTAATACCATGTCCGATGTACACTAATAACCATACACACGTTGCCGAGCGGCGCTGGGTGACGATATGTGTCCTGCCATGTTACAAAAGCCGTCACACTGTTACTCAACGCCAGTGGATCATGTGTGGGTCTCAACTCTTTTTACCTGCTTTTTCAACGCTCGATGGAATCGGGGCACAATTCATGGTTCAAGACGTTCAGGAACCTGAAACCCCTGATTGAGGGTATTCAAAGGTGGACTTGAGTAGGTGAGCAACCCCCATTGTAATGGCTGTCAATGTTCATGGCATTTATGCGTGATTTACAATGTCACTTTCTCTTTGCATTGGCTGTTTCTAGGAGCACTCAAGACCAGTGGACACCAAGACTGCCCATCATGAGACAAATGCAGCACTCTTGCCACCAGAGAAACAGATACACGTTGTCTCTCTTTTCATTGGTGAAATTTCCCAACTGTGGCGTGGTGATGGGATACCAAGACGCCACGCGCCGATGCCATGCTTATGCTTCTCTATACGAAACGCCATACTGTAAACCCTCGTGTTGCACTATGTGCAGCCGACCCGTAACACTCCATAACCTATACTTGTATCCCATAGACATCATGATCTCGTCCATTCACATTGCCAGACTATCCGGAATGGTCATTTATTCATTCGGATCGAGCAGCAATCCTCGCGTAGTCCTGCCAGCCTCCAGTGTCGACCGCACATCTCTTATCAGTGCCTTGGCCTCTTCCACTTCGACGCCGTCTTGACAAAGTTCGTTGAGCAACCTGTTGGCGGTATCGTAATCCTCGTTGCGCATCGCAAATTTCGCAAGCCACATGCGCGCCTTGCTGGTGGCTTGAGTGACGCCTGTTCCTTCTCTGCTGCCTCCATTCGCTGATGGTCCTGCATGATCTCCACCATCGTCGGAGCCGTCGTCATTATGTATCGCAATACTCTCACCAACATTGCTGCTAGCAGTCCCCTCCTCTTGTGCCACACATAGTTCCATGTATGCCTTTGCCTCCTCCTCCTCCTCCAGATCTTGGTACATTTGCGCAATTTGTAAAAGTATATCTGGGTCCATATGTGCACCACGCAGCCCGCCCGCCATGCTGCCTGCGCTTCCAAAACTGCTTCCAGTGTCATAATAACTCTCGGCTAGAATAGCGCGTTTCAATGCTTTAATGCCGTCCAGGTTCCGGTTCATTTTTTGCAAGCACGAGCCCACAGCCATCCACATCTTGCCGTCCCATGGTCTTAGACCTGCCGCCTTCTTGTAGTACCACAGAGCATAAGCGTGCATTTCCAGCACTTCATATGTTTGTCCAAGACCATACCATGCTCTGTAATCGCGACGGTTAACGTCGACGGCACGGCGGTAGGATTCGATAGCCGCGTGTGTATTCTTGAGCTCGACATACTCGTGACCCATCAGAGTCCAGGCAGAGAGACAGGATCGATCGAGCGTCAAGGCACGTCGGAAATATTGCACTGCCTTTTCGTGCAGTGAGATTAGGGAGTAGTAATTTCCTATCACCACGCATGATTCTGGTCGGAATTTGTCAATGCTCGAGCAGACATGCGCGAGAAATGCGAGCTTTGGTCGTGAATTGATCACGTATAAGATGTTGGAGTAATGGTCCAAGGAATCTAGACGATGAGGGTGCAGAGACAATAACTGGCTGAAAGCTTGCTCTGCCGCCACAAAGTCTTTGGCATGGTATGAGAGAAGTGCATCGCATGTCATCAAGAACGAAGAACCCGGGAATATTGTCAACAACTGGTTCAGCGAGCTCGCAAGGTTGCCATCATGCTGATACAGCTCTAGACTTGCATGTATGTGGAACATGAAGGAAACGATATTCTGTGGCAGCCGTTGCATCAAACGGTTCAGCTAAGTCAATGTCAGTGATGTGATGTTTGAGAGCTAGGCCTTGGTAACTTACATCCTCAACACGCGAGATCAAGGAGGTGATCTCCAGCCAACATCCCCAGTTCATTGGAAATAGGTGAACACTCCGGACTAACCAATAAATGGCCAAGTCTTCGTTCTTTTGCTTTGCGAGCACGATTCCGTACCTGGTGGTTGATTAGCCCAGTTGAAGAAGACTTACGGCAGCCTGGGGTCGTCTTACAGATATTCCAGCCATCCTTGGCCGTCTACGTCCTCGCCGTGCTCATCTCTTCTTTGCTCAAACCAGGCTTCGAGGTAACGGCTAATGGTGAGCAGTTGTTTGTTCACGCACAACCCGAGGTCTTGTGGGCCCATGACCATTTCCGACTCTTCATCCTTGTGCTTCTCGCCAGACAGGTACTTGGCATACAGGGCCAGGAACAAGCTTCTTTGGCTGATATCTGGTAGTTTGGGCGCACTGGAGGCACTAAAGCTGGCGGCTGTTGCTTTGGCTTTGCCTTTGCCCTTGGGATTCTGGCTTGGCTCTGTTGCATTAACAATGCCTGACAGCAAAGTTTCGGGAAGGAAAACGGCAGCACATCGGTCGAATTCGCGACATTCGAAGAACGATTTGGCCATGAGGTATTTGTTAAACTCTTTGGCCTCGAGGAGCGCCTCCTGAGGCTCGGAATTTTGAGCAATGATGGTTGGAGGAAAGATGCTAGAATCTGACAGCAGTGAGCTGTCCGGGTCTGTTTCGGGCTCTGGAATCGCATTGAGGAGCTCGGCAGCCCTGGGATCAATCTTAGCATTGGATATCAGCAATTTCTTTGTTCAATTCAGTCCCTACCACTTGGCTGATTGGTAAAGACATCTTTCGGAGCACTTGATGACGGCCTCTTGGAGCGCGCCCCGAAGCTGTGATGTCTCTCTATTGTTCAGTGCCATCTTGAACCATGGACTTTACCAGAACAGGACCTTGACCGCTGCTCCGATCAATCATCTAAGCCAGTTTGCGCAAATGCAAGTCGTACACGGCTTCTGGGACAAGGCTGTTGGTGGCGCATACGCCATACAAGTGAGGTTGTAGACGTGGGATCGGTGAACAACCACTTGGGCCAATCGGCAGTCTGATTCAGTGGCAATCGAGAATCGAACTGTCCAGCAGTAACGAGGATGGATTTGATGAGTAACACGCTTAGCAAATTTGACAGATGCGTTTGGGCTGTTGTCGTCGTCGATGTTGCGACATGATCGACTTGCAGATAGCCACTATTAGGTATGCAAGCACCAGACGAAGCTCTCGTCGCAGTCGCGACAAACAGCTTGCTTGTTAGCTCAAAACCCCGCCAAAAATGTACCAGCAAGCAAAGTAAACAAGATGGGCCAGGCACGTCTACCAAGGGGACCCCTAGAAAAACGCGCTAGCCGGACATGTCCCGCTTTACCGTCCAGTAAACGCGCCAGAAAATGGCAAAGTGAACGACTGATTCCCCCAAACCCCCGCCAAAAAAGCGCTTGGAAGCGTGGACCCCTGGCTGGTACGTAGATCGGGCCGGCGCTGGCCTCGTAGCAAACAATTCCCGTTGATTGCTTTTTGTAGCTCATCTCAAATCTCAGGAGAAGTCCCATCCATTCACTCACTCTGCCGCCTTCCTCGAGTGATTCACTTGCGTAGCAGACAGACTATCGGCATACAAAGAAAAGCCAATTGCTCCTTCTTTAAAAGCTGCCTTGCTTCTCGTCTCTGTGCATTTTTTTTTAATACCGATAAAACTCTAATTTGGCTATCATCTACCCGCCGTTAGCAATTCATCATGTCTGCCACCACACAGGAAGAAAAGTCGCCCAAGCAGCTGGCTTACGAAAAGTTTGAGAATGTCTTCAAGGACACCCTGGTCGAGCAGATTCTTGGTCACGCCAAGAAGTACAAGCTGCCTGCTGAATACCTGACATACTTTGAAAAGGTCAGTGCTATAATTTTCATGTTTCATCAATCCTTTGCTGGGTATTGCCCCCGGCCCCAACAACTACTGATCGACCATTTGGACACTATACGTATTCCTCTGACATGATTTATAGTCTCTGAGAGCAAACACTCTGGGTGGAAAATGCAACCGTGGTATGTCAGTGCCCGACTCGACTGAGCAGCTGCTGGGCAGGGAACTCACTGCTGAGGAGTACGAGTCAACTGCCATTCTCGGCTGGTTGATTGAGCTGCTCCAGGCCTTCTTCCTCGTCTCGGATGACATCATGGACAGCAGCATCTCCCGCAGAGGTGAGCCCTGCTGGTACCGCCAAAAGGATGTCGGCATGGTGGCCATCAACGATGCTTTCATGCTCGAGTCTGCCATCTACATGCTGCTGAAGCAGTATTTCAAGGCTCACCCCGCATACGTTGACATGGTTGAACTTTTCCACGAGACCGCCTGGCAAACAGAGATTGGCCAGCTGTGTGACCTGCTCACGGCCCCCGAGGGACGCCCCAACCTCCACAACTACAGCTTGGAGAAGTACACGCATATTGTGGTCTACAAGACCGCCTACTACAGCTTCTACCTGCCAGTTGCCCTGGCCCTGCACTACCTTGACATTGCCACGCCCAAGAACCTGAAGCAGGCCGAGGACATTCTGATTGCCATGGGAGAATATTTCCAAGTCCAGGACGACTTCCTTGACTGCTTCTTTGGCACCAAGGACGTTATTGGCAAGGACGGAACCGACATTCAGGACAACAAGTGCTCGTGGCTCGTCAACCAGGCCCTCAAGATTGCTACCCCCGAGCAGCTCAAGGTCCTCGAGGACCACTACGGCAAGAAGGATGATGCCGATGTCGCCAAGGTCAAGGAGCTCTACAACGAGCTGGACCTGAAGAACAAGTACTACGCCTACGAGGAAAAGGTCGTTGGCGAGATCAAGGAGCGCATCGCCCAGATCGACGAGAACGAGGGACTTAAGAAGTCCGTCTTTGAGACTTTCCTCAACAAGATCTACAAGCGCAGCAAATAAGCGAAGAGATATACATTATTATTTATTCTGCGATAGAAATTACATAGAGATAGTTGCTAATACCCTTGTCCGCTAAGATGGGCCAGAACAATTTCCTGCAATAGTCCTATTGAGCTCCTACACTATGTCGACAATTTGTGATCGCACAGCGTGTCGGCGCACACCCCATCTCCACAATAAGTCATTCATCGTGAACACTTCAAGAGAAAAGCCCATCTTCGTTACTGTCTCTGGTGTGTACTTTTCTGCCCATACATCTTCGGCATGACAAATCCAAGCTTCGGCTGGTTCATTCTTGAGGTGCTTCGAGTATTCCTTTCGCAGTGAGGCTATAATATCTGACATTGACGGGAAGTTTTTATGTCTTGACAGATGGAGGAAATTACGGCCAGATGACTGAAGGCAGCTATATCAAGAATTAGTCGTTGCTCATGATTTCTGGAGGAATGAGTGAAGTTTGCTCACGGTACCAGCATGCGTGGGCCCATAGGCGCGAAAAATCCTTGTTCAATGGGTATGTGAACCATTTCTTTTTCTTCTGAAAAAACTGCTTTGTATAAAATATTGCGAGAGCCGTCTGGCGACTTATGTAGTGTCAAACGAAGTCGCTGATGCTTCGAATAATAATCAGAACTTGGGTGCAGGAGCCCTGACCAAAATCGATCCTGAGGGATTAATATGTAGGTTCCGATGCTGCCATTCTGCAAGTCCGGCACGATCCATTCAGACCCCTTAGTGTCATATGGAATCAGACCAAGGCGAAGCCTATCTTTAAATGGAAGTGAGCTTTGGCTGCTCTGCGCTGTAGGGGGTGGAGGAGCATAATATTCAGTAAGCTTTGTGGGCGCACAGGTCCAATCTGGTACCCAGGAGGGCAAGGAGCTGAGAGACTGATATTTCGACCCAGCTCGCGCCAATACGGCCGGCCATCCATGGATCTTGGCGAGTTGGACCGCCACTTCTGTGTACAACTGCTGTGCTGATATTGTGTAGTCAGCGACAACAGTGCCGATGCGTCGACTGGGTAAAAGTCCTAGTAATCCATAGACTTTATCTCTAGGGTCTTTGGCGCAAGCTGGTCTCCCGCCATCGAGAAGATGCAGCTCCATACCAGGCCTCGTATATATTGACCGGTTGAATCCGAGAACTAACTGTTGATTTGGCGCCAATTCGAACTTATCTGCGAAACAATCGGTGATGTCTTTCCATGGAAAGGAGCTGGTGCCGCAGAGTACGATGGCTTGTCTGGCAAGAGCAATTTCCTGGAGAATCCATAAACGAGTAAAATACTTCCGTCCTTCCAGTGCAGCCCAAATCACTCTTCCATGCTTAGAAGAGAAAAACGAGTCATCTTTCGATCCGTATTTTGAGCGCTTCTGTGCTCTGGGAATATCCAGGTACTTCAACATGTCGAGACTAAGATCATCGTGCTCACCGACATAGATGAAGACTTTTTGCGCCTGATGGTATATCTGGGGCATGAGCTTGACTTGGTGGCCACGCTCAATATCATTTTCCTGATCAATGCAAATGGCATCAATCCATATGTAGGCGACGATGTCCGTTTGTTGCAGTCTCCGTAAAGCAGCATGACAATTTCTGGTGACACTGATTGCTTTGCCATCTATGAATATTTCCGCGAGCTTTCGATCATCTCCTTTTTCGTCTGCCCAAGTATAGGAGATGGCGTTGAAGATAGGTTCATCTTTCAGATCTTTGACATGAATTTTGCATCGTAGAGAATCCTCTGGCCAACCAGGTAGAAGCCTGAGCAATCGAAAGGACGATTCTGTTGCGAGGGTAGGCGGAGAATAGGGCATCAGGCCCGATGAGCCGCAACTCAGGCATGTTGCCCAGTGATCGTCGATAGGAGCACAATCAAGCTGGCGACATGTCGCATCATGCCAGTCTACTTTGAGTGATTGAGACAAAGACATGGCTGTTGCATCCGTTACGGAAGACTCAAGTTGATGACAAGCCTCCGAGAATGATGTTTGTAGATTGAATTAGCTTTGTGCTGTTGAAGGCGAGGCAGCATCTTGGCGGTGCACGACCTGAAATTGTGTGACGATGTGTGTGCGACCAATAGAAATACTCGCAGATTCCACATGCATGTGCTTCACTGTTGAGATAGTGGCTGTGCCAAATGCAAGTCTGCCTTGCCTATGTAGAAGACCGAGCTAGGTAAATGATCGAGAATGGGTCATGATTGGCCACAACAACCAGGATCATTATTGGCTGCGCAGTGGATGATTCTGGATGAGCATAGCTTTTGATTGCATGTTCATCGTGTATGCAATCCCACAAACATGTTTCTGGATGCGTACCGCCTGCTACAACATATCAACACCGTCATGATCAAAGGTGCCACTGCGCATCATTGCTTCTTGATTACAACTGGGGCTTTTGTTGTACTGGGAGCTCTAGATAAACATTGGAAGGCGGGAAATCTATACTAATGCGTTTCTGAAATATTTGCAACACCGTTCCAGAGGTGCAATTACGTTCTCAATCATCTCTTTCCTCCAGTTGCCAACGGGAGCGGACTTGCAGCAAGTGAGACACCATTTGACCGCGTCAGCATAGTCATCGCCGGCTTCATCGTTTACTTCTCTATGCCAAGTCCAGGCGACAACGAAATCTAGCGCGGCCCTTGCCTGGCCATCGCCAAGCGTAATACCTTTCCTACTCCTATGATCTTCTATAGGGCGACCAAAGCAGAGCTCTAGAAGAAGGATCGCAAGTGAATCTAACCCCTGTATTTCAACTGGCGGTTCCAATGCCGGAGACTCCTGTGTATCACCATTTATTGGACTACTAGAGAACCCTCGAGCAAGTGACACGTGGTCAAGCAGAATGGAATTCAGAGACTCGGGTTCTCGTGGGAAATAGATGCTAGACTTGCCCCAAGGCACCACCATCCATGGCGATCCATGGAGCTGTAGGAACGAGGATGCCAAGATCAATGCGAGACTGTAACGCTGCCTTCGTGTGGGCATCTGACCGACTTTGCCCGAGAGCAGGTCACTCAACGTCACCGGCGATGGGCTGTAGTTGTTACAGCTGTCATCGCTTGGATAAAGGTAATATCGTCGCTCGTTGTCTTGGAGGTAGCTAGCACAAATCGAATCAGCCTCTTCTGCCATTGTTTTGCAGAGACTTGCAATCGGCTTCTTCTCGCCTCCAGAGATATCGGCGCAGAGACTATCACTTGTCGAGTCAAATTGTGTAATTCGCAGTTGGAGATCATTTCTGTTGGCGCCACGTGAGATGTAAGTACGAAATATGTTCGGATAAGCCCTGGTTCAACGTACCTCTGATGTGCGACAGTGATAGGAACGACCAAAGTGCTTTTACCTTTGCCTTTGACGTCGTCCAGCACTCTCGAGCCGTCGGAACGGTCGTTGTCGTGGATGTGCATGGCCGGGCTGATGAAATTGGCGTTGCTCGTGTCTGGGATTCTTGTGCTAGACTTGTCCCTCACTTCTATATTTAATTGTCGGCTTGGCCACTGTCCTCTCTCACTTGATAAAAGTGGCATGAGAACTACTTTGATGTCTTTAGTGGCTGAGGTTCTGTGCTGTAGGAGAAAATGGGCGTAATGTTGTTCAAGGCAGTTGCAGTTCCATGCCATCAGTAATGTTTGATAGAATTGGGAGGCGAAATGCCAGAACTTGCAAATAGCGGACTGGGTGACAGAGGCAGTGGCGCTTTTCATAGCCACGTTTCGTGCTTTTTGGAGATCGGAGTCTACGTCACTTATAGACAGCAACATCTCCAGTTGATCGTTGAATTTGCCAAGTTGCTCAAATAGCCGTTCACGATTTCTTTTGCCATTGCTGAACTTAAGTTTGTACATTTGGTACTCTCGATTTGCTTTGCTGAGTGGATTCTTCGACTTGGTAGGGATGCTGCCAGGTGCTCCGTCTTTGGTCTATTTGCGCGTGTGAAAATGGAGTCTAGTTATTGGCGATCCGTGTATGACATACCTCATTTTGGTCCATCACAGCGTAGAACGCCTTATGTATTGCCAGTTCGCGATTGACTTCTTCCATTGTGAGATGTATGCTGTGAACTGTATTCAAATATAGAGAACACGAATCCTGTAGTCTGGCTTGGAGTACAACTGCTATGCGAGGATTTCTCCACAAGTCGATCCCTGGATCATGCAGGAGAAAATGAATCTCATCGTCGGGGATGGCTAATGGTAGGAGTAACTGTTTCAGACTGCCTATAAAGCGGACTTTATTAAAGTTCAGTTTAATGATGCTCCTCTGGTATTCTGCTCCAAATTCAAGAAAGAGCTTTCTCTTCGTGGCAAGCTTGCGATATCCCTCGAATGCTGATATAGCTAGTGGGAAGGCACCGAGCACGACACCAACAACTTCGAATCCGGACATTGTAGCAGTAAATTACAACGGGTATTACCCAAGGATTAGCTTGAAGGCGGAGACTCTGAGGAAAAGATCATGTACGAGTAGCTCGAATACGAAAGCAACAACTCGTACGTTACGTATTCTATATAAGGAAAATCAAAGAGGGGTAAGTGAGGAGGTGTCATCTGCAGGCTGGCAGATACAAAAGATGATTGGCCCTGACAAATTGAAGAAAGTAGATATCTCAGCCTTGTTTTACTGATACTGTATTCAATTCTTTTCGAACATACTCATGCAACTGCATTGTTCTCATGAGATCAATGTCGTATTCAAAGATGACAATAGCCGACAAGGTAAGGGACTCAGATCGACTGTTCCACAACATCCTCAAGGAGCTCGAGGTTTCCAAGACAGATCCAGCCTATGGCATCGATCACAGTATAGCAGTCGACACTTGGGACCGCTTCCAACTTTGGGTCGGCAACATTGGGGCCGATCGTCAGGATGCCTCAATGCTATCTTTAGAATCTCGTATGACAAGTTCCAGCGAAGTCCTTCAAGAGATTTCAAATTTGCTTGGAAGCTTGATTGATACTTTGAGAGACTGTATGTATCGACCTCATGCATTCCATTTAAAATTTACTGACGAGTATATCTGCTTCTAGTACTCGACATTCTAACCAGCCAGCGCAAGAACGCGGACAACATGCCAGAGCAATCGAGAGAGGACGGAATTGATGATAGCGACAACGATAGCGAAGTGGCAACGAGAGATTACAGAGCGGACAATCCGAGTGAAGCTCAAGCTTTTCTCGGAATAGTCAGCGAGTGCATCACAGGACTCTTTCGACTGTCCACCTTGGTCATCAAGGCAACACCGCAGGATCGATTTTCTAAGGCTCAAGAGGGTAGAGACTCATTCTCCATCCATCATGCCGACATCCAAGATGTGACAGATCTTTTCCCAAAACTTTTGCGGACAGAATATGCTTGGCTTCGGGAGAGACTCGGTCAAGCAAATGCGAAAAGACGTAATTTCGTAGAATGCTGCCGCGAGCATCAAGCCACAATCACCGAGGAGTCACCCAAGAGGAGTGGCCCTCAAGGTCTCCGATTTCTCGCAATCTCAGTGGACATAGAGCCTACTGTTGCCAAGCAAGAGCCGATATCAACAGAAGCTTCCGGTTCAAACATTGATCTGTTACAGGAGGACGATGATACAAGTGAGAGTGGTGATACCAGAACGCTCATCTCGGCGGCGTCTTCGACAGATCTAGAGGTGGAGCAATTTCCCCAGATACTACGACTTTCAGAGGTCAATAATGGAAATGACACCTTTGAATGCCCTCTGTGTTGCGTTACTGGCAGATTTGCGGACGAAAGTTCATGGCAAAGACATTTGTATCAAGACCTCCGAATTTACGTATGCACAGCCGACGAGCCTGAGTGCAGCAACAGGCTTTTTAGCGACCGAAAAACTTGGTTCGACCATGAATTGCAGCATCACAGGTGTCAATGGACTTGCATCATTTGCCAGGAAGGACCATTCCACGCGGCTTCAATCTTACGAGATCATGCAACCACTCATCACGCAGAGTTGGAGCCAGAGCTTGTCGAAGGACTCATCGCCGCGAGCCAGCGGCCCCTTCAAGTCATTGCTGCCTCGGAATGTCCGTTCTGCGACGAATGGGAGGAATTACTCCAGTCTGACGCCAGAAACAAATCGACCAACACCAGTGGAAGTGTCGTGGTCGAGCTCAAAGAATTCCAAAACCACATCGCCAGTCATTTGCAAAACGTAGCGTTGTTATCACTTGCAAAAACTTCCGATGATTATGCAACGAAGGATGTTTCCGGCAGAGATGAGGCGTCAAGCCAGCTATTACACACTGCTACCATAAGAGAGCAAGCCGTGACTGTGACCGCAGAATCCAGCCAGGCGCGCTCGGCCAAACCAGAGGGTTCTGTAGATGCAGCGATGCAAGAGGCCACAACTATTATACCAGATTCACTCCAACGGCAGAAGCAGCCGGCGCCAAGCATTGCATCTCTTAAGCAGCGATCCGTGTCCGACTTTGTCGATTTGTTCCTCTTCCACAAACAGGTGAAACAGTGTACTCGAATCTCGGTGTTTCGAAAACATCGCAGCTTTCTACTTATGGATCGCCTCCGTAGTTGGATGCAAGAGCCGGTCGAATCACATGGTCACATACAGATCTCGAGAGCTAGTTCTCTTCTTGAAAAGCTCTACCCCGAACGCGAACCTTTTGAGGGCGCATACCAAGATTATGGCAAGCATCTTGTGTCTGGCAGCAAGCAATCCTTGATTGACATCCTCGTCATTCTCTTGCAAATCAGTACAGACGCACTTCTTTTGATCGACCGGTTTTACCAGCGTCAAGTATTTGACTCAGACATACCAAACATAATTCGTTACCCCAGTAACCTTGACGATATTGTTCAAGGAAGCATCTACTACAAGTCCCACGACTTAAAAAATGTCATAGGCAAATTCATGACGCTCGCGCACAAGATTACAGCTTCCCAAAACCTCAACCTAGGTCATGGACAAGACGTGCCACTAGGCATGATTTTGCCTTTCACTGTCCAGCAAAGCATCGGACATGAGGGAAAGAGTGACGTCTTCAGAGTCGAGGTACCGGCTGAATCGATGCCAGGCTATATTATCGAATACATCAGTTATGGACCATCATTGGATACCTTGCATGCAAGAAAGAAAAGGTTTGACAAAGAGGTATGGAATCTTGTCTATCTATCAAGAACGAGCTAACACGGATTTTAATAGCCATTGACTTATGAGCTCGTTCTCAAAAGAATGGAGCACGAAGAGGACTGGAAGCGAGAAGTTGAATTTCACCGTGCTGCTGACGGAGCCAAAGGAATTGTCAAGTGTTTTGGCTCCTGGAAGACTGCCAGGAGAAACGACCATGAATATTACTTGCTACTCGAATCAGGCTGGGAAAATCTGGAATATTACTTTCTAACATATTCACCTCCAACGGCGACAACCGAGATCCTTGACTTCTGGACCAACTTCCGCGATATAGCGATGACGTTGAAGTGTATGCACACGTTGGAGATCTCATCTGCAGGCACGAAGAAGACATATTTTGGGTTCGTGCTCTGCAATCAAAGTCTTTCCACAAATGCTGATCGAAACATAGCTGGCATGGCGATATCAAGCTATCAAACTTTCTGCTATGCCCTTATTCAGAGGGTGATGAAATGACCTATGTCATCAAGCTTACTGGCTTTGGGTTCGCCAAGCTCGAGGAGGCAATAGCAGGAGATCAGATGGAAGCGACGACTCCACTTCATGGTGGAACTGAGGAATACGGTACAAGTCCTTGCTCTGGCTGCTTTCGTCTCTCTCTGACATACATACTAGGGGGGCCAGAAAGGATTGATCCTACCACTGGCAAGATTGACGACAATAAACGCGTAACACGCAGATTTGACGTATGGTCCCTCGGATGCGCTATCTACGAGGCTGCTACATGGATAGCACTCGGCGCTGAAGGCATCGAACAGTTCAGGCTTCTCCGAAAGATAAAGGACAATCACGCTCAAGATTTGAACTACGAGGACATCAGAGGTAACGAGGAGTTTCACCTGCGTGCTAAAGTCGCAAGCGTTGTCGATATTTGGCATGGGTATCTGCTCAGTGTCTTACGCAACCAGGACTGCATCACCGGTCCAGTCCTGGAAATAGCCAAGAGATATATGCTCCAGGCCGACCCAGCCCACCGGGCGTCTGCCGAAGAATTGGTCAACCTGCTCGATAATGCTCTCGCTCAAGCTCATTCCGATGCGCCCAAATATTCGAAACAACCTGGGTTACTACAGACGGCCTTGCGCTTGCATCACCAGCGGTCTCAACAAAACAGTGATGCCAGAGCCTCAATGAGTGCAACACTCCAATTCGCCAGGTTCGCAAAACCAGCGAACAGACTTTCTCCCCCAGAGCAGCAGACAGTCCCTGAACTCCAGGAAAGTTATCATCACAGTTCAAGCCGACCACTGACACCAACCGGCCTATCAAAACGACCGCTGACTGACAACACAAAATGATCAGCTCGTCCATTAGAGCATTCACAGACCATGCCGGGAGAAACACTTACGATATCTCGCAGAAATGTAGACCGGACTAGCGAAGAGGCAGTTGACACGAGCCAGCTTCCATCTTTCGAGTATTGGGATGCGGTCAGATTCTTGAATGGCATAGGATTGACGCATTCCACACATATCAAGATTCCAAGACCGACGGGAGCTCTACCAGACTCAGAGGCACAGAGAACTGGCCCCTCAAGAAAAGTTATAAGACCAATGACATCACTTTCTGATGACAGAGGCCAGGACAATCCACATAATTTAACATGGTCGCAATACATTGAAAGTGTTTCCAACGTGTCTCAAGGAAACCATGAGACTTTCAGGTCGTCAGCCGAGCCCCACAAAGAACAAACGTTACAAGAGGCTACGTTCGGAGACATGTTCAATGATAGAGATATCGTGAGTTACTTCTTGTCCAATTTCGCAACATCAACCTACAACGTTACTATTACAATTCTCCTCTCTTCGAGGCAACGTTTTATGGAAACTGATGAGCAGTCAGATCTTCCTTTTTGACGACAGGCAGAGAATGTATGTACACTGGCCGCAAGTCCAGGCTGTCGCAACGGTCCTGATGGTCATCCTTCCTGGCCAAGGCCAGGACGGGTTCGATACATACTTTTCTTCCCACCGACGGCGACCCACCACGAAGCCTGGTGGCAGGGAGCTTGACTGGGACTTCCTCAACCAAGGGTACGACCAATAGGGCCCAAACGACTCCAGCATCTACTACACACTGAAACATATCCTGGACGTCATCAGAAAAGGCAAAACATACAGCCACAAAGTCACTTTGATCATCTTCACTGATGGTGTTTGGCGCGATCAACAAAGACAACTCATCGAGTTGGCTATTGAGAAATGGCTGCGGTACAACAAGATGAAAGGGGCTATCGATATGGATCCACGACAATACAGTATCCAGTTCATCCATTTCGGCAACGAATCGGGATCTTTTAAAGCGCTCGAGTCCATGGGAGATGGCCTTTGTAAAGGCATTGACGTGACGTGAATGGCTCCTCGATTGGAAACTTGCCATAATTGACATGTGCTAACGATATGCAGCGATGTTATCGACGTCGAACGTGCGGATGGCAATATTCACAAGATGATCATGGGGAGCCTCTATGATACCTGGCACAGGTCCAGGACTCCTACCACCATCAGCACCACCACCACGATGACCGATATTGCGCCTCCAATACCTCGCCATTTAGACTAGATTCCGGCATCAACAGTGTCACGAGCCTACGCGCCGCTCGGGCGCTTGAGGCCTTTCAGCAGAACGTCGACGATGCAGAGCGCCGCTACTGTTTAACCAGAAGGATTCAAACGTAGGAGTTCGTCTGTCCCAGAGATCATGATTGAACTCGCCATAAATACAAATCATCGACGCCTCGACATGTGTTTGTGGAACACATGATCTCAGGCATACAGACACTTATCAATGATAACCTTGTGTACATTGGTCGCTTCGAATGCACGAAGAGTCTCGATATGGTCCGGAC